GCTCCGACTCATAGCCGACGACCACTGACTGAGGACAGTCAGGATTTCAGTAGGGAGGAGATGATGAGCATGCACCCGCGCTAGGGTCCGAGGGAGGTATTCGTGAAGCTTTGGGGAGATACCGAACAGCGCTCGACAAGTACCGAAGACGCCGACTATTACCGAACACGGTCGGTCCCTACCCGACCGACGACAAGCCACCGAAGGACGTTCGGCAGCACTTGGGTCAGTTCGCCCACACTTCACGTACTTACCATGACCGCATAGGAGTGTTACGATAAGTGTTTACGAGATCGGAGCCAGTATTCCGTATCGGCCGATGTCCTCCGTGAGTCGGTCGGTCCTTATCGTTTATCTTCCCGACTTCCGCATGGTCGGTCAAACGCGATCTTGCACCATTGCTTGGCCACCCTGGTCGTACGATACCTCTTCTTTATTTTTCATTGGCTCTCCAACGCCTGTTCCTGCTACCTACGCTCGGGCGACGGATCCCGAACGTTCGGGATTTCGACATCACTGATTACCTTTTACCTTATCACCTTCGGAACCCATATGGACATCTCACCTACCTTCTTATCTTCTCTGATCGCTGGGGCTTGGCGCCCATTCGACATCTACTCTCATTTCTTGTTTAATATTTTACTTAGGGGCTCTGTTTACTATAAAAACCTACATACAACTCTGGAATAAACCAGCTTTCGCACCCCACAGTTCAGAGCTCATTCGCACTCGTCTCAACCATCGAAATCGTCTTCGTCGACTTCCGAAAAACTTGTCATCCTCGTCGTTCGGCCTCATTCGCGTTCGTACTCGTCTCTTCGCTCGTACCCCCCCGTCCTCCCTCGTATATTGTCAGAGTCCCGTGTGGCTCTTGAAGCACGTAGTTGTCGGTCGCGACACTACCTTCTCATTACCGACCGCATCGCCGACACGACCGACCGAACGTTCGGTCGGTGTTCGGCGCAGTCCCGAAACCGTTCGGGCGCTATAATCTCACACTCCCCGATTGCTTCTCAGTACGCCTTCAATTTCTAAAGTCATCACTTACAATTCCTTGTGTATCAGATACTAGCTCCAGCACCCCTGCCTTAGAGGTTGTTTTAGTGTTGTGCTCGGCACTTAGAGCCACCTCTAGCGTAACAGCGCTTTGTTTGGTGAAAAGGTACCGCCCGCGTGCTTCATTCGATGCATAATCCTATGAACATCAACTGCATGCTCCCAAATAAATCTCCTGATTCCTGGATTTTCTTTTAGAACTTCTGGGTTACCGTTCTCATCAGGATAGGTAGTTTCTGGTCCTGAAATCCCTAAATCATCTACAAAAATGTTTGCTTTATCAGGTATTTCGTCTTGCAGAATAAAAACCATGCTATTCTGAAATTCTGCAACCGAGTTGGTAAATCCCATTGGCATCGAAGTTAGCCTGAGAGCACCTAAAGGAGTCAAAAAGGCTGTCAGGTCCCTGCTATCTGTATGCACTTTTCTTCCGTCAAAACCCCAGAATAAATCAAAAACTGTAGTACAAGCTCTTGCCGCAAAAGGTTCTACAAAGTCATCGACAATTGGAGGAAGTCCTGCATCCCGAATAGTAACCTTGTTTAATGGCTGAAGATCATGAACAATCCTGAGTTTTCCATTCTTCTTCAAGACGCAGAACCATCTTGACCGATATGCCGATTGACTGTGTTCATACACTCCTGCCTTTATTTTGTCTTTGAGTAACTTGATAACCTTGTCCTTGATTCCTGGAGGAATGGGAATATTTTTATGAATCCATGGTGTATGAGGTTCAACTGGAATAATATATGGAGAGAAATATGATTCCTTGAAAGTCCCTCTCTGCTCTTCTTTGAATGCCAACGCCTCTTGATTTAACACCATAATATGTTGAAATAACTTGATTTCTTCTGGCCAAAGCCATCCTTCCTCATTAATAAGCAACATCTTCATTCCCTCCTCTGAAATCCTTTCTGTTGGCTTGAATTCCGGAGGATTAGGAGTCAAAACCGGCAGACTAAGCAAGGGATCTTCCGGGAATTGCCTCGTGACTCGGGCAAACTCCGGAAATGTTCCAGCCACTGGCTTCACCTTTTGATCGACTCGCTTATACATTGTACCCGAGAACTGATTCTCAGGCTGGCTCGGCATATTCCGATTTGCCGCCACTACGTTCACGTGTGCCACTCGGACCGGTTCCGGCTCCTTGGACTGAGCTTTTGGTGAGCTTGATTTCTCGTCGACATAGCTGTAGACGCGTTCACATTGCTCTACAATATGCGGGCATCTCCAGACCCGTAAAAACCAAGCATACAAGCCTGCTGTAAATGAAAAATGAATGCCCTGTAGGCTCAAAAGAAGCGCGCCACCCAATCCGATCAATGCGAGCATAAATCGCCCATTCTCAAAACGTGCAGAATCGTTGTATCGTACACACAGACCGAATGCATAAGCCAAAAGCATCAAGCAGTCCACTATCATATCAGAATCATTGTAAGGAAGACACATACTGAAGCAGAAAGGAAGGCATAAAATGACTGAGCAGACAAAATATGGAAGTGCTACTGAGAAATTTCGAGATGTGCCCTCAATAGGTCCGAGCTGAATACTATGGTCCTCAGGAATTTGAACATATAGGAAACTCACATATGAGTGTAACCAAAATTCGATCAAGCATGAAGAAACAAGGTTTGGGTGATAGAAAAAATGAAACTCGGATGCTGCATGTAAAAAGAAAATAAGAACGAGGCATAGCATGAAATAACAGAACACTCGCACCCTAATCAATCTCACTAACCTCTGAAGAATTTTCCCCAGGGTATGCATACCAGGGATCCTCACGCAGGATGAGCGCGTGGACCTTCGCTTCTGCGCGCCGAAAGGAATTGTCGTAAAGATCTTGGTGAGTGCTGCGCTGTGGATCCGCGAGGTTGCTGTTGACTAGCCACCGTATAATGTCGTCATCTGCAAAATGGAGTCCTAGCAGCGTATGCAGAGCCTCAGCAAAATCCCACCTTCCAACGAGCCTGAAGTAATCGATGGTCGTCCTGAAGAATGCGCCCTCTTCCACCGTGAAGAGTGGGCTCCAGTCTCGTGGATGCACCAGCAAACTTGCAAAATCCGAGTGACTTCCAGGTGTATCAAGAAGATGGATAACACACGGGTGCTTTAATTCCCTCTGGACCTCTGAGTCCTTCTCTATTATTTCCTCCTCTGACGCCTCCTCCTCCCGTTCTTCAAAGTTCTTTTTTACTCGCAGGACCAAGCGCTGGATCCTTCTTCTCCAGAAGACAACCACTGCGATTGTTGCATGAGCTAGAGCCGGCAAGTACGAAGCGCCAGGGATAAAAGGAAAGATAGGGATGTTCGGCACCATATTAGGTGAGTAGCCGACAACCGTTTGATCCGCAAGTTCAAAGAAAGTAACGGGATGTGTGTGAGCGATGTCGGATAGGTACCCCGCATCAGGGAAACTGCTCGGTGCCTCGTCAAGCCTTGCTACCACTTCACCCGTACTGGCCACCTCGACAAAGCTTCCCCTACGGACGAACTGAGGCTGGTCGTCACCGGCTGAAAGCACTTCAGGTGCCGCTAATGAAGGGATAAACGCGGCCTGCCTTCCATACTGATCTCTCAAATCCACTGAAGCGTACTCCCCACGCGCCATAACAAACGCGGCTGCCTGCCTGTCGTCTGAGCTGTGAGTCCCTTCTTCTTCCCTCTGTCCTACTGATCTGTTTTCCAGGAATCCTTCCCTCGTCGCTACCGGCTCTCTCTGCATGCTAGCTGGTGCGCATTCCAAGAGCAAGACCGATGCCTCGCGAGAGTTGTTCGGAGCAGGAGTGGAGTTATAGGAGTCGACAAGCCGATGAAAAGGAGGCTCTGAGATTTCTGCCATGAGCAGTCCAGGATCAATGGTTCCATCGTTGAAAGGTCCGTCCCCCTGACCTATATTCTGACGCCTCTCGTCACCTTCCATCCAGTCTCCATCCCTTTCATTCAAAACCCTTCCTTCCCTTTCCCTTCTAATCGCCTCGATCCTCTCAAGCAGCCTCTGAAAACGCACCGACCCTATCCCTTCATTTGCCTGTACTGACACTGGTCCAACCATAGGTCCTTCGCGCTCCTGGTCCTCAAGTTCGTTGTCTTCCGGTAACTGTAGAGTTGGAGCTGGTGAGTCGATTTCTATCGCTTCAATGACCGGAGGTGCGTGAATGCCTGTCGGCGCCGTATTATTACCCTGTAGGTGCGTTTCTTCTTCAGTAAGCTGTCCGCTCACAATTCTATTCACAGGATTTTCCGTATTGAAGAACAGTACCTGGCTTCGAAGCGTAGGGTACTCAACCCTTTCCGACACCCCTCCCGACAATCCAAAATACGTCTTGACGAACGAATGGCCGATCCGTAACGACAAAGGTTCCCCGGGATGCGAAGACAGCTGAGCAACATGTAGCATGATCGAGGAATGATAGATATATCCGTTCTCAATACCGGCATCAAGAGCGATAGAATAAGGTGAGGTCAAAATCTGGTCAGTGAGCTGGTGAGTACGCCGTAGGTATCCAATTTCCGTGAGCGCTTGCTGAATAGCCTGAAGCGCTGTCTGCCTCACGCCTCCATCCCACGTTGGGAGCGGTAGGTTTGCGACCGTCTCAACGAGCGGTATGTAGTCAAGGCGTATCTCTGCGGTGCCAGACATAGTGGAAAGGGATGCCGGTACGTCCTCTTCTTTAGCTATCCTGTTACTTATACCTTTTGCTTTTATTTCTAGGCGTTTCTCTTCAATTCTCGCTCCTACGGTGACGCGTCCCTCCATCCGGTCCTGTGATACTTTCTTTTGTTCCTCTGCCCTTGCTAACTCTTTTTCTTCCTTTCCAGCCTTTTCTAGCTGATTCTCGCCCATACTCGACCCTTCTCGATCCGTTCTCGAGTTGTTATCACTCGGTGAGTCCCCTACTTCTATTCCCTTCCCTGCATCCACTTTATTGACTTGTCCTATCTTATTATTCTTGGCAGCTCCATTTATACCAGTGGTACTCACACTCGGGCCCCGACGCGGTCCCACAAAATACTGGTGTAAAATTTCGTCCGGATCACCTGGATCTTTGAACAAAAGGTAAGTACCATCTCGTAATTCGTCTAGAGCCACTAGATTAGTTTCTTGCCAGGCCCTACCAAGCAGGAGCTCAAACGACACATGCGGCGCCACAAATAAATCGGCACGCGTTTGAATATTCCCGCATCGGAGCGGAACATTTGCTAGCATTCCCGGTAAGTAACCTTCACCTCCGTTTGCATCTTTCATTGTTATCCCTCGTTTCATATTCATCGGCCAACGCGCAGCTCGTTGCCAAGCATCTTTACTGATTATGTTGATGTTCGAACCAGTGTCAAATATTCCTTCAAGAATTATGCCATTGATCTCAACTGGTATTTTGATCAATGGTCTATGCGACTGATCATCTGTCGATTCATTCTCCAAGGTATTTCTTTCCTTTCCTTTTGAATTTTCCTGTTGATCCCTTTTGGCCATCAGAGACTTTCCTTCTACCTCCGAAGATGTAACCGGCCGCAGATTTTTGGTAAGCAGATTAGCCAGTTCTTTTGACGAGCCTAAAATATCTCCGACAGGCAACTGAACTGGTGACCGCAAGATTTGTCCGAGCACTGCCATAGGGTCTACGATAGTGGAAATCACCGACTGCCGAGGTGTCCTCTTCTTAGCAGGATTTCTCTTGGTTTTGTCCTCTTTTGTAGTACCTTGTGTAGCATCTTCCATAATAAAATCGTCATCATTGTTGGGATCAAACCTCATTGGTTCTTCTATTGGTGTGATCTCCACCTTTCTACGTTTTGGCTCCATCATTCTTGGTGGTAGCACATTCTCAGGCATACTTGCCCGACTTCCTGGTCCCTCAGTTTGTTGAGTTCTTCTTGCTCCATCACTATCGCGGTGCACTTTAATTGAAGGTAACTCTTCCTCTTCTTCTTCTTCTTCTTCCTTCCTTCCTCTTGTTTCTTCCCATTGCACTCCTCTTCTTTCAGGTTCCTTACCTTTCCACCTCTGAGGATGACCAACCTTTTCTCCAGGAATTCTAGTTACTTCGATCGGCCTAGGAATTTCTTCCTTTTCTTTCTGTTTCTCTTTAGCTTGAGATTTATTTCTGGGTGGTGGGTATACTCCGTCAAACTCCATTTTTCTTTTCTTGTGCAGAGTCTTCTCTGTCCTTTCGACTGGATATACATCCCATAAGCTGCCTTCTGTCTGCTGTACCATATAGATTTCATCCTCTGAACCTGCGTCTGAATCAGATTCTGAATCCAGATCTGAAGTGAACCTTGCTGTGTGATAGGAATGATGATTGGGTGTGCTTGAACCTCCATCAATGGTGATCAGATTACTTCTAGTTGATCGATTCCTTTCACGTTCAGCAGCTTGAATAATGAATTCCCCATTGAATCTTTGGATTCTTGCTCCATTTCCATGAGTAAGTCTTCCTCCATTATCCCTAGCAAGCATTCCATCCTTGATTAGTTCTGCAACTTTAGCACAGTTTGAAATTCCATGGCCCTTTTCACCACAGCCAAAGCAAATCATTTCAGAGATTGGTGGTCTAGCAGGTGGGAAATTTGGCTGAGAAATTCCTGACATCATATGGGGTGGTGCTTCTCTAGCAGGAGCTCTACGATCTGGCAAGATTGATGGTGGAGGTGTATCTAATCTAGGAGCCCGCACGACTGCCGCAACTGTTGGATCAAGCTTTAATGCCCTATAATAGACTAAGCCATAAGTTGGATCATTGATGTTCATCTTGCTCATTTGCTTGATGAGTTCTTCAATCTCGTCCTGTTGTTCACTCTGTCTTAGTTTCGCAGCAGAAGGAGGTGGTGTACCTCTTCTTTTTGGTCTGCGCTCTTCCCCACTTCTTGGTTCCTTCATGCGACTTTGATGCTCCCTCTCATATCTAACCTTCTTCCTACTTTCCTTCTTCTTCCTCTCTGCTTTGGCTTTCCTTGCCTCGACTACCCTGATATCCTCATCTGTGCTCTCTTCTGTTGAAGATTCTGAATCGCCAGACCAATCTGTTCCAAATTCATCACTGTCATCCGATTCCACATACTCGTCGAATTTTTCTCTCTGCAGAATTTTTTCCGCAATATCTGATACCTCCTTCATAAGATAGGGTTTAGAGTTATCCCTAGTGGGCTGAGATGCAAGCAGTCTTGCTTCAATCCTAGACCGCAGACCACGTCCAATACCTGCCCAGAAGTAAGTATTCAATTCATCTTCAGTAATCTTACCTTTTCCTTTTAACCATCCACCAATCTTGATATAATCTCTAGCATATCTCCACCATGCTGCTAGGTCTCCCATACGCTTGTACTTGGTCTTCTTCACAAACTCTGTAAGATCCTTCTTCTTGAAACGCTGAGTATAGAGAGCAGCATCATAGTACTTCTCTAGATCCTTCTTCAATGCATCCCACTGTCCATCAATAAATGACTTCAATCCTTCAATGAACTCAACAACACTTGTAGAGCAGTAGAGTCTAATAGTCTCGCACTTGTCTTGGTCTGAAGTGATGTCATGTTGTTGGCACAACCTTTCAAAGTGTCTGATAAACCTTGAGACTTCTCTGTAATCTCCAGTGAACTTCTTCGGTGCTTTCTTGTTTCCAACAAGAGGTAGGGTAAGAATGGATTCTGCGGTATTGATGATGGGGTTGGTAGGTGCTGTAGTGATGTTATGACCACCACCCATTGTGGGAGGTTGCAAGCCTTGAGACATGATGAATGTATTGATGACTGACTAGTGACCAAAGAATATTCGATAAAATAATAGTTTCTGTGTGAAAATACCTCAACGATGTGAAGGTATATAGCCTAGAATGTCGGCAACAATACCCCCCTCGCGGTGGGCTCCAATTATGTCGCGGAGAGGAATGGTTTCTCCCCTAGATACGATCGGGGTTTCCTGTTTTTCCGGATGTACCTAGTGTTCGTTTGATTGCTGTTCTAGATGATACCTTCTGGTGTTGGCACGATACACAGATGTTGGTCACAGTTATAGGCAACGATGAGAATATCTTGAGCTATTTAGCGAATTTCTGAAGTGGTGCCGGACCACTAACAAAGACAATACTCCGTAAATGCTGAGAATAATGAGGAGAGGCTTAAGAACTTTGTGATTCAAGTTGCTGAGGTGCTACACAGATTGAAGGCGAGCTACTAGTTCGTCTAGTATCCCTACAAGTCTTGCAGCTTATCTCCAACTGATATCACTCAAAGAACTTATTGACTGGCACTGACTGACTGAGTAAAAGTAAGAGGGAGAGATGGTCTCTGCCTGAAGCAGGACATTCAGCCTCCTTATATACTATTTCAAGTGGGAATCTCCTTCCTAGTATATACAGGCTGAGTAGAGTCATTGTGAGTCACAAAGAATGCTGTAGAAATAAAAAGAATTAGGAGGAAAGCAGAGGAACAGAAAGGAAAGTAAAAGAAAGGCTCAGAATGTGGTAGAATATTCCTTCAGCTTCCTTCAGAACTGCTCAGAACCTTCCCCTCCTTTCAGCTTGGAATGCCCTAGACCTTGCCCCTTTCCTAAACATTCTCCATCCTTCTACTAAAGCTCCCTTCTATTCTACCAGATTCCACTGCTTTCTTTCCATTCCTTATTGTCTTGCCATGGTCTAGCCCTTTCTGAAATAGACCCTAGGCTCTGGAATCTGTCCCAAAAGCGAATTATAAGTATGAAAAGGGATAGGAAATCAAGTTTAAGTGGTAAAATACTCGAAAAATATGTAGAAAATCGGAATTAAATGTCCTGTCCCTTCCAGGTTGTTTCTCTTTTCTTTCTTCTAGTCAGATATTCTGCCCTCCATTCTACCATCACTATTTGATGCCTAACAATGTGCGAGCGCGACAACGTGCAGCCTCTTCAGAGGGCAGTTCCTTGGTGTCGAAGTGCACGCATGTGATGAGGACAAATTTGCGTATGAGGGCCCCCAGTGACGTGGTGACCTGCTCAAATATTCTCAGTGTAGTGTCTGTATGGAGGTGAAGTTTAGCCAGCGCATGCCATGTCACAAGCTCAAATAGTAAATCCATCACAATCCGGTTGTGCGGCTCCTCAAGTAGGCCCTCAAAACAAGGAATGGCACACTGCCATCCATTCAGCATTAGCCCTCCAATTCTCAGGGATGCCAAACATGATTGTTACCTGTAACATATCTTCATAATCCCGTGCTGCAAGTTTCTTTATGGCCGACACATTTGTATGCTACAGCCGGATTATGTCCCACCCAAACGAAGAGACTTGCCGGTACCTATGAAGACCATACCGATTCAGTTGTTGTCTTGGTCTCAAGATTGCCAGTTAGCACTCACCGTCTGTTCAATTCCTGTATTTTGTCCCTGCAGCGGCCCATAGGATGCGCAGCAGATGAGTAAAAATGGCTTTCCAAACCCCTAGCTCAAACTCATGCAGGAGGTCGACAACAAATAGGTCGTAGAAGTTAAATCCATACTTGGATAGCTTCATCGAAAATGCATTCTGCCATGTATCAATGCGTAGATTAGTGACCCGGTCCGGTGTGCAATACAATTGACTAACCCAGGTGGGCACCCATGACTTATCAGCGAGGAGTGCATCGACAGCTGTGCTCTCAATGCCATAGCCTTGTTTGTAAATAATCTTGCGTGCAACTTCCACAGCATGTCGGCGTGGGGCGTCATCTTGGCGTGCCATCTTCTTGTGCAGACGCATATCAAGCTTGGAGCCTATTTTGTACACCTGGTTTTTTTCCACCAGACATCGTGGGCACAAGCATTTTGCGAGTGAGCGAATGCTTGCAAGCAGAACCCTAACAACAAAACACAGTGAGTCTGGATCTTCATTTTGAATAGCAGAAGAAGCACTTCTCAGGATAATCGGCAGAATAGGTCAGAAACCAGGGGAAGATGCGACGGACAATGCCATCCCCACACTTAATGAGCATACCATGCTCATAAGCTTCCATGAAATTGGCATCGAGTAATAGCAACCAAATTGCATGGATCAGGTCACGTTTGCAGTGCCTGAGCATTGCTGACGTGGCTGCCTTTCCGAAGACCTTCATGTAGGCCTCCTGGATTGTGTCGGGTATCTAGAAATGCAGGGTGAGTAAGATCTCGCTTAAGCACATGCCAATGGAAATTTACAGTGGGGATATATGCCAGATGATGTGCTGACTTCGATGTTGGCCTTGCGCGTGTATATTTTGACTGTGAGCCAAACAGGAGATAAAACAGCAATAATGAAGCTGTGCCGAAGCTGGCCAGGTGGGTAGAGTCGGACCAAACCATCAGCGGCGCTACGATGCGCTCATGAGTGTTGTCCAGTCCCATCCGTGGCATGCTTGTGATTTCTAGGTGCGCCTCGATCATGCCTGGTGATGAATAGACCTCTGAATACAACAAGATAGGTGGAGCATCAGAAGTGGGGCGCCAGTATTGGCGGAACAGTGTCATATGGAATGTGTGAGATACTGGAGCAGCGTAGGTGGCCTGGATGATGTCGACCAGGCGTCTATGGTAGATGCCACTGACCATAAACACCAGAGATTCGCTCTCAGGTTTCACAGTCTGTTTGCCGACAGGGGGAAGGCGGATATCAACTGAGGCACAATGCCAGCCATCTTGGTTTTGCAATTTACTCTCAGGATTCGCTAAATGTTTGGCCAATCTTTTTGTCTCGCAAGTGAAGGAGACACCCAAGAGTTCTTTCAAATCAAATTCTGGATGTGATAGTATCTCCACCAGCCTGTCAAACTCTCCCACTGACTTCACTGTGGAACCAGAAAAGTGCCAGCCCAGCAGGAGCTTAGAAGACCAATTCGCAAATGGCGGAGTGGAGGATGCCAGTACTGCAGCTTGTGCGGGAGCTGCTGATGAAGGGGTAGGTGTCGTTTCAATGTCTGGAAGTATTGGTGAGTCACAAACAGACGCTGGCACAGCGGCTCGGGCAAGAGCCGCCACCAAAGGAACAGGTGCCGGCAGAGGAAGGGCGAGTCCTGGTGAGTCACAAACCGAGTCTAGAGATAATCCGGCTTCAGGATTTGATGAGGGGGGCGAAGGATACAAGCAAAATATCCTATATCCATTTGGCATTGTCTCAATCCAGGCAACTGGCTGTATGCGCCGCCCCTCGTCAGATGGGTCATCCAGCACAATTGATTTATGAGGTGAGTTTCTGTTGGATGACATGGGGTTTGATAAAATCTGACGAGTAGGGATGTGGGCTAGGGGGGTTGCCATTGACAGCAAGAAGTCACTGAGGTGCTTTGGAAATCGTACACAACGCCCCGAGCGACTCAAGAAGACCAGCGGTGTGTTTCTCTGCATTTCCTGGATTGGTGGTATATTCACGTCTGACTCTGTTGTTCTAGCCGAAGTTGAATCTTCCTGCACATTATGATTCAGCCTCTGGAACTCAAGGTGCTGTGTCGAACATCGATAAAGCAAGGACTTGATAATGTAATTACCAGTAAGTCCCCCCCATCATCCTCTATGTTATTGGGCATCCCCCGATCCTCATTCACATCTCCTTCGCTTCGCTTCTTGACATACTTCCTGGGCTGTGTCTTCCATGACCGTTTACGGTTGACACTTGCCACACTAGCAAGTTCTGCGAACTTAGGACACCAGCTCAGATGTGCACTAAGTGACCACGGTATGTGGCAAGAGGTGCCACAACCTGCGCATGCTGCCATTCACACAAAGGCAAGGATTGTAAGTAGAAAACAAAAGGCTGAATTCAGACTGGTCAGTCACCGGCAATCTGTTGAACTCGAACATCCAGCCCACCATGAGGTGAGTCTGGTATTTGTGTTTTGTTTGGCACAATTCAATGAATTTTTGAACTCTAATCCAGTGTGATTTGTCCTCTCTTGTCCTCCTCTCCCAAATCAACAATACTGCCCTGCCCTTGTTGATGGTCAGCTCACATGCATCAGGAGCGTATCATAACGATGCCTCGCTGTCTGATGACCCACCCACAACAGAAAACAAAAGTCCTGTGTAAGTGTCATTGCATCTGAGGCCGAGCTGTTACTGATACCCAATGATGCCTCAGTTTGAACGACAGTCTGAAAGCTTTTCTTGAACCCGCCCGCAATTTGCGATGGGTGGTGGATTTGTACTGCAACATTCAAATGGTTTTCCTCAATGGGAACACTATCATAGAACACCTGTCTGACGAAGACCTTGAGTACGACTATGAGGCTGACGCCATTGCTGACCTTGCAAAATCAAGGAATGGGTATTACTTTTGTGAACTTCCCCCCTTACTATGCCAATAAACTGACCTCCGTTTTCTAGAGATGTCCATGCATATCACAATGATTGGAGGATCTTTAACACGATCCTAGATATCATCCCAGGTCTTCGTGAATGTTATGACAACATGCCGGACTTAGATGTATTGCTCAAACTTGCTAAAGAGGTAAGTACAATCTGTTCTACTCATTTTTCCTTCCTCATGCTAAATTTTATCACCATTGGACATTCAGATGAATGAGCGTGCCAACAACGGCCAAGCAACTGATGCTCATTCACTCAAAGAAGCCATCAAGATATATATACCGGATTGGTCCCCCAGTGTGACTGACCTTTACGATACGAAGGCCCAGCGAGGCTTCAATCATATACAGTACACAAAACAGCTCATACTGGCATGATACGCTCGCCTCTTCAAGGATGATCCAATCAGGTATGTCAGCCAATTTCTCTCGCTTATCTTCAGGTATCAAATAACAGTACGAGGCTGTAGTACCCATGAAAAATTGCTGGACGGCCGTCTTGTTGTCAGCCCACGGTTCATGCCATCCTTCGTTTATGAGAGGCCTGAAGACTACACATCTGATACAGTTGAAGAGGGACTCTTTTGAGGGCCATTACTGCTTAGAGTAAGTTCCATCATTCTTTGTGCTCTCCCCATGTGAAGTTCTCTCCAGGTTGCACGGCATATCCTCATTGGACCAAATGTATCTGCTACTGCCAAAGTTCAGCCAGGTGGCAGCGGCAATGCAAATAAACATCGAATCACATGTACCACGCCGGAACTTATTGCATACTTTGTAGTTCAGGTATATTACTCATTCTCCTATCGATCACCATGCACACTCACTCTTGCAATCAAACACAGGTATACTTTGCAATGAACAGTACAATGACATGGAATGCAAGTAGCAGCAAGGGGGTGGTCGCCGAGTTTGACTACTCCGTTCTGTATTACATGGTGATCAAGATATTCAACTCAACAATCGGTGATGAGGTAAATGGCTGGGCACATGAGACACTACAGTGGATGAACCAGTAGGCAAATTTCACTGTATGCTAGAAGATACTCATACCCATTTGTTGTAGAGAACTATATGGTCACCCGGAAGGAATGTCCGGCGCTGCTGCCCTTTTGCAAGGTTTCAATGATGACGATGATGATGACGACTGGCTACAAATGATCAAGAATTGTGCAGCACGACAAATGGCCCAGGCATCAAACTTACAACATGAGTTCCAATGCTCAGGCTGGTAGGCAAGTCAACATAGATAATGGCTCTTACATTAACCTTACCAGACTTCAATGTCAGTACAAGCAATAGCTCAACTCCAGCCATAATGGAGGACTCTGAATGGCCCATCCAGCCATCTTCACCTCTGTTTGATGCACCTGCCGAGCCGCCCATAGATCCGGCCCTCCTTGCAATGTCCAATCATTTGCCTGGTAAGCATTGAACTTCTCTATCGAAGCTGCGCTTACGTTTTGCACATCAATACAGAGCCGCTTGTTCCTCAACCTGGATTAGCAGGAGGGATTAGTGTGGACTCTCACCCTCCACCAATGCATACACCTCCTCTGCATGTTGTGCCAGACCCCACGGCAACAGTTTTGAGTGGCCTGGCTGACTCTGTACCTACCACATCTATCTCAAGTGCAAGCATGGACCATTCGGATCACATGACACATCCTGAGACCAATCACCCTGCCATAGTTGAGAATTGCCCGGCGCAATCTAACGGGATCACAAAACGTATGTCGCCCAGCAGCGGAGAAGGTCTAGATGTTGAGAACGCGAGCTCACGGCCCCGCAAGAAGACAGCTGCGGTCACAGGCACTTCACAGAGGAGGAAGACAAGAGCAGGGGCTCAGTAGGCAGTGGCACAAAGATCTACGAGGCTGGCGACAGCGGGGAGGAATATGAATGGGAAGTAAAAGGTGGAGTACAGTAGTCGCACAGTAATAGTATATCATGCATACTAGTTCGCTAAGCGCTCTTCTAATCCGTCTTCATAAATACCATCCATGATAATATGTCTTCACTCTTGTGGGAACTGAAATGCATTGTCATTCTTTCTATAATAGTCATGTATCGTACGGTATGTAGGATGTGGCCAGACCTGGCAAGGAGTGACGAGACACGAGGAATATGGCCATCCTGGCCAGAATTGCAGGATTGGCCATAGTATGTCAAGTTACCATGATTTAGATAGCTCATCACCCATTATAGGTACGACAAGGTTCAACGGCGATTATGGCCTGATCAGCACTGGTTATCCGTGGTCATCCATGGCCATACTCAGATAGTTTTGCTGATGGTATTCTTGCTGGGCACTTCATGGTGGATCTGGATCATGAACAGCTGCTTGTGGTCTGAAAAAGTCCTTAGACAAGAGCCATTGCCAGATAGTGAATACAAGATTGAGTGCACACAGCTCCGGTCAGATATAAAGTCAAAGTAAGGTAGGAAAGAGAAGCACGCACCAAGAAAAGAGCCCATGAGCTTCTCAACACAGAACCTGCATTAAGGAATTTTTCTGTGTGCAGAACACAAGATGGGCAGTGCACAATTCTGCTCATCAAATCCTGAACCTGCCAACTTAGCTACATCTGGAAAAACACCCCCTTGTATTAGCTCCAGATTATATCTAATAGTGTCTAAAAGTATCTAAAAGTGTTAATAGTATCTAAAGGTGTCTAATTTCCTAATTGGGAGCAACATATTGTGAGCATTGGATTGGTTACTAATTTTATGATATTAGCACTAATTCCATACTAAGAAGTCTTTAATTATTAGTAGGAAATAGTAAGTACTACTGCTCTATTAGTGAGAAGGTAAAGATGTGGCACATTCTATACTATTTCAGCATATTACTCTCCTTCATATATGCCTATACCATTATCTTGTAGCTCTTTTGCTGACTTTCTAGCTGCTTTTATAAGGGATATAGAAAGAGAGAAATATGCATTGATCCCCCCAGCCACTTTGTTGGCAGCTTAGCAGCTGCCACAAGAGGCTATGAAGACCTAGGTACCTTGTCCTTGCACACAAGATCATTAAAGTTGTCATTGTTAGCCAATGCCTGCTATTGGTTATTATAGGACATAACATGTGGGTTGGACTTAGGGATATGCTATATGCAGCCTTATAGACCATGTCTATTAGTATGGTGGCTAATACTGCCTTGTGCAGCACACAATCATTATCACTATTGATATTACAATTTTTAGCACTAATTGTATTGTTCATTGCCTTAATATACAGAAGATGCTCAAACTTGGTGTTTTCCTCTAGCTATTAGGCTGTGGAAAAGACAGTCATATTGGTATGTGGTGCCAGAATGATATATTTGCCTACCATATAAAAAATATATGCATTAAGCATATTAAGATCACCTCCAACAATCTTGTGCTTATTTATATATAGGCATGCCATACATATACTCTTATCCCCACCCTCTACCTCACTAGTGGCTGTTTGGGAGACCCCTTTCTCTTATTGGATCTTGATTATTTATAATCATGTTTTTGATCAAATCTGCAAATTCAGGTAGCATTGTCTATACTAGTAGAGTCCTATTGAATATTACACTCAATCATAGTTATACACATTCTCAGTCCAAATTGTATAAGTACCATAATTTATTTTTATCCTATATAAAGTGTATTATCGATTTTCCATTAGTTTATTATCTTCTTAGCTGGTGTTTAAACTAAATCCTGAAAGACCTGACTTTTTAGGTATTTATTGACCTATTTATTTATAAGATAGAGGAAAGATAAATGTTAAATAAAATCAGAGATGTTGAGGTTGCCTATATTATGTCTACTTATTTAGATTACCAAGTTTATATATTAGACCTTGTGGCTTAGTGGCTTAGAGCATCTGTCCTGGGTGCTTGCATACATGAGGTTGTTGGTTCAACTTTGGCAGAAGGCAAGTTTGTTATCAGGTATATTCTGTGTTTAGGTATTGAACTAGTGCTCTAATAGACATGACTTTATAAGAAGGCTATGAGAACTGTGATGCTTGATTTATTATGATTTTTCCGAAATTTGAAGTTATAATCAATCCTAATAATTCCTAATTTAGGAAAATTATGTCTAATTAGAACAGGTTTAGAGGGGGGTAAGCTAAAAATGTCTAATCCTAATCATTCTTAATTATGCATAAATAGAACTAATTAGAGCTTAATACAAAGGGGTGGTTTTCCAGATGTTGAGCAAGGGACGTCTCTACATCGCAAAGGGTGAGAAGACAGTTCTATTATAATTTATCTCTCACTAACAAGCTCCCTTACATTTATTGGCAGTCTTCTCCATCTATTCACAAGGCAGAGGCAAATCAGCAGCGCATGCCTGGCAACAGAGCTCAATAAGTATTGGTGCTGTGTCTTATATTTCTGCTCAACTATACGAGCAGTCTTATTCCTCAACATTCTGAGCTATCCACATGTGTTTGGTGGTACTACAAGCTTACCAGTACGAGCACTTCACATCGGACACACTTTTGTGTCTAATGCCAAGTGCCCCAACCTTTGACCAAGATGGCCAACATCTTTAACTCAATGAAGTATTGCTGGTTACCTACACACACCTAAATAAGTATGCTCGGAACCTTGCTGTAGCAGTGAAGGAGTTACAGACATTGAGGCGCTGATGAAAGCATGCAGCGGCAAATCAAGATATTGCTAATAAGGAAAGTTCATAGGATAGCTCACAGACACTCTCACATATGCTCTCTTGTATATTATCAGTTCAAAAATGACTTTCTAATGTAGATTCTAACCAAATTGTGTCTTTAAAGGCCTGATCTATGTTATCCGGCAAAAAATTGGCTCTTTTGAGGCCTGATCCCAGTAATCCGAACATTTTGGACATCCGGGATGCCTGATGCCTCCATCCAGCAAAATTATGGATATTGGCCCAGAAACCAGAGGCAAATCCGAATATTTTGAGCAACATTTGGCTCACTTGTCTGAACTTTTTTCAGGATTTACCAAAAATGTGACTCAGGCATACCCCCCTATTTTCAGGGGTCCTATTGGCCCTGACTGGCCTGACCATTCCACCGCACATCGTCCCTAATAATCCCCAGGGGATATCTGTGGTATATTAGCAATATACCCGGAATCAACCGCGAATATACCCACCTCCCCTCCGGGGATATTCACGGTCGATTCAAGGTAATGTCTTGAATATACCGTGAATATACCTGGGTACTGAGTATATTCACAGTATATTGTGGGTTTATTCGAGCTCGATATCATTCCAATCACTTTATATGCGCTCCATAGATAGAGAAATAAATATATTAACAAATCATAAAACTAATACATGCTATTGAAGGCTACACGACAATTCTAAGGCTTGAAAGATCTACAAAATATACTTGAAGAGGCGAGAGGTGCGAATCCCGGCTAGATGTTCCCCCGCATACGCAAGCAGCCACGGCGCGCATCAGGGATGGGACGACCAGCACCTTGACGCAAGAATCTATTGCGGTGGCGGGAGCGGTGCGTCCGCGCGTGGCCTCGAATTCGAGGAGTACATTTTGGGGGGTGCGTCGGGCTGCGGCACCGCGCTGTCGAACATGAGCACATCTGGTAGCACGCCACGCGCACAAACGCAGCCGCTGGCGAGTGCATCGGTGCCGGCAACGTAGAGGCGCATCCTGCGGAGAAGCGGGGTGAGCATGCGTATCAAGGCTGAGAAGATCAGTGCGGGAAGAGACAAGGTCACCAGGAAGGGTTGCAGCTTGATAAGGTTGGCGAGTGCAGGGAGCGAGGGGAATGGAAAGAATGCGGTGTAGTGCGGGGGTCAGTACTGCCGTGCGGGGGGTTAGCACTGTGACACGGAGAGCCCAGATGAACACTGGCCTCACTGATGTTGCTGCTGCTGCTGCTGCCCCGACGACATTGGCACTTGCGCGCGCACCGCAGACTCTGAGGCTAATCCGAGCCACCATGCGCATGAGAAACACAGATGCTAGCACCCACGCCAACGCCACCAAGCTCAGCCTGTGCTTACCCTTGATCTCATCCATCCAACGTTCACGCTCACACCCGCAATACCCACCGTTCTGACAATTCTTGCCGCACACACGTCGTAGGCTGTGCTTGCAATCTCCTTCAGTCCCACTCCGGCCCGCCCTAAATGGACGCATATATGCGCTCTGATCCCGCATTTTCAGGCATTAGATCTGATTATATGAGAAAACCGGAACTATAGAGCATATGGAAACATGTTTCAGTGGGAGAAAGACTCACCAAAATATGTGCACACTGGAGGCTCCTAGAGAGTAAGACGAAGGGAGCACTTAAGAGAAATCTCGACGCTGTCCGACGACGCGCACTCATCAGGTGACCGTCGAAATGGATGAGTCATCTCCCAGTTGGGATTGACTGGGGGATATTTGAGGGATATTCCCTGACGAGTATATTCCAGGTATATTCCAGGTATATTGCTAATATACCCCGAATATCCCTTGGGGATATTTGGGGGCAATGTGCGGTGTTCGTTCCCCGGCTTTCCGCGATTACGTCTCAAGGCCCTGCTAAATCATGTTTTGATCTCTCCATCTCTACGGTGCTCTAATCTCTTGCTTTCGTCTGCCATCGTCTGTTCCTTCCTGGCTAGCTTCACTCTATATCCTCCGATTGGACGGCAATAGTTCCTGAAACTCCAAGCACAGTCGAAGTAACTGCATGAGACGAAGGATGCTGCGTATGAGGGGTTTGTCGAACATTCTGAAGCTCAGATGGCCGAACTGGAATGGCTAGAATGCGCATCTCAATAGACATGGTAAGCATCCATGTTCGTCGTGCCCAAGAGATCGTATTGAGCCTGCACATCTTCCTCGCCGGTTCTATCGCTCGGTTACATCACATCAGGACCCTCGCTTCGTTTTGACGCTCATTCTGAGGCTTCAGTATTCACACACCCCTGCTGTCCACATTGGGAGCTGTATCACCAGTGCAGAAGCAAAGAATGCTCTCCGTGATTTGCGAGCCGTGTGATGATGAGCGCGAATCCATGTCGCTGGTTTCTCCGTCCCGTAGACAGTCCTCATCTCTCCAAATTCCAGTACGATGTTCAGTATTCCTTTCTTACCATAGTCTGGTACAAGCACAATCTCACGATCCCCACGTCGCTCCTTCACTCTATCGACTTACGAGCGCACCATCCTAGGCCTTGCGAAAGCTTACTCTTCGCTCCGCCTGTCATACGTTGGCGGGCTTCGTCTTACAAGATTGCACATAGTCGACGGTGAAATTTATCTCACATTCTTCCGTTCTCAATCATATAGTCATTCTGGGCATGGGGCACTTGATGTTCTGGGCTCTCAAGCCTGAGGTTTCGACATCCTTCTGTTTGACCGTGGTTCATAACACTGAAAGAGATGCCTCCGTAAGCGTCTCTCGTGCCAAGGCGGCTTTCATACTCTTTGATGAAGTCGAGCCGTGCTAGAAGCCTGCAACTTAAGCGAGAGTCGGAGTGTTCAGTACATGCTCCTCCTCCAGACCTCTTCCGTCCTGCGCTGTGTTCGTTTCATTTTCGACAGAGTCTGGCATTTCCACTGCCCCAATGGCTACGGCGACGAACACTCAGGATGCCAATATGGATCAAGGTGCACGAAATTTCGTTTCTGCCTACCCCTCGTGCCTATATGTGCAGATGCATCCTTCGCAGTTTCGACTTTCATCCTAAGGCACTCACTTACTCATTTCTCATTAATGTTAGCTCTCGGTCATTCTCTCCAGCATTCCAAGCCTATCATGACAATAATTCACCACCATACGCAACAAGACGCGTCTGATGGCTCACCATACATTCGGATGTCATCACCACATCTGGCACTAGTCCAGACACAATATATGAGGATGCTCCTCGCACTGGACACCATACCGCGCGTCGACAACCTGCTGGCGTGTTTCTTTACCTGGTTACTCCTCGCCGGATTTGTCCTGTTTCCAGGAACCTTTGCGAGTTTGCAGAGCATTAAGGTGGATGATGGAGTAGATGGCATTCAACAAATCGAGGCCTACGTATTACACGCTGTGCACAACGTACCTCTGTGAGTTAACTCGATTTCTTTAACTGACATCAGGCTGAACGCTTGGATGGCAATTGCGCAGGTATATCTTAGCATGGATATGCTGCGGAGCTGGTGTATTCGGGATGGTTTGGCTGTGGTGGAAGTGGAGCGCAAATTACATTTGGCTCCTCAACGGCATATTTCTGTCAGTAAGCCTCGATGTGTCTGCCACTTGGTCGCTGAGCACGCGCCTACCTTTCAAAACAGGCCGGGATTTCTACACGGACTCGCAGGAGTGATCACGACACTGGCGAATGTGATCGGGGCACAAGGTGGACGTTTTACGGACACCAGTCGGGCGACGCTCATCGTGACGGGCGTATGCACTGTGGTTTGCGGCACGCTAACGTTCTTCTACAGCGTGTGCAAGCTGCGGCGGGTGAGGCTGGACCATATCCACGAGGTAGGGAAGGAACGTGCGGGAAAGCATGGTGAGGGTCGATTGGAAGAGATTAAGGGACCTGAGCCAATACGAGAAACCTCGATCGGTCCTCGGGCGAGAGCTTTTTGAGGGCGGAATAAGGAATGCAGTCACGGTGGATAGATCGAACTCGATGCTCGTCTCAGCCGGCAGCATAGTACTGACGCGCTATTCGAACAAATTAGAATTCTGTAGCAAGGACAGCGTATGATAGCTGTCGGACGAGTGCCTTGCGAAGATTGTACACGGAAGATTTTGTGGTTTTTTTCGCAGATGGCAAGCTCAGGTACACATATGAGATTTCTGTTGAGAGTCAGAATGTGAGAGCATCGGCAAGCGGAGTGACTCCGAAGCGGGTCACAATCATTTTCTTCCGCTCTGCGCTGTTGAAGGCGACCGACCGACCGCGGCGCAACGACCTACCAGAGACTCCTCCAAAGCACGACAGTAATGACGCTCAGAACAGGTCCTCTATGATAGGCTCATCCCTTTTCTCTCAATGACAGATTTTTGCGACGACCAGCAGTGGACAACGACGCGGTGTATAGTCCCGACACAGATGTCTTCATTTCAACAAACTGTTGTTAGTCGCCATTTCGTCTTTGGCTCTGCATGCATACGGATTGATATGATCTGTCTAAAGACAAGTACGTATACGATTTTTACGCTTCAACGCTCGATTCTCCGCTAGGATCGCCTTCTTTTGTTCTTTCACTCGATGCATCGCCGGTTTCTGACTCTCCTTCGCTGTCCTCTTTATAGTTCATGCTGGATTTCCAGGTTTTCGGGGCCTCGTACCCTTCCGGCACGTTGTCCTTGCTCGTGGAAATGTATTCGCTGTGTTCGTTCAGCTTTGTAGCCCTCTTGGGTTCGAGGTAGATCCCCTGCTCCTTCCCACTCCCTGGCCCGTAATGCCCTCCGCAGATCCTCCCCTATCTCGCTTGGTTATTTTCCTGTTGAAATCCTTCTTCGCCTCCTCTTCATCCTCTTGAATAGTTCTGAGCTTCATATTTTCTCTCGAGGAGCGCGACCGTGAAACCTGCTTTCCCTTTGATCGTGAAGAACCTTCCTTCCCCTCCTCATTTAGAATGACTTCCTCGGCCTTTGAAGACGCAGCTTTCGTTGACGGGCTTTTGCCCTCACTCTGAGATTTCTTCTCTCGGTTCTGTTTCCTTGTCTCCGCCTGTGTCCGCTTCTTTGCTTCATCCTCCGAGCTCATTTCCTTCGCCACCTTTATGAATTCCTCCGGGTAACGTAATTGATTAGGACCTCTGAGGGTTTGAGCAAGGAAGTGGGAGTGCCTTCGCATCGCTAGTAAGGTCTTCACGGCATGAACACGGTCCTGCGCATCATAATGCAGAAACACTTCATCGAAGCCAGTTACCATCTCGCAACAGTGAAATTCCCAGTGGGGCCTTCCATTCTCTATGGAGAGTGCAGGATGGAAGCTGTAAACCGTAAATCCAGCGAAGTCGTATCCGATTCCATAGCAGAACATCCATTCCGGGATCTTGTGATCGCACTCAGCCTGGGACGCAGTGTTTGAAAACCATCTGACACGTACCGTCACCGTAGTCCAATCGAACCATACTACTTTCGCCTTCAGCCTTGCCTCGAGAGGCAATGAATCCCAGCCCTCTATCTTCTCTCTCAAATAATCTTCTGAACCCGACTCTGCTAGCTCGCAGAGATGGCCTATGAAAATTTTGAGGGTTGGTTGGAATAAGAACGCCAGCTGAGCCGAGGCGCGATGCATTGGTATGTTTGTGATCTTCCTTTTTGCATTCGTTTTGACATTGGGTTGGGTTGAATCGAGTTCCTCTTCTTCCGCAATGTGTTTGCCGAGTGTCCGCTTCGCTTCAGCACCAAGTATAACAGGTTGCAAAACACTCAAATCGTCGTATCCTTGGGGGGTATTGTCATCGGTACCGGCTGGAGGCTTGAAGAGCATCTTTGTGCATATATCGGCAGAAGTAAAAGAGCTAAAACACCCAAGGATCAGAGACAACCTGGCAGATTGTCCTCTAATATCACCTCTTGTCAGTGTCGACAAATGAAAATGGCACTGTCGCACGCACGACAAAGTTTCACAATCTTTGAGCTCGAGATGGGGCGCAATGATTACGCCAATGACACGTTCAACAGCAAGCTCCGAAGCAGATCGAAACCCCTCGGGCCACAGCAGGGTATAGAGCATGTTGAACTCGATATATAGCTGCGGCTCTTTGGCGTCTTCCTTTGGCATTGCGTTATCCCACAATTCGAGCGTGATCACGTCCAGACCCATAGCATCCTCTTCGGTCACTGGATTATGGGTTTCGTCGATTGTGTCAATGCGAATGAGATTCCTGCCGAGTTTCGTTTCCAGCATCGCGATGTGGGCCTTGAGTACGGCTCGTGTGACATTTTGGATCTCCATAACGTCTAAATCGGCGTCCGTCATATTCTAGGGGAGGATTTAGCGTACTATCAGGCGGGAGAGATCGTATTGCACACTGGCCAAGACTCAGAAATTACCAATGCCTTTTCATTCACATCCTTCAAAATTCGCTGCGATCGATCGCGAACAGACGTGTAAGATGTGACATGTTGAGGTGCGTTTTCATCCTGCGCCACTGCGGAGGCCGAGTCTTTGAGATTGATGAATTTCCAACCATATTGGCTGGTGAGGTCTGACTGCCGCACACTACTGAATCGCGAAAAACTCTCAGAAATGACGTTCTTGAATAGCTCAGAGCTACATACCTGGCGGTTATAACTGACTTGTTCCCTTCAGAAGTAGGTGCACGTGAAACGCGCCATAAAACTCCGTGCGCTCGCTGCCACTCCATTGCCCCAGAATGAATGTTTATATGGTCCCAATATTCATCCACCGCTTTATCCGCTCTCTCTTTACGTGGGTAGCCAAATTTTTCGGGATTTTCATAAGATTTCTCCCTAGTAGCAAATTCTGCGCCCTTTTTGTCGCCTTGGTCATAGATATCTGGCGCGCGCGGGGGTTTCATGCGAAGATGGTCACTGAATATCATGATATTAGCACATTTCTTAAATAATTCATGCTAGAAAAATTAGATTGTTCACTGTTCTAGATCGGCTGTCGAAAGCATCGGCGGATGTCTCTGGATCAACTTGGTGATGGAGGATGAGAGTAGTGGGACAGAGTCGTCGCATGTGGTATAGCCCATTACTATCATAAGGATCTATGAAAGCCCACGTTCCTATCGATCCATCATGCGCTGAAATGTCAACGTGTCTCCTCAAATTTAAAACTGACTCCTCTTTTAAGTTATCTATCTTTCAAATTGCCGCGTAGTCTTTGAAGGACGATAGATGGAGTCAAAACGAGTAGCTTGGCATTAGGTTCTCGCGTGATAACAAAGATAGATTATTGCGATAGTTCCTACGGGTGAGGTATGCAACCACTAGCTAGCATCAAATATGCTTTATATGCCCTAATGAACGAGAAACATCCTTGAAAATCTCGGCAAGCTCAGCAGTGTGGCGTTGGATTCTGAGAAATGTGTTAATCAAATGAACGCGATGCAAAGAGTTGGTGCTGCCAATAGGCCACGGGTAATATGCCTCGTAGCAACAAAATCCCCACTCCACCCGCCCGGAGGATATGACTTCATAGCGCGGGAAGAAGGTGTAGATGATGCAATCGGTTTGGGAGTAATTCATGCCGAAGAAAAAATACTTCTCCGGAACATGAGGTCTCAACCATGCCGGATCCTTCTTGCTGATGATCGGCTGAGACAGAGCGTCAGCTGATTACTTCCTTGAACAGCGTGGGCAATTACTTACATTCCACTCAGGGCGCCAATGATAATCATCAATTCGATATTTCTTCGTCAAGTGCATGACAAGCAGCTGCAACGAAGGCTGAAAAACTTTAGCTAGCTTTACGAGGCCTGGCCTTCTGTCTGGCATGAGCTCTGGTGGTCCCGGACGAACATATGAGATCTCTGATAGTTCGAATGCGTGAAGAGTGTCCACATGATGAGCGGCAAAAAGGACCGGTACATATTCACCAGGCAGGCCATTGGGAAGGTTATTGCTGGACGGTTGACAGATGAAATCTAGGCAAGTCGAAGAGCCATAGTCGGCAGAGTAAGATGGAAAGGTGATAGGAGTGGATCTAGAAATGGCTCAGTAAAGCCTTCTTGACAGACCAACGTGCACATAAAACAAACCTCAGTACTCTGCAGCCTCGAATTTGATGACAGATAGCAGGTAATAGAGCATCGTAGAAAAGTATAGAATCGAGAGTGATGTATCCAGTAACACGACTATTTGCCTTGCACAAAATCTTGAAGATGGTCCACTCGACGCTGTACAAAGTCATGTGCGGATCCCGCAACTCGTGCAGAGTCGTATTTGGCTTTGGATAAGGTATGGTCGCAAAATAGGACCTCGGTCTATACAATAGCACAGGGAAGCTGGGCCACGCACTGTGCCCATTGTCTACATACTGGCACAGCGACCTCTGTAACAGCGCAATCGTAGGTTTCAGAGTCTCGTTTGAGACAGCGTTCTGTAAAACGTGTCATATTATAATCTAAAATCTAGGATGATTGATGTATACTTACCTTCCAATCCTCCGGGACCTCGAGAGGTTGCATTTCGTGTATGTCGTGTGATTGTATCACTTCGACCACGCTATTAATGCTTAGCCCAGCTCTTCCGTCATACCCAACCTGGCGTTTTCGTTCAAACAGCCAGCGGTGGGGACCATCTGCCAGGGGCCTAAAGCGTCTGTGTGTTTGCTTTTCGCGAATAGACAAAGACGGAAAGTCGTTACGTACTGAAGTGTTGGTGGCACTTTATCTAGAGCACGGACGCTACCCGGCTTGATAGGGCTCATTCCATAGAGATGCCTCCAGTCCTCAACAGTCAAACAAATCACGCGGTGTCCATCGGTTGGATGTTGGTTGACCGAGGCGGGCATCAGAGCTGATGAGAGTAACTTGATGTGAAGAGGTTGGACGACTCTGTGACCGTGATCTTAGAGCTGTGACCTCGATCACACAGAGTCACATATGACTGATCGTCAGCAGTGAGACCGCGGCTGAAACCAGAATCACATCATCTTCCTCCTCTTGACGAGCGTCGAGCATGGCGGCTGCTTTTTCAGATATCGACGCACCGTATCAACTCAGCTTAGAAGAGCTGTGTTTTCGAGCTGGGGCAGCTCGGTTCGGCACTAACGAATCGTATTCCTTTTCCCCGGTGGCCCACCTCTTGTGAACTAATGATACAATATCCTTGTTTTCTGAATAGAGGGTGGACATATGTTGAAGGACCTGACCTTGTGGACCCGGACATTGCGGCTGCATGCTCGAATCAACTCGAATTCATCTCAAAATTCAAAAGGCAATGGGTATCTGCCTCGCTCCACTCGCTAGGCATACCGGAGAAATGGAAGGTATGTCGCGATGTCGAAGTGTTTTACGAATAAAGTGACGTTTTTTGGAAGCCAATTGGAAAGCGCACAGCGTGGAACCTGCAGGAATGGCTGCACTCAACCGCCTTGATGCCTTGGTTGGAATCCATCGATACACACATAACCTGGCTTTCAGAAGGCCAAATTGCGTCTACTCACGACGATCTTTCGTCATTTGCTCCCGACTTTCTGCTCCGTGCCCCTCTATCGGCCATTCGTCGAGGTGAAGGAGACTCACCATTATCCAAGAATTCTTTGTACGCTTTTCCATTCTTCCTCGAGATCGTTACATACCCAGGAGACGAGGATAATGCTGCATTTGCGATCACAAGTTTTTTTCTAACAACCCCAGGCTGCGTGCTAGTTCCGTGAGTTCTTTCTCATGCAAGATTGATCTCAACTCATCATGTACAGTAAGCTTCGACTGGACTTCCCACCGCCGCTCCAAGGAACCAGTGAATCTTCATCGGACGCATTTGGGCTTCTGATGGACTCTTTCAATCCAACGCCCTCTCCTGTAGAACTCATGAAGGCGAACCTTTTCGAGCCTGCACTTCTCGTAGGAATGAAGGGGCCTTCTCTGTGGCCTTCGCACATATCTTCTCGTCCAACATCTTCCACAATCCCTCCGACATCGATGGATCAGAAAATTCGTCATCTCTCTCAGATCATACAATCGAGCTTGGACACGCATCTTTTGAACTGGTGTCTTCGTTGCGAGCAAAATGTTCAAACTAAGGTTCCTCTCCCGTTTGTTTCTTCTTCCTCCCTACCCCCATGCTTCATGATATTTGGAATACTGTACGATGCCGATGGTCTGGTCATCGTTGCTCACATTCCATATCCAACTGCGTCTCCAGCTATGGCGAGTGCGTCTGATTGCACCTTGTCCTATGCGTATCTGTCATGCATAGTAGATCACATACCTATGACCGGCGTGGATCGACCTAGCTCACTGGATCCAAGCGGGGAGTCTCCGATTCTTAGCAATTTAAGGGCTGCTTTGGCACTCTCCTCCCTACAAAGACATGCCTTTATGATGCTTACGCTATGGGAAAGGGGCCCACTGCTATTGTCGATGTTTTCACTGAAGTGAGAGCGGAGAAAGCGAAGACGGGAGTGGAAGCCAGTATTATGATCACAGTGAAGATCACGACAACGGCACTGACGGCAGGATCTACGAGGAAGAAGAAGAAAAAGACGACAGATCACGCAAAAGCGCGGATATCGACCATGACCATGACCACGACCACGACCGCAACCATGACCATGACCACGACCACGACCATGACCACAACCACAACCACAACCACAAGCACGACTATGATGACGATGACGATGGCACCTGATTGAGAACAAGAGCAAGAGTAACAAAGGTGGGACCTGCGACAACTATGTTGGCAACGAGGATGGGAGCAGAGAAAATGAAGACAGGGGTAGAATCCAGGCCCGCGATGACTATGTTAGCGATGAGAATGGAGGCAAACGGGCAAGCGATGCACACGCGCAACAGGACAGGGAGACCCGGTCCAGAGATCGACAAGACAATGACAATGACAATGACAATGACAATGACAATGACAATGACAATGACAATGACAATGACAATGACAATGACAATGACAATGACAATGACAATGACAATGACAATAACAATGACAATGACAGTGACAATGACAGTGACAGTGACAATGACAATGACAATGAAAATGAAAATGGTCATGAAGACGAAGACGATCACCAGGAGGGCGATGTCCACGACAAAGAATGCAATAACAATGCTCATGGAGACAAGAATGGCTTCGACAACAGAGACAACAATTTCCTTGACCCAGTCCACGAGAAGGTGGTTCATGCAAGGAATCAGGTGGGTCTATATGCGAGCGTATCGCGACGAGAGCAAATGCAGACTACCATGGATTGATTGAATCAGGTATTTTCAAATAAGTTACCTAAATAGCAAGCTGATGCCTTAGCCAGGTTGCATCTAAGCACTAGTAAAGCCGATCACAACAGACTTTCTGATCAGCATGACGATCCATTGCCAGCCACTCACAATATAAGGGGTGCATCTGGAAAAACACCCCCTTGTATTAGCTCCAGATTATATCTAATAGTGTCTAAAAGTATCTAAAAGTGTTAATAGTATCTAAAGGTGTCTAATTTCCTAATTGGGAGCAACATATTGTGAGCATTGGATTGGTTACTAATTTTATGATATTAGCACTAATTCCATACTAAGAAGTCTTTAATTATTAGTAGGAAATAGTAAGTACTACTGCTCTATTAGTGAGAAGGTAAAGATGTGGCACATTCTATACTATTTCAGCATATTACTCTCCTTCATATATGCCTATACCATTATCTTGTAGCTCTTTTGCTGACTTTCTAGCTGCTTTTATAAGGGATATAGAAAGAGAGAAATATGCATTGATCCCCCCAGCCACTTTGTTGGCAGCTTAGCAGCTGCCACAAGAGGCTATGAAGACCTAGGTACCTTGTCCTTGCACACAAGATCATTAAAGTTGTCATTGTTAGCCAATGCCTGCTATTGGTTATTATAGGACATAACATGTGGGTTGGACTTAGGGATATGCTATATGCAGCCTTATAGACCATGTCTATTAGTATGGTGGCTAATACTGCCTTGTGCAGCACACAATCATTATCACTATTGATATTACAATTTTTAGCACTAATTGTATTGTTCATTGCCTTAATATACAGAAGATGCTCAAACTTGGTGTTTTCCTCTAGCTATTAGGCTGTGGAAAAGACAGTCATATTGGTATGTGGTGCCAGAATGATATATTTGCCTACCATATAAAAAATATATGCATTAAGCATATTAAGATCACCTCCAACAATCTTGTGCTTATTTATATATAGGCATGCCATACATATACTCTTATCCCCACCCTCTACCTCACTAGTGGCTGTTTGGGAGACCCCTTTCTCTTATTGGATCTTGATTATTTATAATCATGTTTTTGATCAAATCTGCAAATTCAGGTAGCATTGTCTATACTAGTAGAGTCCTATTGAATATTACACTCAATCATAGTTATACACATTCTCAGTCCAAATTGTATAAGTACCATAATTTATTTTTATCCTATATAAAGTGTATTATCGATTTTCCATTAGTTTATTATCTTCTTAGCTGGTGTTTAAACTAAATCCTGAAAGACCTGACTTTTTAGGTATTTATTGACCTATTTATTTATAAGATAGAGGAAAGATAAATGTTAAATAAAATCAGAGATGTTGAGGTTGCCTATATTATGTCTACTTATTTAGATTACCAAGTTTATATATTAGACCTTGTGGCTTAGTGGCTTAGAGCATCTGTCCTGGGTGCTTGCATACATGAGGTTGTTGGTTCAACTTTGGCAGAAGGCAAGTTTGTTATCAGGTATATTCTGTGTTTAGGTATTGAACTAGTGCTCTAATAGACATGACTTTATAAGAAGGCTATGAGAACTGTGATGCTTGATTTATTATGATTTTTCCGAAATTTGAAGTTATAATCAATCCTAATAATTCCTAATTTAGGAAAATTATGTCTAATTAGAACAGGTTTAGAGGGGGGTAAGCTAAAAATGTCTAATCCTAATCATTCTTAATTATGCATAAATAGAACTAATTAGAGCTTAATACAAAGGGGTGGTTTTCCAGATGGTGACAGGAAGAAATATACATGAGTCAGTAATGTGGAAGATAAACTACAAAAAGCCAAAACAAGAGTGTGCCGCAGAGCCATATGGAGCACAGAGCACAAGAGATTGAAGCAGAGCACAAGAGAACAATATAACCCCCCAGGATTGAACAGCAAGAATGACTGTCTAAGACCTTTCCCTTACTCTTGGAAGTCAATATAGTGCTAGTGTTCATCTTGGCCTTGCATGCTTTCAAGGTGTGGCTACTATTGTCATTGTACTGAGCACACGTAGCTGTGTGCTTGTGTGATTGTGGCACTATGTCATTGTGGTTGTCATCATCATGGTTATCATGCTCATTCTTGTTGTCCTCCTCAACATGAGGGTCTTGTGCTTGTGTGATTGGCATGTGGTGCTATCTTCCCCATTGTGCATGAAACTCTTAGATAAGCTGCCACAGGGCCTACCATTGCGAGCTATCTTGCTGCTAGGGCCTAGCCTTGCTGCTAACAGGCCTATGTATATAGCATGCCATGCCTGTGCAATAGGAGAAGATATCAGCAATTTGAGAATGGGACAGATAGAGACTTACATAGATAAGGAGGTGACCATGGAATAATCCCTTCTCACAGTTGCTTGGGTCATACTGGTAGTCCTCGTATATGAAGGCAGGCCAATGCTTGGCCAAAACCTTAATCTCATTGTTCTTGAGCTTGTTCCAGGTGCTGCAGAGAGAGAGCAAGGGTAAGTTGCTATCAAGTGAGGAATTAACATTAGTACCCAGTGAAATCCTTGTCAAAGCTAGCAAGATACTTGTTGGGGCACAAAATATATATGAGCATCAGATGTGAAAACCCATGATCATATTTGTTGGCCAGCACAAGTGCCAGTTTCAATGGCTGCATGATCAGAATAAGTGCCACTTACTCAGTGACAAACTCCTTTATGTGTGTCATGTCTACCACACGCGTGTTGGAGCTGCTTTTGATTATCTAACTAGATATGATAAGTGTACATATATTCACCTGTATGCACTCATCATATCAAGCAATGCATGAAAAGAGTCTTTATTACCTTCAGACTCAACCTTGACAGAGAAACCAGGAACAAGGTCAAGAACCTGTTTGAGGATCTTCAAGTAAAGCTTTTTCTGGTCCTTTTGCCTGTCTAACATGTGAGAAATGACAAATGACATAGATAGTGGAGAACTTGCACATGAAGATTATGAGCAGAAACTCTGCCATTGGTCACATCATCCGAGTTTGATGTGCTAGCACACCTGAGTTGTATATGCATACCAATGCAGAAAACATCATGGAGATCATCATATAGAGTAATCTCACATGAAATCCATCATGTGGCGCTCTTGTAAATATCTTGGTTGTCATGTCTGTTGATAATGGAGAAGGACAGTTGATAGGTATGGAAGAAGCCTTAGCTCACCTTGTCTTGTCCTTCTTCTTTCCCTTGCACTGTGCCATGCTTTTTAGTGCATGGCATGTATTTTCCATAGCATGTTTCAATACCACTGTGTCTGGGTTCAAGACATACCTTGAAGGTTGCACATCTGAGTCAGAATCATCAGAGGGAAGGGGTTAATATGGCATGGTGATAGTATTATGTAGTGAAGGCAAAAGCAATGACTAAACAGTCAAGTTGCAACACATTGATTGGTCACATGCTTGAGTCAGGAGACTTTTCACAGAGTTGGACTTTTTTTGTTGCTTTTACTGCTCAATGAGGCTCACACACTCTTGGCAAGCATGAAAATCCTAATCTTATTCACACTTTTTCTTCATGTGATGGCTTTTCAATGCCTTACATGTCCCTGAAGCTTCCATGATCAGCGTGCTCTCAAGATGCATTAATAGAGCTGCAAAAGCTATCAAGAGATTTAATATGTTACTTTTTAGCAAAAACATGCTCAAGAGGAAGAGGCAGCAGAGGAGGCAGAAACATGGTCAAGGAAGAGAGCTCAGATGCTAGTACAATATGAAGAGTTGACAGTAGAGATAAGTGTTGTGGCCTTTATGCATGCTCACTATATATTGAACAATATTCACATTTTTTTTTGCGTATCAGTAAGACATTTTGGACTCAATCCCTATCCCAGAAGCTTTATTATCAGAACTTCCACCCCTGCTTCTGCATCCTACTACACACTCTATGCACTTTGGATGTGGAATATGCTTCCCAAAGTGATTTGATGATTTCCTGCCTGGCTCCACTACCCCCCTCTCCTATATTCCTTTGAAATAGCATCCTCTTCCTACCCATCCTGGCCCAGAGTCTGTACTACCAATCCCTCCTCTGCCTGAGCCTGAGGCTGAGCTGGCACCAGTGCTGGAACTCATCTTTGAAACAAAACCCAATGAATTTGGTGTTATTCCACTAGTACAAGCAATGTCTAATGCATAACCCAAAACCTAAAAATTCACTCAATAAAGTCTGTGACTCCGCAGCATTCCCCAAGGTGGATCTGGTGCTACCTTAGGGTGTAGCATCAGTGGAACCCTGGTATGCTTTATTTACTAATATAGTTGCCGCAATTATGATGTGCTAGCAATACACAAAGTCTACAACAAAATCCACAAGCAAGATAGATCACTTAGTGCATTCTCTCAGGGATTCCATGAGGGATGGATTCAGCATCAAGGACTTCACAAAGTTTAACACTGCTTGGGAGAACAAGCACATAAACAGCTACATCACCGATTCTTTGAGCCCCTTCAATGAGGGCAAGGGCTGGCATCAATCATCTATCAAGATCCACCTCCCTGCTAACAAGGTGAAGACTCCCAAAGACCAGGCACCAGAATTTGAAGTTAAGGGTATCTGACACTACAATATCATTGACATTATCAAGACTGTCTATTTAGATTCCACTACCTTCTCCACACTTCATGCTACCCCATTTCAGCAGTTTTAGAAGCTGTTCAAGAACTCAAAGCCCGAGTGCATCTACTTGGAAATATATTGCTCACACTCGATGCTTGAGGCCGCTGAGAAAATATAGAAACTCCTGTGTAAGCCTGACAACAAGTTGGAGCACATCATCATGCTGCTTACACTTTGGTCAAATACGATGCACCTTGCAAATTTTGGCATAGTGTCGCTCTAGCTGTTCTACTTGTTTTTTGGCTCCCAATCAAAGTACACCCATGTAAAACCCATGGCATATACATGCCATCATCTAGCATACATCCCCTTAGTGAGTTTGCATTTTGCTAGTGTGATACATTTCTAATGTGTGTATTTTCCAGCTTCTAGACATTATTCAAGATTTTTACCACTCATTTTTTGGCAAGAGCACAACAGCAGAGACTCTCACACACTACAAACATGAGTTTATACACGTGATATGGATCCTCCTCCTTGACAACAATTTCATAGAGGCATACACTCATGGAATTATTGTTTGATGTGGCAATAGTATCATGCATTGTGTGTTTCCACAATTCTTTACTTACTCCATGGACTACCCCAAAAAGTAAGCCTATCATCATGTCTTTTGCCCTTCTAGTAATTTACCTATATCCAGGGTCATACTTGCGAGTATCAAGTATTTTGCCAAGTGCCCATATCCTTGATGCCTTGTCAAGAAGAAGAAAGTTGTCCATATGGGCATGAAGTCTGATATCAAGACCCGCCATAAGGACTGCAATGATAATATCCAATACCAGCAAAATATTGAAACTGCCTACTAACTGGTCTACAAGTTTGGTGTGCCACTCAAGGCAGACAGGCTGAAGATGGTGCTCAGCAAATGCTCACTCATACCAACAAAGGTAAGTTTCTCCACTATCTATTTAGACAACTAGCTAACAATTATTTATAGAATGGCCTTCTCCACAAAGCTAGTATGCTTTGGGTTTGACCTTCATTCAATGTTTGTCATTGACCTCCTGCATAAGGTCAAGCTAGGTGTATGGAAAGCTACCTTCACTTATCTGATGCAAGCGCTTCAAGCAGCAGCAGATAATGCCATTCAAAAATTGAATCAATAGTATATTATATCTATTCTTTTTATTTGATTCAAATCTAATAGTATATATATTATAGCTATTAAGCAGTACCCATGTTTGGTTGTAGCACAATACAATGCTTTCATAGGAATGCCTTGGCCATGTGGAAGCTTGCTGCACAAGATTTTGAAGACTTGTTACAGGCAAGTACTTCCCCTGACTCAGAAAATCATGGCACATATTGGTATAACCTTTCACAGTGTGCTATGCCAGTATTCAAAGGCCTTTTGCCTGCATGCCATGATGCCATTATAGCCAACCTCCTGTCCAACCTCGCAACCTGGAATGTGTACACAAAGCTGCACCTTCATACAGGCACCTCCCTAGGGTTCTTTGCCACTGCCACACTTATGCTTGGTGCCACAATGTGATGGTTTGTTAAGAAGACCTACATGGTGTATGACATAAGAGAACTCCCTTATAAGATAGCCACATGAAGAAGATGCAAGGCTGCAATGATCAAGAAGGGTCTCAAATTAGGAAAGAACATAAGTGCAACAACATTCACTTCAGAAAAACTGTGCAAAATCTTTAACCTGGTAACCTACAAATACCATGCCCTTGGTGACTACATTGGCATGATCCTCTGCTTTAGAACAACAGACTTGTATAGCATGCAAGTGGTAAGAATTACTGCTTCTTCACATAAATAGTATTAGTTGATTATCTCTTACACAGGGTAAGCTCGCACATAAGGTGGTCAAATATTACCACAACCATACAAAGAAGAACAACTTTGTTTAGCAGCTAGCAAGGCATGATGCTTGTGAATGCCCCCTCCGCAAAGTCACAAAGTGGTCAGATGAACATCATAGGTGCAAGCTAGCACACGCACACAGGCAGAAGCACAAGTGGCCTGAAAGGCTGCCTTTGTCCAACTCCACCACCCATTACCACATTCCCATATTAACAAGGAAGCACCTGAATGCATGGTCTTGGATTCACAACCACCCTAGAGACCCTGCACTCAAGGTGAGTAATGATTGTCAACCTGATTGATTGCCTGCTCATATCATTGCCATAGGAGTTCCTGCTTTGCCTCAAGGATCATCTCCTGGCATGTGTACTAGGGCTCGCTTATGATGGTGACAAACATGAGCTCTCAGATAAGGACTGTGACAACATCACTATTGTCAACAACTGGCTGTATCAACACAGCATGCTATAGATCAACTACATCTCATACGACATGTGACGACAGCAAGACTCAATTAATCCACAAACACAAGCAGATATAATGGCCCTCTCACAAGAGGATAACACTTCTGACAACCCAATGTATCTGTACTAGTATGTGCATGTTATTGGCATCTTCCATTGCATGGTGCACCACCATGGTCATTCCTCTGAGCCCAAGCAAATGGATTTCTTGTGGGTTTGCTGGTTCAGCCTTGACACTAATGCACCAGGTGGGTGGGATTGCAAGCAGCTGCACAGTGTTGCCTTTATCCCTGAAGATGATCTTGCCATGTTTGGCTTCTTAGATCCCAAGCAAATCATCCGCAGTGTACATGTGATTCCTGCATTTGCATGTGGACACATCTCTGAGCAACTTAGGCCATCCATTGCTCAACAGCCAGCAAAGAATGATGAAGATTGGGAGAGGTATTATATTAACATGTAAGTTTCATATCATTTCCTACTTATATTTCTCAATTCCTTCTAGGTTTGTGGAGCACGGCATGTTCATGCGCTTCCATGGCAGTGGCATTAGTCACAAGGACACATGGCACCTCAATGCCAGCCTTCTCCAAGATGGGCAAGCTGCACAAGTGCCGGAGGAGCCCTCCAATGCGGCAGTCGATGAGCAAGGTGGTGCTGAGGATGACAATTTGGAAGAGGAATCTAAAGAAGAGGAGGGAGAAGAAGGCCCTTTGGTAGAGGAGGAGGAGGAGGAGAAGGAGAAGGAGGAGGAGGACAATAATCCTGACCCATTGCCTGAAGACAATGGAAGGGAGCAGGATGAGCGAGTGCTTGCAGAGGAGGGTTATGGCGAGTTTTGAGGCCAGTGTGTATGTATAAGAATATATTATAAAGGCCAGGAATATATTACATTGGCATTGGGGCCTCCAGATTGCAATCTAACGCAACGATTGCGCCGAACCACCAAGGAGAGCGTGGCAAATGCAATGCCATATATGACCTTGCCTGCAGGCTCTCGAGATTATATAACCCCCCAATCCGTCCAAAGCCATCCCACGTTTTGTCACTTTTGCTGATGGACCGCTTCGACTTCTTCACGACATAAGTACTGTAGCCAATCCAGCTCAACGCTACCTGCCACGGTGCCATGAAGTACCTCACCGACTCGCTGATGACCCTGTTGATGATGATATCAAATCGTAGTAGAACGTTGATGCTTGAACGGTTTCTGAAATCCGGATGTACACGTTCTGCCCTAGCTTGTTGTGTGTCGATCCCGAGTTGGCCTCGATAACCATCATTGACACTTGAGGGATCCCATGAGCGAAAGGTAGTGCCTAGGAAGCACTAGAGTCCCGAGCAGGTCCGAGCGTCGAACTCGTAACTGTAAGTTTCGGATTACATATTTGGCTCAGGTACCCCTGAATGACTTTTAACCGCTTCCCATTCCCTCCTATTCCTCACAGCTCAGCCGTCCACCTTTCGTGTCTGCTTGCGAAAATAGCCTCCAAACCTTCCTGCACATGCTTTCACGCCGTCTGTGTCCATGTCTACGCTATTATGAGCGCAGGAGATTCCGTTGTAAAGTTGAAGGAGAGGGCTAATGTGGAGTTTCGCGCAGGTATGTACAAAGCTGCAATCCAAGTACACAACCACTCTCCCTTCGCTCCACTCTGTCGGCTGACAACCCCTTAGCTCTACACAAATGCTCTCGAATATGCCGGGCCCGCGACCTCTTTGGAATTGAAGTGTGCGATCATCTCCAACCGCGCCCAGAGCTATATGCTCTGGGGAGATATCTGCACCGCCTTTCAGGATAACAACCTTGCTCTCTCCCAAGAGTACACGGTGCCAGATTCCCCCAAGGTGCTGACTACTAGATGACTTTTTCGACGTGCCAAAGTTTACTATAAGTTCGCTCGCTACGACGAGGCCTGCGCCGCCTTTCAGTTCTTCGAACGTATCTGAGAGACGATTGGACAAGAGATCTGTGTGAGGGAGTGTGACCTGCTCTCTCAGATAGAGAAGGCAATCAGCGAATCAGGAGACAGCGAGGCAGGGGATCGCGCTCAGCTCTTGCGAGCCGTTTTTGTACGTGCTCTTCTCCTCGCAAACTGGTATACCCGACTTCATATCAATTTGATATCTATCTAGTCGCGCGGCATCATTATTCAGGACCAGTATCTCGATACTTTCCCGTTCCAACCGGGTTCCCAGATGAACGATGATGAGGACAACATGATCTTTCAGTTTGACCCCAACTCCTGTCCTCGGAAGAAGAACCCGAATTCCAGGCCCCTATCAGTTCCATTTGTGATCTTTGCTCCTGGCCTGCAAGTACCGGGCGGAAAGTCGTTCTCCGGCCGCATGGCTATTACCGAAGACGGAGACGGATACGGGGACGAGAATCCGTCCATCGGCGTGCATATCGAAGAGATGATCCTCGCTACCTTCTCACAGACCTATTCCAATATGGCCCGCTCACGTTGGCCAGAGATTATGCGTTACTTTCCCAGAATGAGCGCCACGATCATCCTCCCGACGCAGAAAGGACGGCTGCTCGTCATTCTATTTTCAACACAGTTGAGGGATATCTGGGAGGGTGCCAAGGAGCCCGGAAACACTACTTCCCCGTTCACAAATTTACGCACCATCCGCAGGGCACGGGAGTTCGAGGTCGACGGGGTGGGATTAACAAATGGCTGTGCCCATATATATGTTATGCCGAGTGAGAACGTTGCCGACTTGTAAGTTTATGTCCTTCACACGTTTGTTCGCAGCGCATTGCTCACCTACAGAGCTCTCAGCGTGTCAAAATGGGAAAGCGCCGTAGGAGCACTCGGCATGGACAGCTAGTCAAAGAAGACAGCAGTCATTTTTGCTCTAGCTGCATGATGGCTTTCGGGAGACGTCGGTGCGTGTAAGCCTCACCCTTCATTCAATGAAACATTCTTCGTCGAGCGCTTGGAGACTCTCTAACTAGCTATACTTACCGATCAATCATTGTACGCCGCCATAATCTCTACATGACTGTCGCTTCGCAAAGGAGGCATACGAATCCATCAGACGCCTCCTATCGTTTACAGCATTGGTTTCAGACTCGTCGCTCAGGATCCGCATCCACGGCGGCCGCTCACATCCTCGAAAGGATTCCACGGGGAACAGGCTCACAAAATTGCACAGGCTCCCAAGGTACGCAGCCCAACATTTCGCGAAGGTCCCACAAGGCTTTAGCTCAGGTATGTCGCCTGGTCTAGGACGTGCTAGGTTGATCGTTTGGAAGGCGCTGGCCCAATCACTACGGGTTCGAAAGCACGAACCTCTCTCATCGCAATTAAACCTATATGGCAAGGGGAGATAATTTAGGTGCGTCTCGAACAATCTAGCCCTCTTCCTGCAATTGATCATTTGCAATGCCTCCATCTTGTTCAGGGCCAAACGTTACTTTGGCTTGCGACGCCGCAGTTCAAGTGCACACAGTCCGAGGAGGCTTGCGACAACATCAAGGCATTTGAGCGCCTGCGAACCGACGAGTCTATGGCTGAACGCCAACCCAACCACGTGTCAGTGAATACGCTGACAGCCGAACGAACCACCGAGTCATAGTGTCACGCGCTGTCTCAGACCTCTGACTATCTGTCTCCTCACATCGCGAAAGTCCTCGTCACTCATTCTCTGTGTTCCAGTCCAGTCACGAGATTATTACTGTCATGGATATATCGCTGCGCCCTTTTCTGATCTCGGTGATGGTTCGACAAGACGAGGTTTGGTTGACTCAATACTTCAGGTTGGCGCGTTGAATCCCCTGATATCGAAGGGCGATAGAAAGGTCATCTTAAATTCTGGACATATACAGTTTGTCTTTTTAGATCTCGCCCTTGATGATGGCCGCGGCTAGACGAACTGTAGTCAGTATCTACAGAACAGCCACAGTCACTATGTTCCCTTACCTTGCTCAGCTAGCCCGTAAACAACAGCTGTATAACACAAGGTCAGTCCTCACTGCAGAAGGCAGGTAGGCAGTTTTTTCACGCACATTGAGAGTGGGCCGCAAAGAGGAGGGGGACCACGGACAAATCGACGACGCGGAGATTGCTCGTCCCATATACCTTGCATCGTGACATCCCTCAGCGGGCCGAATTGTCCATTGAAAAAGCACGCACCTTCAGCCTGGGGTCCACAACCCCGTCTTTGTCCTTCGGAAGCATCGATGCAGAGCCTGCAGTGTCTGCACAGACTATCATGAACAACTTTCCTTTTCATGCGAAGACAGGTGAGTGGTTGCTTACGGAACGTGGTGGACATGTAGTTCTTGATCCAATCTGTCAAGAACGATGAGAAATGATCTGCAGGTATATGCGGAAACGAAGAAACAAAGTACACACCGCCGATCTGCTCGTCAGTGGTGACGTCAGGACCAGGGTTGATCTCCTTGACTGTCAAATATCAACGTAATCTCAACGTCACAGCTCGAGTACTCAAACAAGGTATTTGCTCACCGATCACTTCCTTGTGAGGAGAGAACGTCGGCAGCTTCCTAATGAATTTGACATCTTCAACGAAGGTCTTCAAGTCTGCATCCGACGTAAGCGCGCCACGAAAACTAGAGTGAAGGACCTCTGACCGATGTCTTCCTCAAAGTAGTGCGGGTCAATGGCAGGCTGTGCCAAGGGATCTTCGGAAGTGATGTGCTAGAGGAACGAATCGCATCAGCATTTGGATCTCGCGCGAATCACAGAGATGGGATACGCACAATATTTCCCCTGGACCACTGATGATTCATGGATGTATGGTAAGAGAAATACTTCTTCCCATCTTCAGGCGGATCTACAGCAAACATTAGTTCGAGCGTAACTGTTTCCGGCTGTGGGTGAAGAAATCACATACTAGGAAATGACGACAGCGCAGAATAGAACATTATCTCGCAGCCAGGGGAGCGCCTGTCCAGACGCTGGGACATCACCTCATACTGCGCGCGGATGCCGGGTGGGTATTTCTCGGCATTCGCTTTCACCTTCGCCCTCTGCGCGTCATGAATTTCCTCTCCGCGGGATGAGAGCGTTTCGAGCGGTGCGAATATATAGCCGTGGGGCGTGTATGTGTGTAAGCCCTCGCCTTTCGCGCTGGATATCGAGCACTCAGCCACCCTGCGATGAACTTCGGTGACTCGGTGACTTCAACATAATCACGTACTAGAGTTCGAGCTCCTTTGCTGCGCGAGCGGGGTCTCGGAGAACGTCGAATGTCTCGTAGGGGACGTCGTCTCGGAGCTCTGGGCATATACCATATCAAATCATGCAAATCCGTTCTCGAGAAGACAGCGAACGCACCAAACGTGATAGAGATGAAACAATGCTCCTGAACATTCTCGCCGACTCCGGGCAAGTCGATCTTGACCGGGATACCGACCTTGTCCAGAATTTTCTTGTTCCCAATACCCGACAGCTCGAGCAAGTGAGGAGTCTTGATAGATCTGATCATGATAGAAGTTATTCTCGTTGCACCGCTTGCGACCGTATGCAACTTGAAGGAGACTCACCCAGCAGACAGTATCACCTCCTTCCCAGCATGCACGACTTTATGAACATTGTTTGCCCCCTTGATGACAAATTGGACGCCAGTGGCCTCCAACGATGGGCTCTCGCCTTCAGTAATGATTTTGGTCGCTGTAGCATTGACAACGAGTGATAGGTTCGGACGGTTCTGGTTCGGCAGCCAGTATCCCTAGAAGTTTATGAGGATAGGGTAGAGCCAAGACGACACAGACGACTGAAGACGTACCGTTGTAGCATATGATCTAGAAAACGTAACAGGATTGATGGTGCTCGGGGCGAAGGACAACCCCGTCAACTATATAGTCACTTAACAAAAAATCACATCCTCAAAAAATGGAAACGCACGTCTCCATTGAGCTAGAGGTAGATCCACGTCAATAGGTGCTCGTAAGACACGAGGTATACGTCACATACTGGAGCTGCAGCGCGCGGGATGCCGGCGTTCAGGACAGTCTGTCACGGCGGTCAGGCAACGAAAACAGACAAACGGCGCATATGGCTGACGTGAATGGCGTCCAGATCCCCAGCGAGGAAGCGCTTGGGTATAGCAAGGTCGATCGGACCTACGACACACAACTCAGCAATGCATCGGGTGGCACACGCATGTAGCAGTGTGCACATACCTTCTCCTCCGAGCTTCCAAGTTTCAGCTCCAATCAGCTCGTGCTCCTTGATCTCCTCGAAGGTCGGCGGAACGAATCTACGTTACTGGCGTCAGAGGGAGTATATCTAAGAAGATGAAATATCATACCCTTCTGCTCTGGCGATGTACTTTTGGAAATTGGCCCAGTTCCATCCGGGGTTCCCGAGACGCTCGAGATCTACAGAAACACGAACTCTATGAGCGCAAATGTGGTGATGAAATTGCAGGGACGACGCGCCATCAATATGATCCGCGGGTGGTTTGTTCCAGGCGAAGAAATTGACAGCAGAGCTTCCGCCAAGAGTTCGGCCCCTGCATGCGAGCGGATGAATCCCCGATTCCCATCAAATGGGGCATTCTGGACCAAACGTACCGGAACCAAAAGTACTCCTTGTCGTTGCTATGGGTTTGGGGAATCTGCAAGGCCGCGCTCAATTATGTGTGGTCATCGTAGTGTGTATCTGCGAGACGCACAGTCTTGAACGACCAATCGTACTGTTCTTGGCCAAACGTCGCGCCGATCGATGCAGGTCGGCCTTATAGCATTGGAGTCTTTCAGGGACAATTATGCACAGTTTCGGCGAATACGTACGGAGCAGCGCATCATCGATATTCGCTGGGCCAGCTTCGAGGACTAGCACGGACACATTGGGGTCTTCGGAGAGCCTGGCAGCGACGACAAGGCCCGCGGTCTGCATTTTTTCGCATCATTACAAGGAGACCACTAAATGAACGTGACGCACCCCTCCACCTGAACAAGGACGGCAATCTGTTTAGCGCCACCGCATTCCTCACTTTTGATGAGGCGATGTGCTCACCGACGATAACATAGTCAAATGTTTTACCCGAGATATCATCTAATGAGATCGACAATCTGATCAGTCTGCAATCTACATGCAAAATTGAAGACGCTACCTGCTTGAACAATTGGCATGGTCGCGGGTGCTGTGATGTGTCGATTCTTGTCCTTGCTGAACGGTGACAATCGAATGTGCTCTGCAGACGCGAGTCAGAGAACGATGGCAGAAGGGTCTATAAGAGCGACGGAGATGGGGTGGTCGGTGCGCAGATAGGCTATAGCCGATACATCAGTGCGGCCTAGCCAATAGTGACAACGGGGGTTTATCATGAAAGCGCTCGGTGCTTGCTCAGCTTTCTCCAGCGCGGCGCCCGATGGAGAGGCGAAGGATGGAGGAGTGATGGATGATGGCGATGGTGTGAAGAGAAGTGTGAGTGTCCATTCTTCGAAGAGGGAGCAGGAGACTCGTTTGCTGGGGCGGGTTCAATCTGAATTGCCGGACCCAGCGAACAGCTTCCGCATCGAACTCCGACTCCTTCTCCACTCCGGTCCGCTCCCCGTTTCCAATCCACACGGTTGATGGAATCCGTATGCTTGACACCCGACGGCCTTATCCAGCTTCATCGTCGCATGAATCCTCACGTCACCAATGGCCCCTATTGATCGTGTAGCTTCCAACTTCGAATCATACAATGTGGGTCAGCGGAAGACTCTAGGGCGGGCGCTAATTCCAAGCACAGAACACGATGGCTGAATTAAAGATACGCTAGCCATATATCGAAAATACTGAGAAGAGATAGGGGCGCAAAAGATAAGTATTTCACGGGGAAGAAAATATGATGGAAGTGCTTCAACATAGCAAATCAAGTTCATTGAACACATCATAAACATGCGCAGGCTTGAACGCTCTGAAGCCGATGACCAAAGTAGCGCTACCTACGCGCAGCAGCCTTGATCAAGCTCGCCGCGCGCTCCGCAAAGACATACACCGCCGCCTGTGGGTGTGCCGCAGGGATGTATGGCTGTAGATATAAAGAGAACAAGTCAGCCCACCCGCATCGTACACTCAGATCCGAGGGCAGCCACACTCACGAACACGCTAGCATCCACGATGCGCAACCCGCGCGTCCCCTTGACGGTCAGATCCGGGTTCACCACCCCGTCCGTTGCGTTCCACGCCGCCATCCTCGCCGTGCACGTCGGGTGCCAGATTGTCGCCGTCTGCGCGCGCGCGTACGCATCGATCTCCGCGTCCGTGTTCGCATCCCCAAACGCCCCGAATGGCTGCACGACGTATCCATCCCAGGTGCTCGCCGTGACTACGCGCCGCGCCGCCTTGATGGACTCGCGGATCGTGAACATGTCCATGTCGGTCGAGAGTAGGCCGGGATCGACGATAGGGTTGTCGAAAGGGTCTGTAGAAGCTAACGTGATAGAACCACCTGATATCAAATCGCATGAGGCCCAGTGCATGCAGACGAATATTCAACAAAACACATACGAGCAGCCGGACTCACAAGCACTGAAGCGATTGTCATGAAGTGCCCCTCTGATGGCAATGCCTGGACTGCAGATGAGAATGCAGTCTGAGGGAAAGGTCAGACTAGATAGAAAGGAGAGATACAGAAGCAACATACAAGAAACACAAACTCGTAATGAGGTGCAGTAGGCCCCGCCGACGGATCCTCCTGCGTCTCAAAGATGCTCGCATTGGACGGAATCCGGAACCATCCGATGTGGTTGGTGATGGATGTGGCGAACTGGCCTTTGCGGGTCGCATTCCAAAGGGAGAGGTATTCCGCTTGCAACGTTGCGTTGCGCGTGATATCATCGTGCGTCAGCGCTGTCGTATTCACCGTGAAAATATTCGGCAGCAGTGGGTGGTCCTGCAAGTTTTGTCCCACATCTGGCAGATCGACGATGGGTGTGATGCCGACGGAGGAGAGGTAGGTCGCGTTGCCAATGCCAGAGAGTAGAAGCAGCTGAGGCGTCGCCACGGCCCCTGTAGACACGATAACTTCCTTGCGCGCAGTAACAGTACGCACACTGCCTGCCCAAACGACTCTGAGATGTGTCGCAAGGACCTACAACAAGAGACGCACTGTTCGCCGAATTTGCAAATTGCACACCCCGGAACACAGGAAGACCATCTTCTGTCCCAGTCTGCACAAGCTTGGTTGCCTGCACATTGATCAAGACGTCGAGATTAGAGCGCGCAGCGAGCGCAGGGTGAATGTATGCCGTTGCAGAACTATCCCTCGACCCGTTTCGTATAGAATATTGCGCCCATCCTTGGTAAATTTAAATGTATCACTGTCAACTGATCAATGATACCATCGCTTGCGTTACCACCCACCAATCCCGAGCGGATGCCCTGCATTCATGTCGCGCACGAATGGGAACTCACGCAGCTCACGCGTGGTGTTGATCACCATAAGGTCAATGTTAGTGGGAAACCCCGTGACGCTGATGCCGAGAGGTCCATGATGACCGTGAGCGAATTCGTCGATCTGACCCCTTGTGTCATGCCCGTCTGCGGGAGGAACCACTTGCTCGATCTGTGTGAATAGGTGTGGGTGAGGATATCTCAGGATCACTGTTTCATGAATCAAATTGTATTACTAACACCCTCCCTGAAAGGTCGAAGAGCATCCCATGACCATCCAGGGTCTCCGGAGATGCGCGCATAGCGGCCATAGTCGTCCACGGATCCACGAGTCCATACCATATCATCTGCGAAGTCATTCGGTGCCTCAGAGACAGTCAATAAAACTTTGACAGTGGAGACGCACTGATAGACGAAGACCCTCCCAGAAGTCGTCCCCGAGGGTAAGGTATTTCGCGCCCATTCAAGCCTTCTTGGGGGGTAGTGGTGTAGTTCCAATTCAACGACGTGTCAGGGAACAGTGTGAGGCAGAGATACGGAACTGCGACTGCCTCGAGTCCGGAGTTGCTGCAGCGCGGCGTCAGTGAGGCCCTCGCGCCCAGCAGGTGCACGAAGCCGGCGACGAACCTGACTCCAGCCTCGATTAACAAAACACTGTTGCCGCCCTCTTCGGAAAGACGGCTCGCGACGACCCCACCGCCTACCCCAGCTGTAAAACAGAGGAGAGGAGGAATCAACAGCGCTCAGGGTGATCTGAAGAACCAACAGACCTCCAACGACCACGTAATCGTATTCTGCCGCACTAAGGTCGGCAGAGTCCGTGTACAATGCGCTCGACACGGGACGAATCACAGCGAGAGATGAAGCCAACAACACCCAGGACAGGGAGAGCATCGGTGAGGGACCAATTTTGGGCTTAGTTGATTTCAGCGGTCAAATGGGATCCCTGTTGCAGCGGGAAGACGCGGGGAATGGCCCAAAAGCGATCCTATGATCGAGGAGCGGTGCTTGAAGAGAGGTCTCGTTGGGCGCTGCGCATGCAGTTGTGTGCGTCTGATGCTTCCACACGCTGGCGCCGTTGCTATAAATATTCCCGCGCGCCTTCTATCGCCTTGCGCGAGCGCCTGCAATTCGAGATCTGGCCTGAACCGACAATCAGCTGGTATCATCCTGGTACGTGAAGTCGTGGGAACAAGCTGAATGTTATCAATTTCCAGTGGAGCTCAAATTTAATTGCGGGGGTAATACCGGCAGCACGGCACACGCCTTCATGACGCTGATGGCAGAACAATAGCCTGACTAACGACCCTGCACGCTCGCAGGAGCAAAGGCACCCGGTACCGAACCACAACAACTGTGCCCACGACGAAACAGAAGAGTTGAACAATCAAAGACATCACCGTCAGTCACTATTTCGGAAGGAACATCACAGCATCTGTGCGCGATCTAGAAGAGCTTGCGGTGTTGCGAAGTTGCCAAAAATAGGATCAGCGTCGCGGGATCAAAAAGCGAGAGCAATGGTAGAAGCTGCACGGGTTGCTATGCAGAGCCTACAGCTACAGGACTATCCAGCATCACGAACTTTCCTTGTCCCTACTACCTAGTCTCTAGAGCACGGTCGACCGTACGAGACTCGCAGCCGCTAATGATCTGGGCTCAATACGACACTCAAACGGAAGGGGAAACCTGGGAAGTTAAGAAGAAAATGTTGCGTAAACCGTCTTGAAGACTATGTCAGGTGCGCAGAACCACTCACGTTGCCATGCCCTCCGTATAGTCGTCGGAGACTTCGATCTCATTCCCGTCTTCATCGACGGCCTTGCTGATGGTGAACGTGGCGAGCACGGAAGCTATCATCGCCCACAGCAACGAGTACGCCATGAATCGGCCCGGACATACTCGTCGGCCGAAGCCAAACGCAAAGTCAGGGGAAGTGTCGTTCGCGCCTAGAAAGTGTCCAGGATCGAAGCAGTCTGGGTCTGGGAAGACGCTTTCGTCATGCATAATTGCCCTGGCATCACGACCTAGATCAGACTAGAGACAGTGAGAAAGACACGCAAAGTACGAACCAGGTGTTCCCGATGACGAGAGACCCGGCGGGAATGTAGTATCCTTCATATTCATCGTCTGATGAGGCACGATGAGGAATTGCTAAAGAAGAATCTCGTCAGGCACGGTCCCACATCATCCCTCAAACTGTGTGACTTACCCAGGGGCAAAACTGGGCGCCATCGCAAAACCTCCTTTACAAGAGCCCCAACGTACGGTAACGAGGCTTCGCCAGAAAATTCAGGCAATCGCTCGTTGCCAACGACGGTATCGATTTCTTTCTGTGCTTTGTCCTGAGCTTCTGGATACAGGACCATAGCCAGGAAGAAAGATGACAGAGCGGAGACTGTCTATGAGAATCCTCCTTAACGAATGCACTGGCATAACATGATTGCGACTCACAGTGTCCACCCCCCCTAAGTCGCAATGAGTGCCAGGAAACCATTGAAGAGTGATAGGGAGAGACTCACCAAGATACATAGATGCTGTTGTCTGCTTGATTATATCTTCCGGGACACCTTTACTTTCAAGTTCGAAAGCCATTGATGACGCTACAGAGGGAGGTGCTGTGCCATCTCTCTATAATTATACAAGTACGTTGTCAACAGTATTCGACGTACAGAGATATGGTGCCTACCACTGTCTCCTTCATCTTGCGATACGGAACGTCCATCATAGCTTCGACGAATGGCCTCCACCTAGTCGCTTCTCGCTTGATGCCTGCACCCGGAAACCACGCTGGAAGCCTAGACACTACAGAACATCGATCCTCAATCGCGACAACGTTTTTTGAAGAGGAGCAAGCGCACAAATTGGGAACGAATCGAGGAGGACAGCGTGCGGTGTGCTGCCAATGAGCATAGCATCCAGTGTCTTCTCCGCGATGATAACATAATCGTCACCCGTATCTCCCATTGATCTCATGTTGGAGCCGTACGTGATCTCAAGGATGAGATCTACCGCCATGCTGTGAGACAGTGGTGAGATCGCAGTAAAATAGCCGAGAGAGAGATCGTCGATGATGTGCTCGCTTACTGTCGCACATGTTCGACAAAAGCTTGAGGAGTATCCAGAAGACGACGCAGGAGCTCTTGTGATGCTTGTAGTTCGAGGCGATGGTAGCGCAGAGATGCAGTCGAGTTGAAGCAACTGTGGAACGCCTTTCTCGCGTTTCTCCATTTCCGACCGTATGGCATGAAGCCCAGGGCCCAACGAAAGCCGAGCCTGAGGGTCGTAAGCGACAAACATTAGTGGAACGTTTACAACACCAAGCTCGACCCAGCATTACATCTTATTTAGTACCAGAAAGGAAGGTCTGCGATACCAAGCACGTCAACACTTATCCTCAAAGAAGATACACATGATTGAACCTGTCAGAATACAACAAGGACCTCTTCTCGAAGATTTCACGTGCTGCCCTTGCTGAGTTTACGACGATAGCATGCATCCCAATCACGTCGAGGTGAACGATCTCAGAGCCTGAGCAGCGAGAGTTGAGATCATCCAAGTAATGGATTTGAGATCGTTGACTCACCGAACTCTCTCGACCAATCCCGATATACAGACGCATCGTGGCCTCTGGGTAGGTTGAACAGATTACCTATGAATGGGAGGCGCTTGGGACCAGGAGGAAAGGGAAGGGAGCTGTAGGGGTGTTTTCCCTTTCGCTGATACCAGAGATGCGGGAGCAAAGATACCAGAAGGACAGCTACAGTCAACCATAAGGTCGACATGTAGCGCGGTAAGATTGGGGGAGACGTGACGGGTGGTGAATCTGAACGGTTATGATCCTCTTTATGATATACACGAGTTGATTAGGACAGCAGTACGCAGACATTGATATGATCCTCAGATATCTCGAGACGGCCATTTTTAGTCTTCGCAAACTCTGCGCCATAACAGTAAAAGAATGCCTTAGCCGGTGCTGTTTGAATACAATAGCGATAGAGTCACTGGAAACACGAGGAGTTAACATCGAAAGAAAAGTTCCATCAGATAAAGGCGCTCACCTGTGCTTCGGCTGCGTCGAATTGAAGGACGACAGCATGGCCCACCAAACCCAACAGGCGCTGTATCATGATTGACACAGGGATCAGAATGCAGAACAATCGACGACAATGTGTAAGCGGAGTGTGAAAAGCGAATAGAAACTCCGACGTTTAGCAGCCAATCGAGTTCAGCTCCAATATATCCTCCTGCTTTTTCAAGTCTCCTCTGAAAACGCATCAACTCACTGAGGTCTCTCTCGAAAATTCCATCGGTATCTATCTGTTTGACTGAGAACATCACGCTCACAATCACGGATTCTCCGGTAGCCACATCCACGGACTTCGCAGAGTCATCAGGCTAACGTTAGACTATTCTAATTGCGGTAGACGCTCTCACCCTTTCCCACCAATGGAAACGAAGAAGAGCCTGTGTGCGCATGTATACGGAGCTCACAGGATGAAGCAATGCCAGCGGGCTCTCCCGAAGGTCTCCTTTGAAACGTCAAATTCGTCCAGTTGATCACTTTTTCTTCTTGCCCTTCGTGATCTAACGGTACACAGCCGTGCGCTAGTGATCTTGCCTACAAGGTTCTAACTTTGTCTCGTTTCTGATTAAACCTTTGGAGCACCAACCACGCGAGCATATTTAGTGTGGGGCGGTCTCCCCCCAGCCAGGAACGCTCTGTTCTCTTTTCTCGCCCACAGTTCTTTCCCGCCTTCTTATCCGCGAATCTCACCAAGCAGCCAATCCTGTCGCGAGGTATGTCCGATGCTACCACACCTAACTTTGCGAGGACAATGTAAGCGTGCGCATTCGGACTGTCGCCTTTTCTGACGACGGTCTACTAGCCAAGGGCCAATGCTCCTCGGAACATTCTTCAATCTGATCCTATACGGTATCTTCCTCGCACAGACTTTTGTGTACTTCCAAACCTACAAACGGTCAGTCATCTGCGACTGCACATCAAGGGGGCCGATGTTAACTTCGTATATCTTACCAGTGATCGTATGTGGATCAAGATTGTGGTGCGGCACCTACATTTGCCAAGACGGACCAGCCGATAATGGACCTTTCTGCTCAGGTTGCCCTGCTCATCGTGGTGGAAACGTCCAACTCTGTCCTTCCAATATCGTACAGCTATGACCGTCTCGTCAACAATTTCGGTACGTCTACGTGGTCTCACATGGATCGATACAATTGACCGCGAATGGACTCGTAGGAAACATGCCGGCGGCAGGCGTTTCCACTTGGCGTAAGTTGCCCATTCAGTCCCATCTGGAAAATTTCTGATGTCGATGTTTCACCGGTCCAGTGAACACTATGAGTGAGTAGGACTTTTCGAGCTGTAGGCTTCCTTCTCACTCACGGAGCCTTTCCCGATGCAGATCCCATGACCATCGTGCGTTTCTCGTCAGGTAAAAACTATTAGACTCATCTTTACGGAAGGGTATCATCGCGACCATGGTTCAACTGTTCTACGCTTGGAGAGTGAAAGTTCTTACGGGTAGAAGGTGGTGGATGATTGCGGTGATCGTCCCATCCATCATATCTTGCAGTAAGTTTCGAAAAAGCAATCGTCCCCGTCCACTCGAGCCTACATATGATGTTCAGCTGGAGCCACTGTATTGTCCATCGTCAACCTCGTAGATCAGTCGTCGATCACAGCAGTCGCCCGCTATCGTCCCATCGTGATTGTTTGGTTGGCATCTTCCGCACTAACTGATACGATCATCAGTGTTATTCTGGTTTCCTATCTAGTAGGTCTTCACATCGGTGCCATCTGTGAACATGGCTGACGGGCTTTTTTTTTTTACAGCGGCACCGGCGAACCGGATTCTCGTCAACGGATGACACCGTCAACAAAATCATCCGCCGTGAGTCTCTTTGCGTCTTTCCGATCTTACTTGATCCCGAAGTTTGATAACCGTCTCTTATACTCCCAGTCACCGTCCAGACAGGTCTACTCACCTCTTTATTCGCTATCTTGGATCTAACACTGTATCTTTCCCTCGTGCGTTCTTCTTCTTCCTGGATTGAGAAACATATCTCACGACAATCCAACACCCTTGCTTCAGCAAACTGCGCAGTGAGCAGATCCACGCCTCCATCCATACCTCCTGATGATCACTGACATACACTGTGTTAGTCACGTTATGATCAACCTTCCACTCGCCAAGCTCTATACCAATTCCTTGATGTCCAGCCTCAACTCCCGTCAGGGGTGGCAGTATGACTCGAGCAATGGCAGTATCATCGGCAGCTCTCAATTGAAATCTGCCTCGAAGAGGAATACCGTACGCGTTTATGAGACTTAGCGTCGCTCTCACGCTTATGATGTTGTCTGAGCAGCAGCCAACCGATTTATCATTTTCTGTACCATCACAGATGCGCACAGAGGCAAGCCCCAAGCGGTATCTTTGAAGTTATTTATTAGACTGATGATATCAACTGCTACAGGTTTTCATCGATATAGAGGCCGAATCTCATGAGATGAGCGGAAGGGCAGACGTCAAGCATCACACGCAAAGCCTCGGTGATCAGGCAGAACGTAGTGATTCTCTCAAGATGCCAAACGGGCTGTAATTGCTTTATATCAAAATATGTACAATGTATCTTTTAATATGTGTGTATGTGGTTCATATTCGCATTCATTGAGAGTGTGAGCAGTACTTTTTCGAGGTCAAAATTTTCAAGTTACTGATAAGGTTGTAGGAGGCAGTAGAAATATCCGTGTTCGTGCATGCGCGCCTCAGATATATCAGGAGCTGGTGCGAAGAAGTAAATATCTTGAACGCGTAGGAAAACGTTCTCGACAAACAAATGATCAAGATCATCGAATACAGTCAGCGGATAGTATGGTTTGCTATCACCGTGTTCTGGGTTGTCTCCATAGGTGAGCACTTTGCCATACGTTTAACTCAGATTGAGTACCGATGCCACCGCCTTATCATCTCTCTCTTTACACACGTATCCAGATCCTTGGAGGTCTGTATGAAGGCATCAGAGACGTCCTGTATCCCCTAATGAAAACGAGGCATCCTGGAAAATCTTGGCAAGCTCAGCAGTATGGCGTTGAATCTGAGAAAAGTGTTGACCAAATGAACGCGATGCAATGGGTCGATTCTGTCAGTGGTTCACGAATCACATGTCTCGTAGCAACAAAATCCCCACTCCACCCGCCCAAAGGATGTGACTTCATAGCGCGGGAAGAAGGTGTAGATGATGCAATCGATTTGGGAGTAATTCATGCCGAAGGGAAAATACTTCTCCGGAGTATGAGGTCTCGACCATGCAGGATCTTTCTTGCCAATGATTGGCTGGTATGGCATGTTAGTTGATTGCTTCCTTGAACAGCGTGGGCGATTGCTTACATTCCAGTCGGAGCGCAATTGATAATCATCGATTCGATATTTCTTCGTCAAGTGCATAACAAGCAGTTGTAACGAAGGCTGATATTTTTTCGCCAGCTTTACGAGGCCTCGCCTTCTGTCTGGCATGAGCTCCGGTGGTCCCGGACGAACGTACGATATCTCTGATATTTCAAATGCATGGAGTATCGATATGATGAGCGGCAAATAGGATCGGTACATATCCATCAGGGAGATGGTTGAGATGGTTGTTCACTGAGGGTTGACAGACAACGTCAAGACAGACAGAAGAGCCATAATCGGCGGAGTAAGATGGAAATACAGTAGGAGCTGACCTGAAGACGACATCGTAAGGTTGTGTTCACAAAATACTCCTACAACAGACCTGAATACTCTGCAGCCTTGAATCTGATGATAGATTGTTGGTAAGAGAGCATCATAGACAAGTTTTGGGCCGAACGCGCTGTATCCGGTCACGCCACCATTTCCCTTGCACAAAATCTTGAAGATGGTCCACTCAACACTGTACAAAGTCATGTGCGAATCCTGCAACTCGTGGAGAGTTAGATTTGGCTTTGGATAAGGTATAGTCGCAAAATGTGACCTCGGCCTATACAATAGTACAGGGATGCTGGGCCACGCACTGTGCACCCTGTCTACATGCTGACACAGCACTGTCCGTAACAGCGCTGTCGTAGCGTTCATAGACTCATTTGAGACAGCATCCTGTAGTAAATATCACATTATAAGCTCTGATCTGGGAAATTGCTGTACACTTGCCTTTCAATTCTCCGAAACCTCGAGAGATTGTATTTCGTGCATGTTGTGTGATTGTATCACCTTGGCCACACTGTCAATGCTTTGACTAGCTCTATCGTTATACCCCTGGCATTGTCGTTCAAAGAGACAACGGTGAGGGTCATCTGCAAGGGGCCTATAGGGCCTATATGAATACTTCCTGCGGAAAGATGGAGATAAGAGATCACTACGCACTGGAGTGTTGGTGGTACTTTATCGAAAGCACGGACGCGATTCGGCTTAGGGGGGCTCATTCCATAGAGGTCAAGCCACTCATCGATAGTCCGACAGATTATGCGGTGCGTGTCAGTTGGATTCGAGCTGATCGGGACAGACATCACAGCTGATGGGCTGGGTGTGAGGAGCAACTGAAATCACATGATCACACATAATTCGCTCATACTCCGTTGATTGAGAGTAGTGTTGCGGGAATTCTGATTTGTCCCGAAAGTGACTGGTAATTTACAGTGCTTAGTCTGAGACCCAAATTTACTGTTTGAAACTTTCTGTAATTTACAAAACAAAAGTAGCAGGGAATTTTAAGTAAATTACATGATTTCTGATAATCTACTATAATTTACCGCCACTTCCGCAATTGTATCTTTTTTTTTTCGGTCAAGTATTTATATTCCGTGCAGTGCAAGCCAGTGGCGGTGTGTAAGTAAGGGGCATAAGGCCGATAGGTTTAGTAATCTAGGCTGTGAATGGCTCAATTAAGGCCCGGGTGAATCCCCTCAGTGAGAGGATTAATGCATGTCTGCCAGTAAGCGGATTCTGGTGGGTAGTGAGATGAGTGTACAGTCTCAAGCATTCAACAGCATAGCCATTAAGTCCTCCGCATTGAGCAGAGCATCTGGGAACATGAAAGCAGATGGATTGTCCTTGAGGAATTTGACTATTAGTGGGACAGGGTTGACCACTGCTCAAAACCATGCCTCTGTGAGGGAGGGGGGTCGTTGATAGTGTGTGCACCTAAAGATAATGTGCAGGCATGTTTGCAGTGCATTACACTATGTGCAGTTGGTCTCTTTGTGTGGGAAGAACCGCACTCTATATTTGCCGGTGGGTGCATGATTTAGGACCAGACAGCAGATGTGCGCAGCAAGGATGTTAGAATCCTGCACTTTCCCTAGCATTTGGCTTTTAGTTGATGTGACCTTTCAAAGGCTGCGGTGTAGTGGGAAGCTGGTGCCAAGGTACACTCATGTTCATGCAAGTAAGCTCCATCCTTTCATCATATTCCCGTAGGAAACATGGCAGAGATGGGCAAAGGACGAGAAATTTGGGGCCTCCAGGTTGGAGGCCTCCACACTTGTATCAGAGCCTTTACTGGTGTATCATTATATGGATCACGGAAGTTAACAGCAGTGGCCTGTTGAATTAAGGCAAATAACCTATTTCTTACATATTACTTAACTCACTTCTCATTGGCTTGGGTATTACTGAGATCCTATACAGTTCTCAGCCACCATACTTGTACTACGAGTGTGGCCAGTGCAGGCTTCCCTCAGTGTTCTAATAGATGCTGAGGTGAGCCCACTTCTATTACATACTCTCAAATTGACACTTACCATACTTTGGAATAGATATTACCTTTTAGGTAGATGTTGTATAGCCTTTCTAGTGTTCTAATAGACGCTGAGATATTACCTTCTAGCCCATATTTTTACAGGTTATGGGCCCTACAGACCCTGCCATGTCGCTCACCAACTCAATTACCGTCACAACTATCACAAAGCTCTCAAAAGATCTGTCAAACTGGCCAATCTACAAAGATAGAGTAAAGACAGCCATTGAATCAAAGGTTGGCTTGTCACAACATCTGGCTGGTGCTTCTCAGCAACCAACGGAGCCAGCCCTTCCTCCAGCAGATGCAAAAACTGAGGTCATCAATGCATATGATAAAGTAATCGAAAAAGTTGATAAGTACAATCAGCGCGAGGCTGCCATTAAGCAGCAAATCTACTCTACTATTCCTGACTCTATCCTTAATTGAATCAAGGAGAAAATGACCACCAAAGAAGTCTGGACAGCACTCTGTGATCTTGCGGAAAAGCGGGGGAAGATGGTTAAAATTGATGTTTGACACCGTATCCACGACACTCAATGCATCGAAAATAGTGACATGCACACTCATCTCGATAGCCTTTTCAGACTTCAAAACCAACTTACCAGAATGGGCTATGCTCTCAGCAATGATGATTTTGTTGCCATAATCCTATCCTCCCTTCCAAAATCCTACCAGTCCGTGATATCAGTGATCACTACTTCTGCATCGCTTAGCTCGCAGAAACTTATCCCTCATAGAACACTCCAACATATCACACAGGAGTATGATTGAAGATCCATCCAAACCTGACTCAAAAAAAAGGCCCCATTTAACAAGATGGCCCTTTACTCGCAAGGGGGTTTCAAGAAAGGAAAGGGGAAGAGGGGAAAGAAGGCCAATGAGTCATTGAGTGGCAAGAAGTGTAACAACTATGGACTAACCAACCACATTGCTGCTGACTGCTTCCGACCTGGTGGAGGGAAGGAAGGACAGTGGCTAGCAAGCATGCATCGACCAGGTGAACACAAGAAAGCGCATAATGCAGGCTCGGGAAACATAGCTTTTGTTGAGGAGGATGACCCCAAATTTGGGTTCTTGGCATCTTTTGACTTTAACTGCTGATGCACTTGTAATGGCTCTGCATGCAAAAACACAACACAAAACACACTACTAAACACAGGGTAGGTGGGGAGCTGACTTTACTACTAATATCGAGAGACCCTTGTAAGTTGCAAGATGGGGCATGAGACACGTTGATGCGCTTGTGATGGCTCTGCGTGCGAAAACACAACACAAAACACACCACTAAACACAGGGTAGGCGGGGAGCTGACTTCACTACAAATATCGAGGGACCCTTATAAGTTGTGAGATGGGGCGCGATATACGTACTACGAGCTATCGAGATATCTAGCGAGGTGATGCAAGGTCACGCGAGAATACTCTCATGTGAGACGAAGTGGTGGACTGTGGGCCAAGGCGCGAGTGACTGAGGCAACTTCAAGGGCAGCGACGAAGGCCCTGACAATAGCGGTGATGAAGGCGACGAGTGCTAAATCGAGCGAGTGCGATATCGGGGCGATGCAATATGAGCGAGATCTTCGTGCGAAGTTGAGCTCTAAACAGAGGGGTGTTTGAAACTGGTGTATTGCAGTGTTGTAGGCAGGTATTTATAGTAAGTCAAAGTGAGTATAGTAAATGCGAACTCGTAAGGTAAAGTAAACTGATATCACGTCAAGACCATAACATAGAAAGATAAAGAAAAACCACATGCAGAGGTACTTGCAGACCGCGAGGTTCTGTTGTGCCGCGGTCGAGAGACAAAGCGATATTTAGTAAAGATGTGTAGTGGTGAGATGAGGCAAACTCTAGGAAGATGGAAGAGCAATGGATCACAGGACCTGTACTACCCAATAAGCGCATGCAATAAAGCTCTCTGTAATATCATATCGCGGAGCTGCTCGCGGTGCAGTCCGTGTGGTTGATGCTTGCAAGGCATATGGCAAGAGCTTGGCAAGGTCCTTGCGGGTGCAGCAGGCTCGAGGTCATTGTGCGATATGCATGGGGGCTGAGTGAGATGATGCGAGGCGATGACTGAGGGGTATGAGATAAGACCACATCAGATACTGTAATGCTGAGGTCGTAGTGGGCATCAGAGGGAATTGCTCTGGGCTGCGGGGCCACCCGGCGGTGTCTGGGGTATTCCCTGAGGTCAGCGCTTGTAAAATAGCAAAAAACGGGGTCCCGGCACTTAGAGAGGTGGCGCGCTCATCACTGCTTTGCTTGCAGACCCTACAGCTTCGCCCACAACTTGCATACAATGTCTTAACACTGGTGTGAGCCACCATATGTCTCCCTATCGCAAGGAATTCTCTGATTGTCAGCATCCTGCCAAAAATAATTCATGCTGCCGATAAATGCACCTTCATGGCTACTGGACATGGTACCATCACCATACTACTTCCAAATGGGAACAGGAATACCACTGTCTGCCTATTTAATGTGTTATATGCACCATCCATCACCATCACCCTGATTTCGGCTAGTCACATTGACAAAGCTGGTTACTCCATCCACTTATGACATGGGATCTGCCAGATCAGTGATCCTTCGAATCGCATTGTTGTGCGCATCCCTCGCACAAATAACCTGTACAAAGTGGTCAATCACACACTTTTAAGTTCTGCACAACTGGCCGAGACTTCTCCCCTGATAATATGCAAGGGGGAAGAGGAAGAAGCTTCCGCCAACCTCATGCTATCAGCAAAGGAGCTACACCAAAGACTCAATCACATCTCACTTGAATCGGCAAAGAAACTCATAACTAATGGCCTAGTCAAAGGTATCACCCTCGACAACCACTCCATCGACCATGAGCTATGCATAGCCTATGTACAGGCCAAGATGATGCGGATCTCATTCCTAAAGGAATGTATGCGTGCATGAGCATCCCACTATGGCTAGTTACTACACTCCAACTTATGGGGTCCAGCACCCATAAACTCTCTCACTGGTTATTGGTACACAATGCCCATCATGGATGACTACTTGCAGGAGATTGTCCTCAAACTCTTACGGTCTAAGAGCAAGGCTTTTTGTTACTATGTGCAGCATGAGGCTTTCTTAAAAGGCCATCATGGAGTCACTCAGGTTGGCACATTACACATGGATTGCGGAGGGGAGTACACCTCAAATGAATTTAAAACACACCTCAAAAATGATGGAACAATCCATGAAAAGACTGTTCATGATTCGTTAGCCCAAAATGGAAAAGCAGAACATTTTCTACATACCATTGTCAAACGTGGCTGTGCACTGTTGATAGCGTCAGGCCTCCTGAAGTCTCTGTGGAGCGCGGCCATATCACACGCTGTCTGGCTCTGGAATCGGACTGGGTCAAGGAGCTTGGCAGGTATGACACCATATGAGAAAGTCCACAGCACAAAGCTGGATCTGAGCAATCTCTACGTATAGGATACCGGGTGTGGGTGAAAATCGAGGGGTAGAGCAAGCTTGATGCACAAGCTGACAAAGGACACTTTGTTGGCCATAACGCTGAAAGCAAAGGCATCTTGGTGTATTGGCCAACAAAATAGAGGATCAGCGTTGAGCACAACATTTGCCGGGACGACTCACCTTTACCAGAAGTCATTGTTGACAAGATCGACAACCCGAACGCGAATGTACAAGCGCCAGAAAAGCCCGTGCAGGCCGCAGGCCATGCAAGTGCACCTCAGACCCTGGATGCATCGTCATTGAGCACCGCTAACGCATCGCAGCTCAAGAATGAGCAGGAAAGACCTGAAAATCCCTCAGACAGTCAGTACAATGACACAGCTCAAGCACAGCCAGACACTAGTGCTGCAAACAACGCAAACATACCTGAACTCATTGCCAAGCACTCTGACTCCCCCCCCCCCCCCCCCCAGCATCAAAACGACGCATCCCCGCTGTACTCCCAAACCCTCCAATTACATCCGGAGTCTTGAGTGTGGAGAAGGAACAATGACCAGCAGCGTGCACATGCCAGTTGTTCCATGCAGCATGCGCGCCACTCTCAAGGCTGATGACACGTCTGTGGGTGCTGTGGCTAACGTGCTATAAGCTGGAGCACTGGAGGTGTTCGTGAAGGATGTTGACAAGGAACAAATAGAGCTTGAGGAGGTGGAGATAGTAAGGAGAAAATAGGAAGGCATTGAGTAGGCCATGGGAGCAGAGATGATGGAGGGATTGGAGCCACACAATGTTGAAGAAGCCCAGCAACAACCAGACTGGCCAAGTTGGGACGCCGTGATCAAAGATGAGCTTGCTTGCATGTACAAGCTCAAAACCTGGACTCTCGTTGACAGGCCGCCCAATGCAAACGTCATTGGTTCCAAGTGGGTTTTCAAGCTCAAATGGGGCGCATCAGGTGAGATTGTCAAATACAAGGCACGCCTCGTTGCGCAAGGCTTCACTCAAGTCCCCAGACTCGACTATGGTGACACCTTCACACTGGTTGCAAAACTCACAACTATCCAAATTCTGCTCACTCTTGCTGCCCAATTTGACTGGGAGATCCACCAGATGGATGTCAAAAACACTTTCCTCAATGGGGACCTTGAAAAGGTGATCTACATAAAGCAGCCTCCTGTGTACATCTCTCCCAGTCTCCAGGCCAAGGTCTGTCATCTTTTTAAGACTATCTATGGTCTAAAATGGCCCAGTCATTGATGGTATCAAAAACTCAGCCATGCATTCCTCAAAATGGGATTTGTGGTATGTCCTGTTGAACATGGGGTGTTTTACAAGCCAGACTCGGCCGGAATCTCCATTATTTCAGTCTCTGTGGATGATCTGTCAATCTTCTCCGATACCATTGATGGAATCCTGGCTATGAAAGCTGCTCTGAATAATGCCTTTGAGATAACTGACTTGGGCGAGATCCATTGGCTTCTCAGTATCACGTTTTAATCTCAAATCTGCCGATCCACTGTCTACTCCTATGGATCCAAACACCCATCTCTCTGCATTACAGTCCCCATCTACACTGCAGCAGTATGCCAAAATGTGTAATGTCTCCTATCAGGAACTCATTGGATTGGCTATGTATGCCGCTATTGCTGCTTGACCAGACATTTGTTTTGCGGTATCATACCTTTCGCAATTCATGCAAAATTCAGGACGTGCTCATTGGGAAGCCACAAAGTGACTGTTGAGGTATTTGAAGGGAACATGGGAGCTGTGGTTGACATTTGGAAAGGAACAGCAAGGTATTGAAGGATTCTCGGATGCAGATTATGGAGGTCAGGAACACTGATGCTCAATCTCGGGATATGTTTTTCTGTTTGATGGTGGTTCCGTTTCTTGGTCTTCTAAGAAACAGACCATTGTTGCTCAGTCGAGCACCAAAGCCGAGTATGCTGCACTTGCTCATGCGACAAAAGAAGCACTATGGATTCACATGCTTCTGAGTAATTTACTCTCCCCCTTGACTGTGCCAACCATTCTATTTGGCAATAATCTATTTGCTATCTCCCTCACCAAGAATGATGCTTTCCACTCCTGCACAAAACACATTAATATCCGATATCATTTCATCCATGACATCATCAAAAAAAACCTGATTGAGCTGCGATATTGCCCCATAAGGGAAATGGCAGCTGATGGGTTTACCAAACCCTTGGCTCGTCAAAAGGTTGAGAAGATGGCAGAGCTAATCGGACTTTAGGAGATTTGAGGGGGTGTGTTGAATTAAGGCAAATCACCTATTTCTTACATATTACTTAACTCACTTCTCATTGGCTTGGGTATTACTGAGATCCTATACAGTTCTTAGCCACTGCGCTCGTACTATGAGCGTGGCCAGTGCAGGCTTCCCTCAGTGTTCTAATAGATGCTGAGATAAGCCCACTTCTATTACATACTCTCAGATTGACACTTACAATACTTTGGAATAGATATTACCTTCTAGGTAGATGTTGTATAGCCTTTCTAGTGTTCTAATAGATGCTGAGATATCACCTTCTAGCCCATATTTCTACATGGCCCATTGCCATAATCGACAACATTGAGACAGCAGCATATCTAGGCAACCTGAGGCCTTTCTGCTATTGTGCAAACCCACAAAAATCCAAAGTGACCCAAATGTGCACTTGGGGTGCCCAGGGTCCTTTGAAAATTACAAAAATTACAGTAATTTATAGCTGTCAATTATGATTTGAAAATTACACAACAGAATTCCTGCAACACTAATTGAGGGCCATGTTTGGTCAAAACAAGGTTTTGTAACCCCGCCAACTTTAATGTCTTTGGCAAGGCAATAAGAGTATACAAATTTCAAAAAAGCAGAAGTCCTGCTATGTGTCTCTGGCTATTCTGACTGTTTCCAAATAAACTCATTTTTCTGCCTTGTCCCTGGCACAATATGGGCCACCTGGTCATATCAATGTCCAAAACTCATACTCGGCTTTGCAATCATAGATTGCTCATGTGTTGGACCATCACAGAATAGGTTCCCATTATGGTTATGGATAAGTTTGTAAGTTCCCTTTCATTTTGCTCAGTGTAGTATAGCTTCACACATGTGTTTTCTTTGCTGACATATTTGAACACGCATGATCACATCAGCAAACTGGGAGGTGTCTGTACCAACCTGGACAGACACTCCTAGGCCCCTAGATACCTTTAGCAAGTGCCCAATTAGACAGAGACAACGGTGTCTGAACAGCTATGTCCAGATGCACCATATTTGGAAATGGTTGGATAATTGTTGTCAGTAGAATGACTGCAAAAATCAATCTGCACCAGACAGGAATTGAACCCAGAATCTCTTGAATCATCTATCAGCTAAAAGCAATGTTAAGACCAGAATTATCCACTCCACTATATCCACTCCACTATATAGCCATAATATACTTCATCAACAACTAATACATATTGAGCTTTTTGAGAATTAGAAATAATTTTGGAATGCCTGAACTCAGTGAGGTGTCATTTATTTTCACATTTTTAGCACCTATTTATGGAAGAATTATGGTATATAATACATCATTTGAAAGCTATGATGCAGGGAAGTATCTCAATACCACTAACAAGCTGATATCTAACTGTTAACACCAATGACAATCCGATACATTACTAGGAGATTTTCTTCTCAGCTCTTATCTAAGGCTGTATCAAAAAACTCTGAAGCAGCACTGGCATTACATACACAGCCTTCCAAAAATGTCCCCCTAGTCAGCTTCTTGATAAAGCACCTTATCTGTCCAGATCTGGGCATACACAGACATCTAGCCAGATATCCCCAGATGACCTGAGCATTTGGGAGCATCTAGGGCTCTGATACTGGCTAGGACCGGTTATGAGTTTGCTGATGCAGCCTCATTTCTTGCAGATGTGTCCAAGCATGCCAATAAATACATAGTGCATGCTGGACTTTGTATACTTGGCGTGTGTTCCATGCACCACTGCACCAGTAGTGTGTCAACTTCAACTGATATCTGTGACATATTTAGCTGATACCCTTGTTGATATCACGTCCAGAATGACTGTGAGAGTCCAAGAGCTCCAGAACAGTACTTGACAAATCTCCGAAAACTTTCAACCTGCATTCTCAGACATGCATTTATGACGTTATTAAGGGCCTGAGACGCTCGAGACTCCGCATCTCCGTGATCTCAATAACTCTTTAAACAAAGAAGGTAGACAAGTGCATATCTATTGTATCAACATACACCCAAACGCAGACCCAAAAGCTAACTCAAAGACTTAATACGAACACGGGATCACTCATTTGAAATGGACGTAGAAGTAGTATGATGGCTTGCACCACAAGTGTTAACAGAGATATGGTGAGTTCAGGTGTGCCATTAGCCAAATGATCTGGCTACTAATGAATCTGTAGGCAAGGTCCGTTTTTCAGTCCTTCTAATAATCAATATCATAGACAAGCTTGATACTAGAAGTGAGCCTTTGCTCATGAGTTACACTAGTTCACTTGATATCCATATCAGCGTGCTATCCATGATCAGCGTGAGATCTAGATAAATATGAATGCTGATTAAACTCACCGGGCCACAGGAACCTATGACGCAAAATCATCTTCCGAAAGCAATCGCGCGTTCAAGATTTTACCTATGTGAGTGGTACGATACTCCATTCCCTTCCTCCTTAGTCCCACGAGCTCTTTCATTCGCGTCACTGGACTCTCCTCGAACAGGCAGATGTCCAACATCATGCCACGACGATCATTTGGCTTGATGAATCCATCGCTCTGGATCTCACTCTCTCCCACCGGCTTTTTTGTGTAGACACCCAGTAGTGCACAGAATCGTGTGTACGCCTCATAGCTGTCCAAGTATAATTGACCTGCTACCATGTTCAGCATTGATCTGATGACAGGCGGTGGCGGAGTCCAAGTATCTGGAAGAGAAGGGATGCAATAAAATTGGAGGTCCGAAAATTCTTTCATCGCTTTGGTGACGCGAGGTGTGTACTGATGAAGGTGAACGATGGTACTCCGGCGGATATCCGGAAGTAGAAGTTGGACCTCGTATGGACTCAAGACGACAAGGACCATTGCACCACTTCGAGTGCTAGACACAATCCAGTTCACTGGGCGTAAGTATTCTGAAAGTTCGGAGAGTGTTGATTTTCTTGTCGATGACTCAATCGTGGTCAGGAAGTCTCTGGTCGCCATCAGTTGTGATAGACAAGATTGGGCCCTTGAACCATTGACGCCTAAGAGCTTCGAAAGAGAACAGAACTCTGTGGAACCATTAGGTATGATCCCGGTTTTGACGAAAGCGACGACATCCTGATGCAGTCTGTGAGTGGCGGCCACCGCATTTGGCGGTCTTTGAACTTGCTGCTCTCTCTCGAGCTCATGGCTGACTTCTCGCTCTTGCTCTTCCTCTATGCTCGTGTCCGATATCGATGAAACCCCAAGGAACTCCAAGCGCTCGCGTAATGCAGGAAATTTCGAAGTGATGTGGTATATTTCGGATGACTTGTCCGTCGGAGAGAAGCCATACATCTCCTCCAGACTACGAGCCTCCGGCTGGCACCAGGCAGACCTAAGCTTCTCAATATCCCCAGACGATGAGAATCCAATATTCGCAGCCATTCGGTCCTGGTGGTCAAGGCCTTGCTGTGTCCAATGAGGGATATACCTCTGTATTTCGTCACATGTTTCCTCCATAGTCCAGAGCAAGATGTCGCGAACCCTGATTCTGTCAGTCGGACCTAGACCGGAGACTGCGCGGATGCGCATGTCAACTTCGAGAGGTGCGCAGAACATGACCGAGTGCCCGTTTCCGATTTTGCGCATCCGCATGCAGCCTTCGATGACTGGGATAAGCCCCAAAAGGGAGAAGCAAAATCAGGCGATCGGCAGTGCTCACCTTGTATTAGACGATCTTTCGTGACCTTTGGGCCCAATGTTACGGCAGCGCGGGAACTAGATGGTAGTTTGAGGTCCGTTCCCCTCGTATGAGCGTCATCCAGATATACGAGGCACTTGTCCAATTGCATGTTGAAGGGTGATGAGATGAATGATTCGAGTGAGCCATCCTGAGTGATGACAACTAGGTCGTCTTGGTCATTGAAGAATATAGCTGCGGGGACATCTGGTCTCAGTGATAGCCAGTTTTTAGCCAATTCGTCATTCTGGAGCTCTAGCATCTGTGCTCCAACGTCCAATAGCACCCGGACATCTCTATCCTCAACTACCAAACGCTCCAGGAAGCCTCTGGTTGACATACGACCCGAGTCACCTTCGGTACAAATATAGTGACCATTTTCCGGCCGTAAGAGGTGCATTAGCACCCGGGCATTCGTGCTGAGTTGTCCAATAGGATCCCGCTGCATGATGGAGGTTGGTAGGAGATATCGGCTGTCGTTCGTTCCGCTAAATCCTGTAGTGACATACTTCTTCGACTCTACAAGGTCCCACCCGGATGTTGCCATTTTCTGCGGAAACTCTTTGGCCTCTTTTGGGAAGACGATTTGAGAGAGAAAAAAGTCAATGACGGCGTGATTCTTGTGAAATAGAGGGAATAAAAAACATCTGAACTGCTCTCCATCTTGAGTGTTAATGCCATCTACCTGGCGGAGAGCCATAGGAATATCTTGATTGTGGTGGATCCACTCGTCGTACTCCAGAGTCGGATTATCAAGTTTGAAGAGAAGATCAAAGCACTGATGCAGTTGTGCTTCGGTCAAACCACCGTAATAGTAGCTGAGGCATGTCAAGGCCACAGCGACATCAGGATGGCCGAACTCTGATCTGATACTTGGTGTATCCTGTTGTTAGATTAAATATGAGATATCGACTGCACAGTTCAGGTGACTTTCTTGGCTCACCTTTGCACGGTAGGGCACAGCTAACATGGAACGATCTGGATCAAGTCCATAATCGACCCTCCAGCGCTTCTCCTTGAGCACATGGATAATGATCCCATGAGCCAGCAAACCGCGCAACAATAGAAGGCCTTTCCAAAAGACGCCACTGCAGTAGCTTCGAAGCATGCAATCATCCTGAGCTTGACAAGATTTCTCAGTGATAAAGCGAAGAGCGGCTTCACGAACTGTCTGAGGCAGTAACGCGAATGTCAAAGTAGAAAATCCCCGAGAGATGACAGCCTCCGCGATCCATGAAGTGAGAGCATTTGCGGCATTGTCGCCTAAAATTCGAATGATAGGAAAACTTGCGGCCGAAGAATTCCGCACGAGTTCTACTCCTCCAGGAAATTGCTGCTGTAAATTGTAGGCGTACTTTTGTATTAAGGAAAAAATTTGTTGAATACTCGTCCAGCGATTGGGGTGATCCTCGAGGGGCCTTTGATCTCCGATCGTGTATACAAGCTGGTACCGGACATGGAGGACTTCATCGCTTTCATCTAGAATATCTCGCACTACATCATTCATCCAAGTCTGAAATTGTCTAACCTTAGGCGCCAGTTTGCGGTGGTCCGGATCTTTTGAACGAAGTTGACAATCGACTCCCATCAATTTGAATGATAAGATGTGCTCTGGCTGCACAACTAGTACTCCACCCTCACGAAGACATTGCTCGTAGAGGATCGAGAACAGTTGAACTTCGTGAGATCCCATCTTGACATCCCGTGAGAACGGCATACAGTAGATGCGACGGTTAACAAGACCGCACAACCGCTCGAGAAGAAGATTGAACATCTGGTTTGCTAGCGGTTTCAGGACGACAACGCGAACCAGAGCCCTTGTGTTTGCTAGCGCGGCTGCGACTATTGGCACAATCACAGACGACTTTCCTTCTCCCATATTCAGCTGGAGGACAGTGCTTTTGCTCGAGGAAGGCAGCATCATTTCCTTGGCTACGAGAGCCTGGATTGGTCGGATGAGAAAGTCACCTTCGATCTGAAAATTGAAATGGGGACTTGAGTGATTGGTGACTCATTGACGAGAAGTAAGTACGCACCTGGATAAGCAACCAGTCAGGATAGTCCAACGCATTTTGCTGATCAAACAGAGTATTCGCCAATTCTTTGTAGAATGCATCAACAGCCATAGCCAAAGCAAAATGAACTAGACGTGCAGAACGTTGGTACTCAATGATCGCCTGAGCGAAGGTGATGATCACTGCTTTCCATCGACTATTGAGTTTGTCCCGATGCGGAAACGCAAGCATGCTCAAGATTGAGCGGGGTATGATGACTGGCCAAAGTCCTGCCCTGTGTAGGATTTGCTCGCTTGGTATCGAGTGCGATGGTGACAAAGACTGACAGATCATACGAAATATGACTCCCACACGGTGATCGCATTGGTCGCGATATTGAAAAAGCTCTTGTAGTGTCGCGGAAGGAATTGAACTAGGAAAATTCAGGGAGGATTGCACACGGAGATCCTTTAAGCTATCCTCTAACTCTCGCCCATATTGGTGATGAAGTTTATCACCCCGATCATTTCGAAATTTGGCGATGAGCTTCTGTAAATAGCTAGGGTCTGCAATGTTATCAGGTTGTCCAGATGCCTGCGAGGCTCCCCAGAACATGCTCGGTAGGGGTTCCACATCTGGCGCAAGTATACGGTCGAGGAGTCCATGAATGGTAACGAAGGCATCAGGGGACACTCTTTGGTGCTGACGACAGGGGATAAACGTGTACACCGCTATGTCTGCTGCAAATGGGCTTGTCCGACCAGCCAAAATGATCTCTTCGACTCGTTCAATATGGAGGCGGAGTTGCCGGTTCTTGAAGCAGGAGTGGAATAGTTGACGGATCCCGGCCATGCATGCTGAAATTTTGAACCAGCTGTGGTATGCACCATTACTCGGTGGCAGTTGAGGATCATCGCAAGGCCATTGTTCCATCAGATCATTGACAAGGGATTCGGCCAGAGATACAACCTGAGAATTGTGATGGATACGACGTCGCAGCCGTAAGCTTTCGGGGGTCTCCTTCCATTCAGCCGAAAGACGAGCCGATGGACTATCCTCCAGCGAAAAAGCAGCGGATATGATTTTCTTGAGAACTATGGCTCGGCTAGGTTTGAAACCGTCCGAAAGGTCATAAGACGCATACGAGGGGGGATCTATGTGGCATAGAGCAGGAGTAGTCGCGAATGCTAATAGGATAGGAACAAATTCTCGAAGGAGGGGTGAGCCGTAGGTCATCGCAGAAAGACTGAGTGTTAGCCTATACTGTTTCCTGCGAGAATCTGTGCGCTTGCGACAGAGATTGTATAATGAAATCCAAGCATCGGAAAGGGTTAGTCGTAACCAGCTCCGGTTGTAGGACAAATCTAATAGATTCATCGATTGAGAAGCAACTGACCCAGATCCCAGAGATGAAAGTAGCTTGGAGCTGTATGGTTTGAGCGAGGTGGCGAATGACCACATCATGACCATCCGTGAAGTACTGAACACGGCTGATTCATCCTTGGTTCCATTTGTAGCGATAATGTCTGACCGGGAAGGGTAGTAAGAATCGGTGGAAATAAATGATGTGAAGCGCGTCGAACTGTCGGCAGAATAATAGCACGAACTCCGTTGTGCAGCACGGTCCTGTAAGAACCCGTGTCGCTGGTCATCGCTGACACTCATTGCGAAAGCAAGATTTGAAGTCTGGAATATGTGCAGTTTTTCTGCATAATCGGATATTAGATGTGCAGCAGAATGAAATCCTCTGTGCTGAGAGAGAGATGGAAGGTTAGACCAGTTGACTGTTTGCATTACCTTGAGATGACGAGGGTAGAACGATCTGCTAGGTGTCAACAAGCTGATTAGTTCTAACAGGTTTGCCTCAACCGAACTGAACCTCTGAAAAGATAGACAGCCAGACGAGCACAATTCCTGCAGTGATTCTTCCGTTCCGGTACGTCCTGTCAAAGGGTCTGGGAGACAGTGGCTGCTGATTGCATGAAGGTAGATTTTGAATAACTTGCTAGCCAGATTCACGTTGCCTGCAAGATAACCGAGATGACTGTCAACCTTGTATTGGTGATACAAGACGCGGTTCGAAGTTCCTGTATCAATGGTGATAACTGGATGGTTTCCTTGGATCGCAACATTGATTTTGCCTTGCGGGATGAGAACACGTCGAGATTGGGATATCCGATCGGGATTGCTGCCTTGTTCTCTTAAAACCAGTATGTTTTGGAGGCCGAACATCGTCCCACAGGACTGATTATCATCGATAATCATACCTGGAAGGTTTTGAGACTCGAGTTCCCCTTCCGCTGTTAAGCTGAATGAAAGTCCCAGCCGTGGAAGTCGTACTGAGACGCAGTTTGTGTTCATCTCGTACATGATGGTGAGGAACTTCGCTGACTCGAGCGGCTGCAGGCGTTTAGAGATCATGTCGAATGTGGGGCTGTACGTGTCGACAAGCAACATGGACGATTCACCATATATCATTGTTGAGCTATCGGTTGAGAATCGAATGTGCCAGTTCGTAGGGGACGAGGTCCACAGGTTGTCAAGGGGTCTCAATTCAAGATCACCAGTTCGTAGATTGAACCAGTGAGCATGACCCTCAACCAGCAACGTCGGTAGATCTCCGAACAGCCTTGTATGTGGAATAAGCTCCAGAATATCTTCGCTGCTTTCCCGCTTGGATCGAATAACAAGGCGATTCTCAGATGCGTGTAGGACAAAGTAGACCTGTAAACTGGTTTAGATTCCAAACAATTGAGACATTGTCGAGGCTCGCCTGGTGTTCATGAACAGAGGCACGACTTGCATACTCCATCCCTGGCATATCTGAAGGAACTACATCCAGAATTTTCTGGGAAAATATATCAATGGAAGGACTCAACAGTTTTTGATCGAAGGGACCTACCTGACCAAAGATACGGATATATGTGGAATGCTGAACAATGCCACGAGGGAGGCGACCCAATGGCTTTCCGTCGACCAGGAGTCTCCCTTCAAGCAAGTTGAGATGAACGGTTTGCGGCATGTTACTCGCATACTTTGTCGTAGTCTGAGTCTCTAACCATCGAGAGTTTGGTGTAGACATCTTCAGCCAACCAGCAGGGATATATGCAGTCCATAGAGAAAGAATTGCGTTATCCATTCCTCGTCGATCCTGTCGAACACGCTGTGCTAAGAAACGCTCAAGATAATGTGACAGTCGTCGATCACGATAGAGCAGCTTGAGTAAATCTGGGGGGGCGGCTTGCAATGCCAAAGGAGTGTTGTCGTGAACGATGATCGCGCATTCAAGCGCAATGGCAGTATCATCTGCAGACTCAAGCAAATACCGGAGATGATGAGGATCCACGTCAAATGTCGCGCGACAAGTTGCTGCCATGGCACATGTACTCAGTTGTAATTCGAGAGCTTCGCTCTCTTCATGACTATCTTGGAGTTTCGAAGCCAGCTGGCGCGTCCATTGAGCAGTGATAGCGCGGGCCCGACGCAATAGCATGTAAGATTTCTGATGGATATCTGGGTCACTCGCGGAAGCCAAGAGGCGATTGGCAAGGAATACTTGGGATATTCGGTGAGAACAGTGATAATCAACGAAATCAGAGACATACTGATGGTTCTCGCTGTGACACCTCCAAGCCAATTTGATTCAACACTCGTCAAGAGGCTCCCCAGTCCATTGAGTAGCACGAGCCCGAATTCTTTGTTCTCAAGATCCTCGTGCCATCTCCGGCGTTCTCCATCTTGGGATAAAGGTCCTATTTGCCACGCAGCTTGAGTAAAGAGCGAATGAACCTCTTCACGATTGAAATTAAGAGAATTGGAGACGATCTCTCGAGCAATATTCATCCACTGTAGCAGAGGCCCGCTGCGCAAGCTAGCGAAGGCGATGTGCTCGTGAATGCTAAGCGCCTTCGGGCAGTTAGTTTGGTTAGCCAAGACTTTATTGGTTGTATGGTCTGTCCCTTCGATGGCACATTGTAAGCCTTGATACGGTCCTTCCGAGGGGAGCTTCATAGTACAATACTGGGAAATGTTAGAGTCAGAGAAAGGCCCAGCAGCCCAAGCACCCCGAGATTGATCGTAGAGCCTGAAATGTAAACCGTTGTTGACACAGACGGAAGATTCGTTAGCAGGAATGGATGTAGTCTTGTAATGAGATTGTGAAAATGATTTCGTTAACGATGCAAGTGTGATCCGGACAGATCGCTTGGCCCATTGGGTAAGGCCAGGATACATACACAGGACGACGTGAGGAGATGCTCCCGTAACACGACTCGATAAGCCAAGATCCCAAAGGATTCGAAGCGTTGAAGACCTCCACAACTGGAAAATCTCTGGGCAATTCAATTCGAAAGTTACAGCTTCTGCGAGCAACTCTGTATCCGGAAGCGGCCATTCGTGCACTGCAATGGTCATAGCTTTCGCCAATTTCTCCAATTTGCATTTCGGACACTTCCTCGGACGGTGTGTATCATTGACAGTATATGTGTGACTCATCGATGAGGCCGTTGTGGTACGTTGTGTATGCAAGGCATTTTGTGAAGCAAGTTCTTCACACTTTTTCTTCCGTTGCTCCGTTGCATGATGCTCGATTCGTGCTTTGAGGGACTGAAGGTCTAATGACTGGGCGAAGAAACGAACAGAGAACGTCTTCCTGTCCACCTTGTCCGAGAAGATCGATTGTTTGGAAGTGACGCGCTCGTGACGGCCACGCAGGTATGTCTCTACGGCTGCTGATCGCCGCAACGGGCGAGAATGACGTAGAAGCAGTGGCTCGATGAATGTCATGGGGATTTCTGGGGAATATTCCTGTAGGAGTGGGCAATGCACCAAAGCTACCTTGTCGATGGCAACCCATAGTTCCATGATAATCAGGATCATCAAAGACAGATCTTCGGGGCTCGAGGAGTAGTGCTGCATAGCAAACTCGAAATATTGTGTAAGGCATGAGGCCAATGTAGTACCGGTGGAAGTATCATCAATGTTTCGAGACAGCCACGAATCTAGATGGATGTCTACAAGTTCTTCGAAGTCCGCCTGAGCAACGTACGGGTCATCGTTGAACATCTTCGACAACCCATTACCCTCCAATGATTGAAAACCACTAAGCGCTCCCAGTCGCGGAGCCTGAGATGGCTTGAATTGTGTTGACGACATTCGACGGGGATCAGGATTGAGGACCTGTGAAAGATAGCCACCGGAATCTCTCAGCGAAAGAACAGTGTCGCTAGCGATATCAAGAGTCTCGGGAGCCCAAAACGAAGAATGCTCTTGTGCGCGCTGGATCGCAGTCCAACGGCCCTGTAATATGACCTCGACTGCGTTCCCTGTTGCTTGTACTTCCTTCAGAACAAAATCAAGTGCAGAAGATCCCAGCTTGTAGGCTCGGCGGCTCGTCTTGGCCCTCATACAGAAAATCAAGTCACTGCTGAAGTCGAATCCAAGGCATAGATGAAGAAGGTGCGAGTGGAAAAAAAGAATGAACGATTTATAGTCATTGATGTCCTCGAGGGAAGTTTGAATTGCGACACGGATGATGAGCCACAGACCAGACCTCCGCCAAGGTTTGTATGCATCCTTCCAGAGGACATCGTCGGCAATCCTCTTGCTGATGCGACGCACTGTCGCTCCCTGTCCCATCCCACGCAAGATTCCGACAAGAAGCTGGGAAATATATCGCGGGTCCTGGGTGTCGCGCTCTTCGACGACCTTCGAACCCGCCTTCGTCGTCGTGGGCGCCGAATCCAAGTTATCGGCGTCCATCTGCATAATGAACGACGCAAGCTCCTCTTGGAATCCCCCATCATTGAATACATCGTTTGGAATTTCCACTGCAGGCCCGGGATAGGAGCAAATCAACTTCCCTTCCGTCCCCATGACCATTGCAGCCGCTGGCGAAACTTCGAAAATCTCGAACACAGTCTTTTCGGCGTACTTTCGAACGATGATCGCAGCGTTCTGTGCTCGAACATACAGTGCAAGGATGTCTATATGAACCGATGATCAACTTCTTGTGCAACAACGCAGTCCAAACATGAGCTTACCATCAACTGCCATCAATGCAAGATCCTCCTTCAATCTATCGAGGCTTGGTAGATCCGTGAATCGATAGATATGTTCGAGCATCCTAACGATGGGATCCCAGCAACGACGGTGAGTAGCATCTAACCGATCTCTATATTCCTTGGCGATATCGCCAGCCAAGCGAGATAATGCAACGACATGTGGTTGCTTGATGTCATCTTTTTGTGGTAACTTTGGTGGTAGAAAGACGTGGTTCGAGAGGTATGAGAGATTGTCGTAATTGACATATGAGAATCCCGCCATCGAGTGGATGTTGAAGGATGAGTGAGTCCTGAAAAAACACGAGGTGGTGAGCCTCATGCCCACCTGCAGTTCTCGGTAACTTACTTCTCGACAGACTCCTGGATGTAAACGGACTGTAGTCTATTTGTAAAGCCAATATCCAGTCTCGGAATCAGCTCATGACTCCGGACTTACATGAGTCCACTACTCGCCTCGTGCATCAGTCTATCATGCTCCGGAGAGTTCCGTTATGCCCTTCCATGAGTGGCAAATTGAAGATTCATCCTATCTCGACTAGAAGGACGTGAGGATGCTGACATAGTATTCATAGGGCTAAGTCAGAAAGGCGGCGACTTTGACTGACCTTTTAACATACCGACCCGAAACTCACCACGCGAGCGACTGTAGCAACATTTCAACATCGTGAGAGGCCACGAGAATTTGCGTTGATACCGATTTTGGCAGGCGCACGTTGAGAATGCAGGGTCGATCACGTACAATGGATCTATTTATGTCAGACACGATGTGAGGCACCAGGAGGCATCTACCTTTAGCAAAGATAACAGTTTCAGTCTCTCCGAAGCCATGAACGGCGAAGAACACATACTTTGTTTTCTCGACTTGCGCAGCCTGATCTTCGAAAATTTGGCAATCAGTAGGTCGCCGAGAGTCGAGCTGCAGATTGGTATTGCTAAGCTTGGTGTATATTCCATGAAACTGGATGATTTCGGGTTTGGCAATTAGATGATGAGATCCGGCAGTACTAGTTGAGGAAAGCGAAATGCGCTGTGCCAGACCAGGTCGTGCGCCAAACACACGACAAATAAAATTTGTCACGCCCTTTGTCACGCCGCGCCTGTTCCCAGCCCAGACCATCGACCCTCTTCCTTTCTCCTCATCATCGCTTCATCTCCTCGTTTTCTCCCAGAAGCAGCTAATCAACCGAATCTTGACACATTTTCCAACCCTTACCCCCAAAGATCCGCTCATCGACCCCACGATCATCTCACAATCCTTTCCCGTCGGGCTTTCGCAGCATACTTGTCGAAATCACAGATGGAAGCCGAGAAACGCCTCCCGAGGTGATCATACCCCCGTTTTTTACACGCCCAAGATTACGTGGACATTCACATAGATGAGGCGCGTCGTACATGCTGGTAACAGTGTTCAGGGAGCGGCATCGTGCGCGGGCTGGTGAGTCCTTTGTGCTTGTCGCAGGTTACGCTTCGCACGTGGACGCTGGCGTCGGGCATAACCTAGTCGTCTCGTCGCCATACGTCAGGCGAGCCCGCGGTGATGATCAATAGTTGACTGGTGCTCATGCCTTGTGAATACAGTTGCCTCAGAGATCGTCATCTCCGTATATCTCGACTACGTGTTTCCCTTTCACTTTACGGTACGTGTTACATCTCACGCAACAGCTCTCTTTCACGCACGCTAGAAGGGTGCGTTATGGCTCTTCTATATAAGATGGGAGGCTACGAACGAGATTCTACGCACAAATCTTTAGTCTACGTCAACAGATTGTCGCAAAGCACGTACGCACAGAGGAAGTCTTTGAGCGCATCTGTCGGTTTCGGTATCATGCATTGCTCTATGACTTCAGCTGGAAATGACCTTGCGACCGGCCTAACTTTTGTCTTAGCTGATTTCAAGTCATTTCGAGAGTATGTGTTAAACATATTTCAAGCACTTGCGCTTCGATGATTAACCTCTAGAGGTGACCAGAGAGAAATGTGCCTACGAGAAAGCGCAGTGCCACATACGCGCGGATTATCTGTTCCCTATTTTCCACAGCAAATCATTTCATGCCGAAGCTGCAGTCAATGTCAGTACGGTTTCCTCCATCGCTGACATCACCGAGCTGGATGGGTTGGAGCTGGTATTCTGTGATCACAGCTATCGCCCGTCTTAAAAGTCTAAAACGCAGCTCTAGGCAGACTTGATCCAGTCTATGTAACAAAGTATGGTATTCCGACTTTTACTATGCAGTATGCCATCGCAGCACGAGTCTTGCAGAATCACAAGGTGAAGGATAAGGGGCGAGCCATGATCATATCACCCTAAAGACTCGCTTATACCACTCAGGGTTTTTTTAACAGATGCAGATTCTCGATGTTTCAGATGGCGAAGTGATTCCTGTGAAAAGCGAGGCTGGGCATAGCACGAGTGGATGCAAAATGCGCGAAATGATTTAGATTTGGGCATAAGTGAATTTTGGGAACAAGCGAAGGGGTATGGAGACCCTCATTGTATCTGCAAGCTGGTTGACGTATGCGCATGGCAGATGAGTATCCTTTGAAACCGTGGCTATGCTGTGAACCATGAGGATGGCCATGAACTATGAGGTCGTAGAGTAACCTACAGGATGATGATGCTTTCGGGACCCGCTTCTCAAATCCAAAGACGAGGCGTTAAGGCGCCGCAGATGAAAGCAAACTGATCCCAGACTTTTAGGTCAGCCCGAGAGATGGATGGGGGATGGGTTGATCATCGACTAATTGTGGCTGTCGAATGCGAGGACCTTGTAAGAACGTAACTAGAAAGATGGCGTCTCTCAGGAGGCTCAGGGAGCTGATGGAGCAGACTCACCTGTCAATGGGGCCTCTTATCACGCTATTTGTCTTCCATGGATGATCTCAGAGCACGCACGAGCTATTGCTTCCTGTCGCAGAAGCTGAATCCATAGTTTCTGAATGACGAGGAAGGGTGAAGAAGACATCCCATTGAGAGATGGTAGACAAGAAAACGCGTTTTCAGGTTGGAATGGAAGCAGAATGGACCACCGGGTGCGTCGGAGGATAGATTGAAATCAAGTGCAGATTGATTTGATTATAGTCTGCATACCTTCAATCCTTAGCTGCACGTTCAAGTTCCTGATATCTGTGACCTACATACGAGCAAACTGCAATGAGTGACTCTCAACGAAACGGGATATAACTTTGGCGCGGAGCCTAAATATGTTCCGCTTTGCCGTATGGAAGATGTCGAGTTCACCCGAACTGACCCCCCCATCTCTTGCCGGCTAGTAACCATGAAAGAAACCGTATCCGCCACCGTACCTAAGGTCATGTACGTGCTGTTGATGTCAATGATGCAAGCTTGTGTTGATAAGTTCTAAAAAGCAAACATCTGCAGTTCACAACATTCAATGCACAGGATATTGTCAAAATCTCGGAATTCCAGGTCACACATCGTGATTTGTATACAGCAAGCTCTGAGCGTGCACCGGCGAAGGACGGAATGTTAGATCGACGGCTGGTACGTGAACATCCTATTGTATCAGTAAATTGAGCTGAAGGTACATCTCAGGGCACGGTGGAGAAATCTGCATTCTGTGAGACGTGCGGACTGAACTCAGTCGACTGTGTCGGCCACTACGCGTACATCAAGCTCGTCGTCCCTGTCTTTCACATCGGTTACTTCAAGCATACAATTGGCGTCCTTCAATGTATATGCAAGGTGCGTTTCATCTATATATCGCTACAATCTGCTCTAGCTTCCACGTAAGACTTGTGCACGAGTGCTTCTCGAAGAATCTGAGCGCCGTGCGTTTCTCAAGCGCTTCCGCCGTCCCAACCTTGAGAATGTACATCGTCTTGCAATTGTCAAAGCATTGAACACTGCTGCACGCAAGAAGATCTATTGCCCATTCTGTTCCGCAATAAATGGCGTTGTAAAAAAGGCAGGGGCGCTGAAGGTCATCCATGATAAATTTAGAGCAAAGAAGACGGCAGATGATTTGGAGAAGTGGAAGGGGACGTTTGCATCAGCGATTGCAGCCCAAAAAGAGTTGGGGATGTACATTCACAAAACCGTACACGAGGATCTAAATCCCCTCAAGGCCTTAGACTTGTTCAAAAGGATATCGGATGAGGTACGTTGCTCGCGGCGATACAGGATGTATTCTGATGACATTATCAGGATTGTGAACTCCTTGGCCTACGCCCGGAACACAATCGACCGGAGGAATATATCTGGCAGTATATATCTGTCCCTCCTGTTTGCATACGTCCATCTGTTGCCCAAGACGGTGCCTCAAACGAGGATGACCTCACTGTCAAGTTGACCGAGATTGTCTTCACGAACGCCCTTCTCAAGCAAGGTATCGCGAAGGGTGCGCCTACCGCGCAGTTCATGGTGCGCTTGCCTCCGGTGCAGAAGACAATGTCATCTAACCGGCCTGTAGGAGCAATGGGAATTCTTGCAGCTTTCCGTAGCTATGTACATCAACTCGGAAATGCCCGGCGTCCCTTCACAAATGGGCCAGAAACCCATTCGTGGATTCTGTCAGCGGCTCAAGGGGAAGCAGGGTCGCTTTCGGGGTAATCTGTCAGGGAAGCGCGTTGACTTCTCCGGTCGCACCGTGATTTCCCCTGACCCTAACTTGCGTATCGACGAAGTCGCGGTGCCCGAGCGGATTGCCAAGATCCTTACCTACCCAGAGCGCGTTACAATGTTCAATATCGAGAAACTCCGCCAGGCAGTACGGAATGGGTGCGATGTCCATCCGGGCGCGAACTATGTGACAGCAAGCAACAGCGGTTTCAAAAAATACCTCAAGTTCGGGAACCGGAATGCGATCGCAGATGGCCTGCGGTATGGCGACGTTGTTGAGCGACATATTGTCGACGGTGACGTGGCACTGTTCAACCGCCAGCCAAGTCTACATAAGGTATATCAGTTACTCAGACCCACGACTAAGCTGATACTTATCATGCTACTAGATCTCCATCATGTGTCACAGGGTATGTCATTGAATCGATATGACTATTTTCGTGGCCCTCACCCCCGGGTCCCGACACTAGGTTAGAGTTCGACCATGGCGGACGTTCCGCCTCAACGAGTGCGTATGTGGACCATACAACGCCGACTTCGACGGAGATGAGATGAACCTGCGTACGCGCTTTTGCAGTTCTCGTTAATATTCCCGAATTGACCTACAGCCTGTAGATATTCCTCAGACGGAAGAAGCTCGCACTGAGGCTCTCGAACTCATGAGCGTTAAAAAAAACACCGTCACTCCGCGTAATGGCGAGCCTGTAATTGCAGCAATCCAAGATTTCATCACAGCTTCATATCTCCTCAGCCTACGTGATAACTTTCTCGATCGGCGTCAATTCACACAAATTTGCTCCTACTTGGCTGACGCTGACCTCCATATCGATATTCCTCCACCTACCATCTGGAAGCCGGTGCAGCTATGGACGGGTAAACAAGTGTTCAACGTGCTCATGCGGCCAAACAAGCGGTCGAACGTCTTGGTCAACGTCGAAAGCAGGTGCAAGGAGATGATCAAGCCAAATGCAAAATGCTACTCGATCAGGATGCATACGGTCGCGCCAGATCTATCTCCAAATGACGGCTGGTTGGTTATTGTCAACAGCGAGATCATGTGTGGTGTGGTGGACAAAGCGATCGTTGGAGGTGGGAAGAAAACGTCGATGTTCAGTGTCATCCTGAGAGATTATGGGCATGAAGTGGCCGCAGTGACCATGAATCGGCTGGCTAAGCTCTCTGCACGGTGGTTAGGTGCGCGTGCCACTCTCTCATCCTAGTGAAGTTGACTCAAATCCTTCGCAGCAAATTTTGGCTTTTCGTTAGGTATCAACGATGTCATCCCCGGTCCCATTCTTTCCCACAAAAAGGACGAGCTTGTCGAAACTGCATATGCAAAATGTTTGGACTTAATCACGCTTGCCAAGATGGGAAAGCTTAACAACAAGCCCGGATGTAACCAGGAGCAGACTCTCGAGAGCGAGATCGCGGGAGTACTGAACAAGGTTCGTGACGATGTCGCGGCCATTTGTATGAAGGAGTTAAGCCGACACAATGCGCCACTAATCATGGCAACATGCGGCTCGAAAGGTCTGCTGCCGTTTATTTAATATACAAACCCTTGTTTTGTACGTAGCTCCAACTCACGATATGCACAGGCTCCACCGTCAACGTTTGTCAGATGGTCTCATGCGTCGGGCAACAAATTATCTCCGGTCAGCGCATTCCTGATGGATTTCAGGACCGCACCCTTCCGCACTTTCCGAAGAAGTCGCGAGAGCCGCCATCCAAGGGGTTCGTTCGCAATTCATTCTACTCGGGCCTCTCCCCGACAGAGTTCTTCCACCACGCTATGACTGGACGCGATGGCCTTACTGACACTGCGGTGAAGACAGCGGAAACAGGGTATATGCAACGACGGCTGATGAAGGCCATGGAAGACCTGACAACGTACTATGATCTGTCAGTGAGGAATGCGGTTGGAGGCGTGGTGCAGTTTACATTTGGCGGCGATGGGTTGGATCCAGCATGTTTGGAGGGCGATTCGCAGCCAATTGATTTTGTGCGAGCGTGGAAACACGCCGGAGTGCGTCAAACCTATTTGCGGTCATGTTTTTTCCTTCGACAACCTTGATACAGGCTACTACTTCACGCTCAGCGCGTGGCTTGCTTCCGTACGAGATCATGGAAATCGTGGACCAAGAACTTTCGCAGCCGAAGTTCCTACGCGATTGCACGGCGGTCTACATTGCAACTATCCGCAACTTTATTCAAGATCATGTTATTCAGCCCCTGGTTGATGCACGAAGGAGCCGCGGAATGTTCGAGGCTCTGGAGCGCAACAGCGAGTGGGATGAGGACACCGACTTGTCGATAGGCGCGTCAGGTAAACGTAGCCGCTGGATAATCATGATTATTGGTCCGCTAAACTAGTTAGCATGCAGACGTAGATGAAGCCTTTGTTGACAAGATATCCAGGATTACGCAGGAGCAACTGACGACATTTCTCTATATGGCTTGGATAAAGTACACCAAAGCAAAAATCGAGCCTGGTATACCCATTCTCCTCTTTCCTCTCCAGCGTACATTGACCTATGCCTTTCTCGCGATAGGATCCACCGTTGGCGCTGTTGGCGCTCAGTCTATCGGCGAGCCTGGCACTCAGATGACGCTCAAGACGTTCCATTTTGCTGGCGTCGCAACCATGAATGTCACACTCGGCGTACCACGAATAAAAGAGATCATCAATGCGGCCAAGATTATCAGCACACCTATCATCAGCTGTAAGCTCGTCACAGCGGACTCGGAGGCTTCGGCTCGGATCGTGAAGGGAAGATTAGAAAAGACGCTTCTGGGAGATGTGAGTGCTGTAATGCATCGCCATCATCTAGGTGTCATTTTCAGGTAGCCTTATGTCTGCCCCGCAGGTTGCAGCAGTGATAGAAGAGGCTTGGGCACCTGAGTACATGTACATTGGTGTCCTCATTGACATGGAAAGCGTGCAGAAGCTCCAGGTTCGTGGTCCCCTTTATCGCAACGGAGAACGCTCAATATCAACAACATGTTAGCTTGAATTGACTCTTGACGATGTCAAGTGGGCGATCGTTGCCTCCCGGAAGCTCAAGATTAAGCAAGAGGTCAGTGTAGCATCTACTTACATGACAATCTGCATCTGATGGATCAGCAGAGTATAACTATTCTCCCTCTTCGAAATCGTCTCAGAATATACATCGACGGGCTCGATAAATATTACCGCATGTGCGAAATCAAACGAGCTCTACCCAGCATTGTAGTAAAGGTAGATCTTGCCACTCACAGCCTTCGAACACACCTCACTCTCCCTGCTCAGGGTGTTGCTACGATCTCGCGTGCGGTTATCAATAAGATCGAGCGTGACAACGAGCGCGGCAAGAAGGGCAACAACGAGCTACTCGTCGAGGGATGTGGCTTGAAGAAGGTCATGGTGACTGAAGGTCTGACCGAGTCGCTTGCTGCAAACATAACTTAGCCTAAAAGAATACTTTTCAGGCATTGTTGGAGAACAGGTGACGACCAATCATGTGATTGAGGCCGCACAGGTTCTAGGTATCGAATCCGCGCGACAAACAATTATCGACGAGATCCAGTTCACGATGCAGTCGCATGGGATGAGCATCGATCCTCGGCATGTCATGCTGCTTGGAGATATCATGACCTATAAGGTCTGTCTGATTTTCTTCGATTCGACCTTCGCCAAACCACAACACATTTCAATTGCACAGGGCGAAGTACTGGGCATCACCCGCTTCGGTGTGGCGAAAATGAAGGACAGCGTCCTGATGCTCTCGTCGTTTGAGAAGACGACGGACCACCTGTTTGATGCGTCAGCATGTAGCAAGATGGACAGTATCGCCGGTGTGTCTGAAAGCATCATCATGGGAAACCCAGCTGCCAATTGCGGGACGTCCATGTATGTCCTGTTTCTTGCTTGCTAATTCCTGCTTTATCGACCTGACCTCTATGACAGGCCTGCGTTGATTTCTCCCGCCCCGGCGCTGAGCAAGCCGCGGAAGCTGTTATTCGAAAGTTCTCTTTGATATCTATGCTTTTTTTTGTCTTCAATCTTGGTAAATGAATGTATATCAGGCCGATTCCTTAATTATGTCCCAGAAATACAGGGTAAGAGCCCGATAAAGAGACGCCGAGGAGCCATGCATATTACAGACTGTATGTAGAGACACTGAGGTTGGTACACATCGGAGAAGATTTTTGCCTGGATATGCTATTGTTGCGTGATGTGTCCTCAGACTGTGTATATAGGGCCCAGGCTGATCATTCGCGCGCATTTACATGCTATACGCGAGATAATGTTACCTATACAATGAAAATTCGCTTTGGGTGGACATCGAGACCCAGTTCCATCATGATAAACGCAAACGCAAATATATGTTGATTCAGAACTAGTCGTACATCAAAAATTGTCAGGAGTTGGTACAAATAGCAAACATATAGGACAATACTGCATTCTTAATGCCGGCTCGACGGGGTCAGTGAGAAGTGCTGGAGGGGAATGACGATCAAGCCTGGATATGAAACACTTAAAGGAGGAGCACTCGCCAACGGAGGAGCATCAACATTAAACATGAACATGGTTCAAAACAATATGCCTGCCTCGTTCCGGCATGCAGTGAGAGTTGCACCTGCTACCATCAATCTTGTTGGGACCATAGTACCAAGCTATAGGGATGCTGGATCCCTAAAAATGGACAGAACAATTGAGAGTGGTCAGCTGCCACATAACATGTGACCATGGAATATAAAAACTCACATTGTCCAGTTTGGAGAGCAGATTGATGTTCGCCCTCCCAACTGTGAATTCGAAGATCTTGTCAATGTTAGCCCCAGGATGGATTCAAAGTCCAAGAACCCTGCTAATACTGTGGTTGTGGATGACCTTGTAGGCATCCTCGAGAAATACCTAAGCAGCTGCATTGTTAATTGACAGTGATATGCTAGAGGTGGCTCTAAGTGCTGAGCATAACACTAAAACAACCTCTAATGCAGGTGGTGCTGGAGCTAGTATCTGATACACAAGGAATTGTTAGTGATAACTTTAGAAATTGATGGCACACTGGGAAGCAGTGAGGAGTGTGAGATTATAGCACCCGGACAGTTTCGGGACTACACCAAACACTGACCAAACGTTCGGTCGGTCATGTTGGCAATTTGGTTGGTAACAAGAAGATAGTGTCACAGCCAACAACTATGTGCTTCAAGAGCCACACAGGACTCTGACAATATGCAAGGGAGGACAAGGGATATGAGTGAAGAGACAAGTACAAACGTGAACAAGGCTGAATAACGAGGATGACAAGTTTTTGGGAGTTGATGAAGATGATTTCAATGGTTGAGACAAGTGCAAATGAGCTCTGAACTGTGGGGTGCAAAAGCTGGTTTATTCCAGAGTTGTATGTAGGTTTTTATAATAAACAGAGCCCCTAAGTAAAATATTGAACATGAAATGAGAGTAAGTGTTGAATGGGTGCCTATTACGAACTGCTCGTTCGATAACCCCAAGAGTAGGAGGTTCTTCCCTAGGTCACTCGTAGAGAGAGGGTAGAACGATGGTCTCAACTGTACGTGTAGCACAGGAGCCAGAGATGTATTGCGATGTAGCAATGAAGAGTACTGTAGAATGACAGTACTGGAATGAAGAGTCCTGTATGTGAAGATATAGGAGAAACGAAGAGAATAGACTAAAGATCCTCAGCCTACTCTATGGGCCTTTTATACTACTTTAGGAAATAGGGCGTGAGAATACTGTATATGTATCCGTAGGTATTCTGTAAGTCGTCTCTCTCAATAACGACTACTCTTGTGCTTCTCCGTTCGTCTCCTTCCGGCCAGGAAAGACTAGGAGCTCAATGCCCAGTGTGTGAGTAGTTTGTAAGGCGGCATTCTATGCCCGTCGCAATATGGCTCGTGATACTCGACCAACAATAAGGTGATCCATTGGGAGTGGATGACCAAGGTTATTATCTGTACCTTGTTGTATGCCTCAACTTCATGAGGCCGCTTGATATTTGTGATGATCGTGTCGGTATAGACCGCCGTTAAGGCCTGACAGAATGTGATCATAACAGTGCCAAGCCCTAGTGATCAGAGAAGATAAGAAGATAGGTGGGATGTCCATATGGGTTCCAAAGGTAATAAGGTAAAAGGTGATCAGCAATGGCAAAATCCCAAATGTTTAGGATCCGTCACCTGAGTGTAGATAGCAGAAACAGGTGTTGGCAAGCCAATGACAATAAAGAAGAAGTAATGTACAACTAGGGTGGCCAAGTAATGGTGCAAGATCACATTTGACCAACCATGCAGAAGTCAGGAAGATAAGCAATAAGGACTGACTGACTCCCGGAGCACATTGGCTGACCTGGAATACTGGCTCTGATCTCATAAACACCTTATTGTAACACTCCTGTGTAGTCATGGTAAGTACGTGAAGTGTGGGCCAAGTGCTGCCAAATGTCCTTTAGTGGGTTATGGTTGGTTAAGTAGGGACCGACCATGTTTAGTAATAGTTGGCATCTTTGGTACTTATCTAGCACTGTTCAGTGTCTCCTCAAAGCTTCCCAAATACCTTTCTCAGACCCTAGCATGGTGATACGCTAGAGGTGGCTCTAAGTGCCAAGCACAACACCAAAACAACCTCTAATGCAAGGGTGCTGGAGCTAGTATCTGATACACAAGGAATCATTAGTGAGGACTTTAGAAATAAATGGCGCACTGAGAAGCAGCGAGGAGTGTGAGATTATAGCACCCGAACGGTTTCAGGACTGCATCGGACACTGACCAAACATTCGGTCGGTTGTGTTGGCAATTCAGTCAGTAACAAGAAAGTAGTGCATTTGGAAAACCATCCCTTTGTATTAAGCTCTAATTAGTTCTATTTATGCATAATTAAGAACGATTAGGATTAGATATTTTTAGCTTACCCCCCCTCTAAACCTGTTCTAATTAGACATAATTTTCCTAAATTAGGAATTATTAGGATTCATTATAACTTCAAATTTCGGAAAAATAATAATAAATCAAGCATCACAGTTCTCATAGCCTTCTTATAAAGTCATGTCTATTAGAGCACTAGTTCAATACCTAAACACAGAATATACCTTATAACAAACCTGCCTTCTGCTAGAGTTGAACCAACAACCTCATGTATGCAAGCACCCAGGACAGATGCTCTAAGCCACTAAGCCACAAAGTCTAAGATATGAACTTGGTAATCTAAATAAGTAGACATAATATAGGCAACCTCAATATCTCTGATTTTATTTAACATTTATCTTTCCTCTATCTTATAAATAAATAGGTCAATAAATACCTAAAAAGTCGGGTCTTTTAGGATTTAGTTTAAACACCAGCTAAGAAGATAATAAACTAATGGAAAATCAATAATACACTTTATATTGGATAAAAATAAATTATGGCACTTTCACACTTTGGACTAAGAATGTGTAAAACTATGATTGAGTGTAATATTCAATAGGACTCTACTAGTATAGACAATGCTACCTGAATTTGCAAATTTGATCAAAACATAATTATGAATAATCAAGATCCAATAAGAGAGAGGGGTTTTCCAAATAGCCATTAGTGAGGTAGAAGGTGGGGACAAGAGTATATGTATGGCATGCCTATATATAAATAAGCACAAGATCGTTAGAGGTGATCTTAATATGCTTAATGCATATATTTCCTATATGGCAGGCAAATATATCATTTTGGCACCACATACCAACATGACTGTCTTTTCCACAGCCTAACAGCTAGAGGAAAACACCAAGTTTGAGCATCTTCTGTATATTAAGGCAATGAACAATATAATTAGTGCTAAAAATTGTAATATCAATAGTGATAATGATTGTGTGCTGCACAAGACAGTATTAGCCACTATACTAATAGACAAGGTGTCATGATCACGTTCTGTCGGGCCTTAACGGCGGTCTATCCTGACACGATCATCACAAATATCAAGCGGCCTCACAAGGTGAGGCGTACAACAAGGTACAGATAGTAACCTTGGTCATCTACTCCCAATGGATCACCTTATCATTGGTCGAGTATCACGGGCCTATTGCGTAGCGGGCATGGAACGCCGCCTTACAAACTACTCACACATCGGGCATTGAGCTCCTAGTCATTCCTGGCTGGAAGGAGACTAACGGAGAAGCACAAGAGTAGTCGTTATTGAGAGAGACGACTTACAGAATACCTACGGATACATATACGGTATTCTCACGCCCTACTTCCTAAAGTAGTATAAAAGGCCCATAGAGTAGGCTGAGGTTCTTCAGTCTATTCTCTTCGTTCAGTACTGTCTTCCTACAGTACTCCTTCGTTCCCCTGTATCTTCACATACAGGGACCTTCTACCCTTTCATTGCTACACTGCAATACACTCCTGGCTCCTGTGCTACACGTACAGTCGAGACCATCGTTCCCCACATCCTCCACGAGTGACCTAGGGAAGAACCTCCTACTCTTGGGGTTACCGAACGAGCAGTTCGTAACACTAGAATAGACTCTTCTGCCCCTACCTTGCTCGCACTAGCTTGCTGCCACACTCTCTCTCATAACCTTCCTTGGTGGGGATAATAGACCCCCATTAAGAGAGTGTTACTACACACACTCTGGAGCAAGACCTAGGCCAGGAATATCCACCCGGCACTAGACGTATCAATAACCGATTCCGTCACAACAATCGCCCTATCCGGCGTGAAGGGGACTTCTGGGTCTACGAAGACAACAACAGATACGCCCCTCCGAATTACGATAACTGCTCATACCGAAACGGGCGTTATTACTTCACCCTTGAAGATGGAACAGAGGAAGAGGATATTTGGAACGAAACAGAAGCTCAGTGGGAACTAGCCCCACAATACAGGGAACCGGCGCCGGTAATCCCCGAAGACTCGGAGCAAGAGGAAACAACCTTGGAATCAGACTCCGACTCACCAGACCAAACACCGATCAACACCCGAAACGAACCACTCACCGAAATGTCGGGACAAGCTTCGACTTCTACAGACCCCCCTTCCGCAACAGTACAACCCGGAAGAGGAAAAGTCAAACTCCCAGACAACTACACAGGCAACCGCATCGAATCCCAGAAATTCATGCTCCAATGCCTTCTTCTTTTCGCAGCAGAATCCGATCAGTACAAGACCAATCAAGACAAGATATCCCTGGTGCTCTCATGCATGAGATATGGCATGGCAGGAGCTTGGGCCGAGAACTTCCTTCTCAAATTAGTAGGAGCGGACCCCCCCACTGATCTAGGAACCTGGAGGGACTTTTTAACAAAGTTCAAGCTCCAATTTAGGGAGACAGGCAAGGCCGATAAAGTGCGAAGCGTACTCATGGCCTTCTCCCAAGGACGAATGACGGTTGATGAATACTCCAACCAATTCATTCTCATTGCTGCCGATGCCGACATCTCCGACAAGGAGCAAGTCCCCTACTTCCAACGTGGGTTAGACCCGCGCGTCATGGATAAAATATATGACAAGGAAGTTCAACCAAAGGACACCATTCAGGACTGGATTAACACAGCCTGCGAAATAAACGGACGACTCAGAGCCAGATCCGCTCAAAAGGCCATCCTTGCCAACTCCACCTCCTTTCGCAGCGATTATCTGAATCATTTCCATACCCAACCAGCCGTCCGTTATAACTCCATAACTGCCCCTCGCAGAATGAACAACCAGGTGGTCGACATGGACATTGACGCTACCAGAAAGCGTAACACCGAAAGTCAAAAGAGAAAATTTGACGGCAAGCGAACCACCTCCTGTTCTAACTGTGGAAAGCCAGGGCACTCTAGTGCTGACTGTTGGTCACCACGTAGAGGCGTTCATCCAGTTCGAGGAAACTCGAAGAGACGCATGGGTACGACAGAGAGAAGAAACCGCACAGCTGATTTGGAGGGAGAAGACGACGCACCCGCTATGGGAGACCAAGCAGGAATATATCGAGGAATGGAGACAGAGAATGTTCCTCGCAACGACCAGCGGGTACCACAACCTGGTCCTTCAATGGAACGTTCTCACTCTACCTCATCCGGACGACCCCAAACGAACCATGGGCAACACACTATGTTACCTAACGGACGACGGGGAGACGGAAGCGTCAGTCATTCTGCTCGAATCGGAGCAGTGCTCGGAGAATTAGGAGAAGATGAAGCCAGAGAAGTAATCTTGGGACACGCGGAGCATTTTTCCTGACCTCTCCCTCACCAGCAAAGGAGAGAGGTCAAGGACGACCTGAGTTTGATGCCCGCACTTGTATTCGTATCGGAGCAATGAACGACCATATCATCACTCCCATACGCCTGAACATGAAAGTATCAAACAGGAGTCAATACGGTAGAGCAAAGGCAACCATCGATTCGGCATGCGAAGGGGTTATAGTAAACGAAACTTGGGTCAGGAGACATTGTTTCCCCACCTATACACTCAACAACCCCATTTGTGTCCGGAACGTCGATGACACCATTAACAAAGCAGGTCTCATCCGATCTGCCTTGGATGTAAACCTCACCATTCGGGACATCAATGGACGAACGCATACTGAGTGCGTCCAGATGTTTATCTCCAATCTAGGGAAGGACGACCTTATCCTAGGAACAGATTGGTTGAAATACCATGATCCCTCCATTGAATGGAGGCGACGTGAAGTGCACTTTGATCGGTGCCCCCAGAAATGCCAACAACCGCATGGGTTTACTAGGGCAAGGGAAGAACCGCAAAATAAAAGGCGGTTATCAGACGTGGAGCCACGGCACAAACCACGCATTAACGAGCGCGAAAAACAGCGCCTAGAACATCTCCGAAGATTATCGGAAGATGTAGGACTCCGCGATCATAGCGGAACGTTTGGCATCCAACTACGAGCATACCTCAAAAGGAAATGGCTCCTACAGGACATAAGGAAATATGCAGAAGAGAAACGAAAAGCTCAAGCCAAGCCATCTCTTTCACCAAACAGGGGAGAACCTGATCTCCCAGATAAAACCTCAGGAAAACAGGCCATAGAGGAACCAGTAATTCGGAAACTGGCTCCCGAACCGTCAGGATTTGCCAGCTTCGACCAGGACTTGGAGGACAAAATCGTCGTCACCAATCTAAAGGAAAGAGTTCCCAAGGCGCATCATGAATTTTTGGACATTTTCAGTGAACAAAAGTCGCAGCGACTCCCAGAACACACTTATTGGGACCACGCCATAGATCTGAAACCGACTTTCAAACCTCAAGTACCAAAAATCTACGCCTTGAGCCCAAAGAAACATGATGAACTAGGGAAATTCATCAAGGAACACCTCACTCGGGGGACCATCCGTCGATCCACCTCACAAACGGCAGCCCCATTTTTCTTTATAGGAAAGAAAGATGGAAAACTGCGCCCGGTACAGGACTATCGCCATTTGAACTCGTACACCATCCCAAATGTGTGCCCCCTTCCACTGATCCAAGAACTATTGGACGTGATCAAAGGGGCCACCATTTTCAGCAAATTGGATGTACGATGGGGATACAACAATATACGAATCAAAAAAGGCGACGAGTGGAAGGCAGCTTTCATCACTCCGCTGGGTTCCTACGAACCTACGGTGATGTTCTTCGGCCTCACCAACTCACCAGCCACCTTCCAGGCCATGATGAACATGATCTTCAGAGAACTCATCACAGCCCGAAAAATAACTGTATATATGGACGACATCCTCATCTTCTCCAAAAACATGGCAGAGCACATTCAAGTCCTGAACCAAGTTTTCCAGATCTTACACGACAACGACCTCTACTTGAAACCAGAAAAATGCGAGTTTTATAAAGAAAAACTCCAATATCTGGGATACACAATTTCAAAAGACCATGTCGCCATGGAAGACTCGAAGGTGGACGCCATACAAGATTGGCCAATCCCGCGTACCGTCCGAGACATTCGCTCCTTTTTAGGTCTAGGAAATTTCTACAGGTGTTTCATTGATAAGTTCTCCCTTATCGCACGCCCCCTGCACGACCTCACCAAAAAAGATGCAAAATGGAATTGGACTTCGAAGTGCCAGGAAGCCTTCGAACAATTGAAAAGGGCATTTATCAGCAAACCCATTCTGAACTACCCGGACCCCATGCATCCATATCGACTAGTAACGGATGCCTCATTAATTGCTTATGGAGCTACCCTCCTGCAAGAAGGAAAAGACGGCGACTGGCACCCAGTCGCATTCTTTTCCGGGTCATTTTCACTAGCAGAACGCAATTACGACGTCCACGATCACGAACTCCTGGCCATCATAAAGGCGTTGGAACACTGGAGCCATTACCTCGAAGGCGCACAACACCCATTTGAGATCTGAACAGATCACAAAAATCTGGAACATTTCCAAACAGCGTGAGACTTGTCACGACGACACGCCCGTTGGAGCCTCTATTTCAGCAGATTCGACTTCACACTCAGCTATAAAGCAGGGTCAACAAATCACTCCGATGCTCTGTCCAGGCATCCAGATCTAAGCGAGGGGGTGGAATCTGACAACAAGGCTCAAATCTTGCTCCCGGCCAACCTTTTCAACAAATCCGACGAAACACTGGTAGAACCGTCCCCGACGAGGCATATTAAGTCCACAGAAATCGTATCCTCGGACCTCATCTCCCTCATCCGACTCTCAAAATCGGAACATGATGCCCTGACAAAGGTAGCCCTTGCCAAACTCTTACGAGTAGGGCCACAAGGAATGAGAGGTTTATTAGGACATTGGACACACGAAGACGGAATCACCAGACGAAACGGCCATATATGCGTCCCAAAAGACGATGCCATACGAAGACTTATTGTCAAAACGCATCACGACGCACCTGCAGTAGGACACCCAGGGAGAACCAAAACACTGGAGATGGTACAACGCTATTGGTGGCAAAACATGACAAAGTTCGTTCATGAATACGTGGATGGATGTGCGGTATGTCAATTGACCAAGAATTTGACACACAAGACGCACCCTCCTATCCACCCTTTGGAAACTACCAACGTCCCTTGGCGATTCATCTCGACAGACTTCGTCACGGACTTACCCGAAAGCAAGGGTTTTGACTCGATTAATGTGGTAGTGGATCAAGGTCTGTCCAAAGGCATAGTCATCACCCCATGCAAGAAAACGATCACGGCAGAAGAAACAACCGTGCTTTTCCAGAATAACGTTTTCAATCGACATGGGTTGCCGACCAAAATAGTATCTGATCGCGGCCCCCAATTTGCGGCCAAGTTCACCCGAGAACTCTGGAAACGGCTAGGAATCACCGCTGCTCTCAGCACGGCTTATCATCCCCAGACGGATGGAGAAACAGAACGAGTAAACCAGGAGATTGAACAGTTCCTGAGAACGTTCTGCAATTACCACCAAGACAACTGGGTGGACCTTTTGCCGTTTGCCGAATTCTCGCACAACACACGGAAACATTCTGCCACCGGAAAATCTCCTTTCGAAGTGCTATACAGGTTCAATCCCCCTTATTCAGCTGACACTGCGCTGGAAACAAAGGTACCCGCAGTAGCTGAATGCGTTAAGGTGATCACAGAAGTCTAGGAAGAAGCCGCAGCCAGCCTACAAATAGCCAGCAATTACACCAAAGACCGGGATCTCTACAGGAAACTCCCTCAGTGGAAAGAAGGAGACCAAGTATGGCTAGAAAGAACCCATATCCGGACGACCCATCCAAAGTTCAAGCTCGCTCCTAGGAGGTATGGACCCTTCAAAATATTGGCGAAAGTAGGAACCCTGGCATACAGACTTCAAATTCCCCAACACTGGAGGATCCACCCGGTGTTCCACGCCGCAACGCTAACCAAGTATAGGGAAACCGAGGCACACGGAGAAAACTTCGCAAGACCATTGCCGGAGGTATTAAACGATGAAGAACATTACGAAGTAGAAATGATCGTGGACTCAAAGAAACAAGGACAGGGAACCAAATACTTGGTCAAGTGGGTGGGATATCCCGAGGCAGACAATACCTGGGAACCCTACACTCTCCTAAAAGGGACAGCGGAAGAAGCTATGAAAGAGTTTCATGACCAATACCCTGACAAACCCCGTCCGGGAGCACCCTGAAAAAGGAGAGGAGAAGTCTATAAAAGAGCGACCAGAAAGCCCTAATGGATCATCTTCCCCCACTTTTCTCTCAAGCTCCTTCTCTTTCACTCAAATGCTCCTTCACGAAGACCGCGATGCTTCATCACCATCCAGAAACTCCTCCCCCGATGTCGTCCTTATGGTGTCCAATCCAGACATCGGACGAGTGGATAGAGGAACCAGTCCTCACCCAAGCAATGCTGGACGAATTGATAGAGGAACCAGCCCTCACCGTCCAGAGCCTGCCATCGTCACCCTCACTCCACACCTCAATAACTTCTCAGATGACGACGCCGAGGACTACGCCAAGTTCAAAGAAAGGGAGAGAACTCGCCGACCGTCATCCCAGGGGGCCCCACGAAATGCATCACGGAATGAAAACCCTGATGATAGAAACCTACCGGGCTCTGACGAAGTACCAGTGGGAGTTCCACCTCCTGCTACAATCGCGACGAGCATTGGAGCTGCAGGTCCCTCAGGACTACGAGCAAGAACAGCAGCTCAACTCCCAAGCCATGGAGAAACTGAGTCGATACCAGTTATACAGGGAGCTACACCTCCGCCAGTACCAACTGGTGGACAGATTCCCCGCTCCATGGGAAGAACTACCCTTGGTACAGATCCTCACGCCGGAGAATTGGAGCGACACGCGGACACGCTCCTCCAGCGAAGCACTATCTCCGCGGTAATACAAATGGCCACAGCCATGGCCCTACAACGACTCGCTAACTTCGCTGCAGGGCAACCCGGGAATAAGCATAGCGACATACCTCGACGACTGGCTAGTGCCAGTCTCCAGATCAGAGGACTCGCCCTCCAAACAGACCCTGACACCGCCTCTTGGTATGAACATAACGATGGACGACCACGAGCTCTCCTCATCCATCCCGACGAATTCTCCCAGTATGTCAACAGAGAGCTCCTTCCAGCTCTCCTCTTCACCGGAGAACTGGGCGCCGTCCAACCAAGTAGAACCGACCCCTTCCGCCTTGTCATCTGGAATGTACCACGTCCCAGAGAACGTCCCACGGCTGTACCAAATCCAAGAAGGACTCCGCACACAGTCGTGGAACGCCCTTCACCGAGGCCACGGGAAAATCGTACAACACATAGCAATTACACGACATCCTCCTCTCACCGGGTACGAAATTCTCCCTTATCCCATGGGGGTACCGACGAAGAGGAACCACCCGTCTATCAAAGAAACGAGGGAAGAAGGAGTCGAGGGACCTAGGCAACCCTCCGCCACGGAACAACTACTGGCGGGAGTGTTCGACACCGGCCTGGAACGCCTCCTCCTAGTGCTCGATTTCGTACAGACGAGGGACAGAATAACCGAAGTAGCCGCAGAACTCGCCGCACTGATTCGGAGGCTAGAAGAAATCGCTCTTGGACTCGATCCGAGCTCGATGCATGGGACGCTCTAGACGACCCCGGAAATTACGACGATGCCGATCCCTACTATCGACCTGACGAAGGAGGCGATGGCTACCAAGGATCATATGATTACTAAGAAGGATCAACTGCAGGGCAAGAAAGGGGGTAAGGAAGTTGAGGAACTCCTTCCCACAGAGGGTCCGAAATGACCTTAAACTACCGATCGTCCGCAACAACGTAAAACTAGGATCGTCCCTCAAGACGTTAAACTGTACGACCTCGTCCGAAAGAGACGTTAAACTACCCCGCGTCCGGAATGACGTCTAAACTATCAGACCTGCATGTCTTAAAACTGTGAAAAGATAAGAAGGCAGGGGAAGTACCTGACCATTAGTCCTAGGTTCAAATGATGGTACGAATCAAGGACAACAGCGGGCATAATTCCACGTACGACCTACGGCGGAACCTTTCACATCCTCGCTGTCAAGGAGTTAATCTGACAAATGCATCGAGCGTCCCATTTGGATCCTCAGTTTTACAGGGTTTTTTCCGCATTAGGGAACCCTCTACATGACATATACTCTACTCGTAGGTGTCGACAAGCCGGCTCTTTGCCTTGGTACAGCGAAGTGCCCATACATAACTGGTTGCAAGTCCGAGTCAAGAAATTATGATGCACAACTCGTTAAGTGAACCCTCACAGTCAAGGTCTGACTGGTGTTTTGGGACGTCCCACTTTGGATCTCCCGTTTTACAGGATCGTTTCCGCATTAGGGGATCCTACAGCTGGCGCATGAGATGATGTAGAGAGCGGGCCACCTCTACTTCACAAGTCTTCCTATAATGATGTGAGGCCATAAAATACATCCGGAACGATGTAAAACTACCAAAGGCTTGGTCCACAATGACTATAAACTACTAGGGTCCGCAATGACGTTAAACTAGTCCTCGTCCGAGATGATGTAAAACTATCATTGACCCAAGGAGCGTGGTTGTATTCTGGTGAAGCGCGGATTTTTTCGGGAGGATCCGCGTCGCAGAACCCTGCCTGTAAGAGGTCGAAGCGCTTCCGATATTCACTCGCTTTTCGGTAAAAGAATATCGGGTCGTCTTGGTTCAAATCCAAGCAAGGGGTCTGGGGACATGGAAGAGCAAGCATCTCTTCATGGAGCCCTCAGTCTAGTCCTGGAGTCGAAGTACAAGAAATTCCGCTCCAAGACCTAGTCAGGAGGCAACTAGGACACGTGCCTCGAGTCAAAAGATCTAGTGGGAAGGGACTAGGTCATGCGACTCTCTCTGGCCCACAAAGCGGAAGAACGACAAGAGCGGGCCACTCACACAAAAAGTCTATTCCACCCAATCGTCCGCAACGACGATAAACTACGGAACGTCCGGGATGACGTTAAACTAAGCATTGTTTTTCCACAATATTTGTGGCAAAACAACGTCTGCGATGACGTTAAACTATTGTCCTCTCAAGAATGAGGATTGTAATGGATATCTCGACCAGATGTCCATTCGTCCGCAATGACGATAAACTATTGTCCCTTACCACATAGGGATTGTTTGAGGCCATTTTTGCAATGGAAATGGCGTCGACGTCCGCAACGACGGTAAACTACGGGCATCCGAAATGATGTAAAACTATCATCCCTTCATTCTAGGGATTGTGCATGGTGGAAATCAAGGTTATCCCCACGCGTCCGAAACGATGCTAAACTACTTGTCCCTTCAAGCACAGGGATCGTGCGTGGCGATCTTGACAAGATACCGCGCGTCCGTGACGACGTTAAACTAGTGCCCCTGGACCTAGGGGTTGTCATTGATGTCCAATCCCCTGGACACCAATGTGTCCGCAAACGACGGAAAACTATTTGCTCCTTACCATATAGGAGTTGTGGATTGACCGCCATGCTATCAATCGGTCCGCAATGACACTAAACTACGTGCTCCTTACCGTATAGGAGTTGTGGTTGTTGACCAAGACCGTGGTCATCAACCGTCCGAGAAGATGTTAAACTACTCGTCCCTTTTAGTACAGGGATCATCGGTCGACATCATTCTTGACGAGAATGTGTCGACAACGTCCGAGATGACGTTAAACTACCTTCATCCTCGGAAGGAAAAGCCTATCGTGACTCGAGGGACATAGTCAGACGATAGCTCGCCTAAAGCACGGCGTTAAACTGCAAGTTGCCTACCTCACGGCGTTAAACTGAGCGGTCTCCTAATATTGAGACGTATAAGTTATCCGGTTTGATATAGTATAAACCGTTCCCATCATGCCTCAGTGGAAACCTGCGGGATAAAGTCTGGTCTAGGGCCCTATGCACATAACCGATGAATGGTCCGGCGTGCAGAAACATCTTTCCCCACAGATATTCCATGTTGATGATGAAGAAGGTCCGCAAGTGACCTAGAAGTAAACTACAAGGCAGCGCAGAGCACCTTAATACATCCGAAACGATGTAAAACTACTGTCGTCCGTAACGATGTAAAACTAGGTATCGTCCGCAATGACGATAAACTACGGAACGTCCAGCAAGACGTTTAAACTACATTGTGGATATATCTCACAACCCGACCAATATATCAGCTGTGGTCTTAATGTCCATTCGTGCAAACGAACGGGCCGATCAGGAGAAGGAGTCAGACTCCTCCTTACTCCTCGCGGCACCCTTCAAGTCTAATTCTCTTCACATCCTTGCCTCAAACCCAATATGCATAGTGAATCAAACAAACTCTGGACGTCGAACTAACTCACCGGAGATGAGCCCACCGTATGGGGGCAATACTGCTTGGAATTTATGGCTGCAACCTCACCGGAGATGAGCTCACCGTATGGGAGCAATACTGCTTGGGACGTTAAGATGGTAGTCTGGGGAAGTAGGCCTAAGCCTTTGTAAAGCGATCAACCTACTTGCCTGTGGACGCCATCCTCTGAACGCCAAGAGAAACAACAGAAATCACGAGGATAACGACTATCCTGGAAACACTGAGGTTTGGCCCTCGGAGAAGGAAGAAGAAGAACCTGATGACACGAATTGGAATCCACATGCTAGAGTTTCTATTCATCCACACACCACTCGCATTCATACGCCTTTCTTGACACCTGTCCGGAGGCCGGCCGGACTGACATCCTGGTTTGAGAACCCAGAAAAGATCACAACAACCGAGGGGTGAAGGAAGAACATCCTACAGAGCGGAGGTTTGGTACCCTCACGACTCGACAAACAAACAGCTCAACGGAGATGGAAAACTCCTAGAGGATCAAACGACGTAAGTCGGTCTTCCTCCCAGAAAACGAAGTCATGTCCCGGAAGTCGCATCTGGAGATCAATTTTTGGATCAAGAAAGCAAATCGTATATGGAGTGGCGATAAAGCGCAGAAAGCATTGTCCTACCAGGCGAATAGGATGTAGAAAGGGGGTATTGTCATGATCACGTTCTGTCGGGCCTTAACGGCGGTCTATCCCGACACGATCATCACAAATATCAAGCGGCCTCACAAGGTGAGGCGTACAACAAGGTACAGATAGTAACCTTGGTCATCTACTCCCAATGGATCACCTTATCGTTGGTCGAGTATCACGGGCCTATTGCGTAGCGGGCATGGAACGCCGCCTTACAAACTACTCACACATCGGGCATTGAGCTCCTAGTCATTCCTGGCTGGAAGGAGACTAACGGAGAAGCACAAGAGTAGTCGTTATTGAGAGAGACGACTTACAGAATACCTACGGATACATATACGGTATTCTCACGCCCTACTTCCTAAAGTAGTATAAAAGGCCCATAGAGTAGGCTGAGGTTCTTCAGTCTATTCTCTTCGTTCAGTACTGTCTTCCTACAGTACTCCTTCGTTCCCCTGTATCTTCACATACAGGGACCTTCTACTCTTTCATTGCTACACTGCAATACACTCCTGGCTCCTGTGCTACACGTACAGTCGAGACCATCGTTCCCCACATCCTCCACGAGTGACCTAGGGAAGAACCTCCTACTCTTGGGGTTACCGAACGAGCAGTTCGTAACACAAGGTTTATAAGGCTGCATATAGCATATCCCTAAGTCCAACCCACATGTTGTGTCCTATAATAACCAATAGCAGGTATTGGCTAACAATGACAACTTTAATGATCTTGTGTGCAAGGACAAGGTACCTAGGTCTTCATAGCCTCTTGTGGCAGCTGCTAAGCTGCCAACAAAGTGGCTGGGGGCATCAATGCACATTTCTCTCTTTCTATATCCCTTATAAAAGCAGCTGGAAAGTCATCAAAAGAGCTACAAGATAATGGTATAGGCATATGTGAAGGAGAGTAATATGCTGAAATAATATAGAATGTGCCCCATCTTTACCTTCTTACTGATAGAGCAGTAGTACTTACTATTTCCTACTAATAATTAAAGACTTCTTAGTATGGAATTAGTGCTAATATCATAAAATTAGTAACCAATCCAATGCTCACAATGTGTTGCTCCCAATTAGGAAATTAGACACTTTTAAATACTATTAACACTTTTAGATACTTTTAGACACTATTAGATATAATCCAGAGCTAATACAAGGGGGGGTTTTTCCAGATAGTGTCGCAACCAACAACTATGTGCTTTAAGAGCCACACGGGACTCTAACAATATATGAGGGAGGACGAAGGGTACGAGCGAAGAGATGAGTATGAACGCGAACAAGGCTGAATGATGAGGATGACAAGTTTTCAGGAGTTGATGAAGACAATTTCAATGGTTGAGACGAGGGCGAATGAGCTCTGAACTGTGGGGTGCGAAAGCTGGTTTATTCCAGAGTTATATATAGGTTTTTATAGTAAACAGAGCCCCTAAGTAAAATATCAAACAAGAAATGAGAGTAGATGTCAAATGGGTGCCAAGCCTTAGTGATCAGAGAAGATAAGAAGGTAAGTAAGATGTCCATATGGGTTCTGAAGGTGATAAGGTAAAAGGTAATCAGTGATGTCAAAATCCCAAATGTTTGGGATCCGTTGCCCGGTGTTGGTGAGCCAATGACAATAAAAAAGAAGTAGCGTACGACCAGGGTAGCTAAGTAATGGTGCAAGATCACATTGGACCGACCATGTGGAAGTTGGGAAGATAAGCGATAAGGACCGACCAACTCACAGAGGACATCGGCTGATACAGAACTGGCTCCAATCTCTTAAACATCTATCATAACACTCCTATGTGGTCATAGTAAGTACGTGAAGTGTGGGCGAACTGACCCAAGTGCTGCTGAACGTTCTTCAGTGGCTTGTTGTTGGTCAGGTAGGGACCGACCATGTTCGGTAATAGTCAGTGTCTTTGGTACTTCTCTAGCGCTGTTCAGTATCTCCCCAAAGCTTCCCAAATACCTCCTACGGACCCTAGCGCAGATGCATGCTCATTAACGGGTGCATGCTCATTATCAGGATCCATTGCCTGAGTGTAGGTAGTCAGAATAGGCATTGGAGAGCTAATCAGAATAAAGAAGATGTAACATACGACCAAGGTGGCCAAGTAAAATGGTGCAAGATCGTATTTGACTGACCATGTGGAAGTCTGGAAGATAAGCGATAAGGACCAACTGACTCATAGAGGACATTGGCCAATACAGAATACTGGCTCCGATCTCGTAAACACCTATTGTAATACTCCCATGCAGTTATGGTAAGTACGTGAAGTATGGGCAAACTAACCCAAGTGCTGCCAAACATCCTTTGGTGGGTTATGGTCAGTCGGGTGGGAACTGACCATGTTTGGTGCAAGTTGGCATCTTTGGTGCTTGTCTAGCGCTGTTCGGTATCTCCCAAAGCTTCCCAAATACCTCCCTCAGACCCTAGCATGGATACATGCTCATCAACATCTTATCCATTTCTTTATGCTAGCATAGACATAGATACCTGAATGGGACAAATCACTGGTATGGTCTCTCATTGTGCACCACTGTGCCATGCTATGAAGCCAATTTCATCTAATCTCTTAGGAACTTTGAGGCCCTTTTTGCTCAAAATTTGTCCTATGCTCTCTTATAAGTTATCTTAAGTTGATCACCACCATCCTAGTGTCAGCTAGAAGCAAGGAAAAGCTGATCAGAGCTGCAGCCCTTGTCACTGCCATGGTAACATATGTATCACTTTCTTGATAACTTTTCACTGATATATCTCTGTTATAGGCCAAGCACGTAATGCTCATGTAATCATCGGGCTCTTTTGTGAAGCCCAATTCCAAAGATGTCAAGACACACTTCTCCCACCATGAATAAGGAGATAATGTCATGCCTACATGATCTCCTTGCAAGCGAAGTCTAGGAAAGCCTGGGGCAAAATGATTGCTCATGCTTACCAAGTTATAAAGGCTAATAACCCCCACAATAAGACTATTCCTTATTCCAGTGCCCAAGCCCAGGCCTTGAGTGGCCAGTGTTCAGGCCAAGTGATGTGTATTGAGGATGAGTATGATTCCAAAGACTCTGAGAAGCTCTGAAGCACATATGGAAGGTTTGTTGTTCTTGAATTTCATTTGATATTGCTAACTCAAAGACTATGCATAGGTAGAACTCATGATTAAGACCTGTCATGCTCCCAAATTCTCTTTTCATCTATGTAAACAATTGTCATGTACAAAATTATCATGATTGATAATCCCCCAAAAATAATTGCATATAAATATAAACATTGAGAATTTTGAATTCAATTATGGTGTAAGTAGTGTAATTGGTATAAGCACTGCATATGAGTGCACTATCTTACAAACCTTACTAGGAACATGTAAGAGCACATTCCTTACACATCTTGCATTAGAGCTTATGTTTGCAGCTTATAGCCGTATTTGAAAATCATGACCTAGCCAATTGCACTTGCTGTAAGGTAGAGCAAGTGGTTGTAGCTAATGCTTTACATGCTCCTTAAACTGTCACTTGTAAAATGAGACCTAGATATCCAGACTTATACAAGCTTTACTCTTAATAAACTTAACAACCTTTTGACTTTTGCGCAAGGCTTGTAAGTGCTCTATAAGTTAGTCAACCTTTTTTGCTCATTTACTGATGTGAAGGATAAGAAGAAGTAGTCTACATATTACAAGAAGAAAAGTCAAGGTTAACATGCAAAAGGCTAGTACGATAGACATAATTGTATCAAGCTGCAAGTGCATAACTATAATGAATCGGCAACTTACGCTTGGTAGACATCTTCAAATGCTGCCTGGGGGAAAGCTCCATCTGGGTTGGTGCATGACCACAGGCCCACCTGTACCCCAGACAGTGTCTTACTAGGAAGCTGGAAAGTATCTGTATCAACCTGGACAGATGCTCCTAGGCTCCCAGATGCCTCTAGCAAGTCCCCAATTAGACAGACATGCTGGTGTCTGGACATATATGTCTAGATACATTATATATGGAAATGATTAGATAACTGTTGTCAATCAAACAACTGCAAAAATCAATCTGCACTGCATAGATATTGAACCTAGAACCTCTTGAATCATTTACCAGCTGAAAGCAATGTTAATACCAGAATTATCCACTCTACTATATAACCATGATGCCCCACATCAACACTTGGCTTATATCAAGCTTTTTAAGACTTGAAAGGATTTTGGAATGCTTGAACTCAGTAAGGTGTCATTTACTTTTGCATTTTTAGCATCCATTCATCAAAGAATGATGGATATGATACATCATTTGAAAGCCATGATACAGGGAAGTATCTCAATATCATTAGCAAGCTAACATCTAGCAGATTGCACCAATGGCAGTCTGATACATTACTATAGTATTTTCCTCTCAACTCTTGTCTAAGGCTGTATTAAAAAACTCTGAAGCAGCACTAACATCACATACACTGCCTTCCAATAATGTCCTCCTAGTTAGCTTATTGATAGAGCACCTTATGTTCCCAGATCTAGACATACACAGACATCTAACCAGATATTCATAGATTACCTAAGCATCTGGGAGCACCTGAGGCTCTGGGACTGGCTGGGACTAGTCACAGGTTTGCTGATGCTGCACACTACTCAATGATGTTGCAGATAGGTCACCCACCATGCCCAATATCAATGTGAATGTGGATCCACAGCACACTGACAGGTGTCATGGGCATCACAAGCACCTCTAATGTGTTATGCAAATCCTGTGGAACTGCTAAGCCCCACTGTTTCAAGTGCCAAGCCATACAGCTTGGCAGCAGAGAGGTGCACACATATTTGGGGTAGGAGAGGCATGGCAGTCTACAGTAGTGCCACTGCAGAGACAGGAGCAGGCATAAAGGTAGGAGCAGGCACGAATCCACAGCACATCAGCAGGCATCATGGGCATCACAGGCACCTCAGATGTGTTACATAACTCCTGTGGGACTGCTGAGCCCCACTGTTTTCTGTGCACCAAGATATATAGCTTGGTGGTGGCAAGGTGCATCCATGTTTGGGGAGTGGGAGGTGTGGTGGGCTGTGGTGGTGTTACTGAGGAGGCAGGAGCAGACACAGAGGCAGGAGCAAGTGCAGAGGCAGGCAAAAGCAAGCATGGAAGCAGGCAGAAGTGAGCATGGAGGCAGGCAGAAGCAAGTGTGGAGGCAGGCAGAAGTGAGCATGGAGGCAAGAGCAAGCATGGAGAAGGGAGTGTGAGTGGGCGTGTGGGCAGCAGTGGGCTAAGGTGAGTGGCCACCAGAGTAGGAGGGAGGAGGTGCGATGGAGGCAGTAGAAGTAACTACAGGTGTATATGGGGACAGGTGCCAATGGTAGTGGGTTTTGAGGTTGCCACAGGAGTAGGGCTGGGCAAGTTTTCAATCAAAGTAAGGATGCTCACTAGGGAGGTGGGGACAGGTTTGAGGCTTGCCACTGGAACCTTAGACATAGGCTTGATGGCAGTGATGGGTATGGGCACAGGGGCAGGCCCTTAGCTGGTGAGACTGCATCTTGATAAGCACGCATTGTTATATGTGCAAAACCAGACTGTCGTAGTGGCACACTAACCTTGTGTATTGTAATAGCCTCAGCCAAGTTGAGTGAGCAATGGGATGCACTAGATGAGGTCAGTATTTCAGACACAAGGTTGACAAAGAGGAAACTGCACTAATCTAATTCCTACAAAGCGTAGGCCCTTGTTATTATGGAGTACAAGCTAAGGTGCTTGAAGCTGAAGATAATGAGGACTTGGAGAAGTACTCATAGTAGCAGGGCCTTGGTGATAAGGCCGTTGTTGGAGCTAATATTGGTCAGCAAAGGACACATGGCCTTGCAGTGCCAGCACAGAGTCTAAGTCAAGTCAGAACCTCTCTCTCCACTCTTATCATCACTTGGTAATCTCTTCTCTCCTCTACCAGCTTCCTGCTGCACTTTGGGATGTTAAGCTTTACAGATATGTCAGGCTCTCACACTTCAAAAAGGCCACATAATCTCCTCTATCCCACAGGTGAGTTTGAGCTTGTCTTATCACATTTTGTAGGTGGTCAAGCTATTTGTCCACTAGAATAAGGCTACTGTTTAGAGTTGCAAGGGCAACTCTTCTGTCTAGTACATGATCAAATTCAAGATGCAGTTCAAGTGCTAGAACACCACAAATTGCATCAAGGTTCTGGTGCCTAGGCCCAATGGTGCGGACAGCTCACATGAATGTTGGTGAGTACCTATGCATCTTTGACTTTGTTATTTGATGTGGATTGACAGGCATAGACTGTCTTAGTGCCACTGGATGGCAACTGATTATTCCATGTGCATGCATGCAGTCTGGCCACTTCAGCATGAAATTAGGTGTGCTGAGTCACTTATGACACAGGAACTAATAAACTAATCCTTTAGAGCTTACCACTACCAGACAAACAACCCCTATGTTTAGACACCTTCGAGCCTGATGTGCTATTAGGGTACCAGCTCTACAACATACTACATCTCTTATCCTCTCTAGGCTATATAGTGGTGAAGTAGAGCTATCATGCAGAGGGTGCTAATTTGGGAGGCTTTAGTTGTCATAATATATATTAAAATAATAATAAAATCTGATTATATTATTATTGAAAAATTTATTGTGCTTTTGATATGCTCTCAGAAGGCTATATAACACAGCAGTGTGCTTATTTCAAGGTGGCTGACTTGGGCAAGTCACCAAAAGGCATCTTCCCTTATGGCTTATATTTGTGTCTTATGACTTATTCTTGTGTTTTATAGCTTATACAGTGTCTGGATAACATAGACCTGTTATTTATAAGTCACTTCCCTTATTATCTTTTATGTCTTATTATGTCTTATTCTATCTTTTCTCACTTGTCAAGTCACATAAGTCATATAAGTCAATTTGCACATTTCCTGATGCATCAAAGTCCTTAGAATCAATATCTATCAACCTAGACCATAGTCATCTAATAGAAACACTCATAAACATTAACATGAAAACCATAGCTGTGAAAGTATATAGAATTAGTCATAGCCCAATTGCAAACTGTCCTGTGAACTAAAAATCTTGAAGTGGGCAAAGTAGGCTTACATTTACTAGATAATTCAACATTTTTTATTCTAATCATGAATGTCATTGCCAAGTCAATATAATCAATGGATTTCCTTGAAAGAATTCAATCACATACACATCTGCTTTTCATGTATTTTATTCCTTATATTCACATGATCTGCCTGACATTTGTTAGTATTCTATGTTTACACCCTGTACTCATCCTTGTCACAAGTTGGACCATTCTCTTGCTCATTTTTATTCCCAATAGCTTTCTTGAAGGATCAAAGGAGGCTAGGAGAACTCCTTCAGCACAGCACACTTCAAGATGCATGCCAATATAAACAGGATAGCGTACCCCTAAGGTTGCTAAGAATGAGCTCATTATATGATGCTGATAATACAAGAGTGTCTATAAGACCAAATGTCAACTACATATGAAAGGAAAAAAAGTGGTTTGTAGGTGGAGGACAAAGATATGTTAGAGAACTAAATAAGTGACAATGATCAAGCCTTCAACATTGTATATACATTTGGCCTGCATCAAATATGTGGGTATGCAGAGAGAAAAAACTCCCTAATCCCACCACTATCTTGCTAACAGTTGTAGTGGCAGTTTATCAGAAAAGCAAAGAAATTCAGTTCCATACTTTCTACAGTGTCTAATTCAAAGATATGGGAACCAATGCATGCTGGAGCATGCAAATCATTTTAGCTGAAGCAACTGGCCAATGAGCAGGGATTTCCATGCTGAATAGGAGCATGAGCCTCAACAGGCTGTCTTTGGTGTTCTAGTGTGAATAGCTTGATGGCTTAAAAGAATTTCCCAAAACTGCAAATTTCTTATTGACATGTGATCAAGTGATAGTCACATGATAAACCCATCACTCAGCTCAAAACCATATGGCGATCAGTTCAATGGTTTGACAGACAACAAGAAAGATCATGTAGCTAACTCTTCTATGTAAAAGTGGTACCTCATAATACACAGTGCAAAGGTGAATGCAGATGAAATGAAAGAAGTGGTTGCTAGAGGATAACTAGTAAATGGCATGGCTGGTAGCTAAAATAGGGTGAGTCTCCTGAGATGTTGGATAACGTGCACTTATCTAAATGGACAGGGAAAGCCACTTCTATGAAGATGGAGGTCTGGGCAGGTTTGGGAGAGGGGCAGAGCATATGATGAGATAAGATTGCATGAGGTCTATGAGGATTTGTATATGCAGGTGGAGCAGTAAAATTGAACACATGCCTTAGGAGACCAACAAGCTCTAATGTCCAATTCCCAAATAATATCCTGAGTAGACCATAACAGAGTACCATTGTATTTCAGGCCAGCAAAAAGAATACTGATGAGATCACATGCCAAGCTCATCATTTATTATGCTGTGCCCAGTATTGTCTCAGGTGAAAACTATATCTCATTTTTCTCTCAATCAGTTATTGAATGAGGATATGCACTGAGAGGAGACTACAGATGCATGCAGCTCTTGAAAGCCATATCAGTTGATGAGACCAGGGATGGGCTGAGCAAATGAGGAGACAGTAGTATGAAGAGATCAATAAGGCAGCTATGAAAGACTCTTATAACATGCTACCAGTGTGAAGACTGATTTGGGTTGACAGACTTCAGAAATAAAGGAGAAGAGAATGAATTCTGCTGGAAGAATGAAATGCAGTGCCGAAATGAAGTGAAGAAGAGGCAATCATAATTAATCACCTAGGTAAAGTGTGGTTTGGTAGATGCTACAATGATTTTAAGAATGATGGGAAGGTTCCTACTAATTAGATTGGGGAATTGTGCTTGCAGATAGATAGAAGGGTAGCATGCTTGGTATAGTGGATAATGAGCAAGACAGTGCAACAAGAGTAAGGAAACAAAGAGGGCAATCAGATCAGAGCCCAGGAGCAGAGTTGCCAGCACCAAGCCCTGCTGACTAAGAAGCAACCTTTGGCTTTTCCCTTATAGCATCTCTCTTGTCCATTGGTTCCATGCACCAATAGCAAGTTGGATATGTAGACTCTATGCTTTCTGCTCTTGATTATCTTGACAACCACATGATAACATCAACCATGAGAAGTTGTGCCACAAACCTTGCACTGGTATGTTCTTCTAGCATCATGCCATATTAAAATCCTTGGATATGTTGGATCCTGACTATATATTCATTGCTGCTTAAATATTACTCTGGTCACCTGTCTAAATACCTAAGATTAGAACAATCCTAAAGGTATATTTTGCTAACCATCCATCAAGCTTTGCACTCTGATCAATTTGTAGTCAAAATTAAAATGTCTAAAGTGTTATGACTTAACCAATCAGGGCCCATCGGGGCTGGTCTACCCAATGGTTCAAGCATTACATACTAGGTGGCTCCACTATAGAGTGTACATCAAGTTATTTTGCATGTCCTTTGGAAACAACTGGACTGATGGTTTTTCAAGACACTGGTAGAGGATATATTGGAGGGTCATGGGTATAGCAGATTGATAAGATAGGCATTCACATGCTATGGGCTTAGGGCTTATGGGTAAGCACCTCATCATACCATGATAAATTGGTGCAACTGGAGAAGTACAAGAGTAGGCACTAGCTGAGAGAGACAGCAACCACAGCTCTCCTGGAATGGATACCTAGAAAAGCATATAGACTCTTGCCTTATACCCTATATAGTATATAAGACCCATAGAATAGGCTGAGGATCTTCAGTCTATTCTCTTCGTTCTTAGGTATGTCAGAAAACCGTAACCTTGATTGTAAAGCATGATAAGGCCTTATAAGGACTTAATAGACTCGCTACCTCAGAAGGCCTTATAGAAAAAGACAGACATCCTTATAACAAAGTTTTGATGCCGCCTCATATCATTACAATATACCCTGTCAGAACCAGCCCTGTCATTGTAACATCAATTATAATGATGACCATGAACCTTACAATGACAGCTGCAATCCAAGTTGTTACCATTGCAACGCGCCTTGCACGTGCCATTATAACGATGCTATAATAGTTGCAAAGAAAATATCATTTATTACAGAATCAAACCATCCCTACATACAGTGGTGCATCTCTTCGGATTGTTTAGCTATTGTCTGTTGTATCTATCTTATCTCAATTACCTATTCTCTCTTGTATTTATCTTATCTTGTATTTTAATTGTCATTTACTGCTTAACTATTATAATCATTTAGGGTCCATGTTCTACTATTACACTACTACTATAGTAATGTTTATACCGGGATTCGAACCAGCTTCACTTGCAGTACTCTAGTCTAACTATACGTAAACATAATTACCACTCTACCAGAGAGCCATACATAGTATGGCAACTCGGCTCTAGCTATACAGCAGAGGATTTCGAGACAGAGAATACTCTGTACAATTGCTGAGATTTGGCAAGCTCCTCAGGATATTTCTACCAGGTGTTCGAGAGCCTGTCATATTTGGAATCACCTGTTAATCTATTGAACAGCACGAACGCAACAACAAGTTTGAGAGTCTGTGGGGGTTGTAACATACAGCAAGAAGAGTTGACGACAGAAACAGAACCATAAGACCAAGCTATGACAGAAATCAAGAAATCAAGAAATCAAGTCACAACAATCGAAAGCTAAACAGAATAACATGACAAGACAGTGATCAAGATGGTATGTAGAATTTGTCTGAGCACATCAAGCCTTCGAGCGCTGACGCTGAAAGTGAGTATTCCTTACCTTCGGGGCCTCGACAGATTCTATAGCAGTGTTCACCTTCTTCCTTCTCTCCCTGATCATTGGAGCTTGAGTGCTTGTAGCAGGTGTGGCCGCCGCAGAGATGACATTTGAAGTTGTTGAAGAAGTTGAAATGGGCAGGGATGCTACTGTCACCATCGCTGCATCAATAAAAGCAGTGTTCGACACAGCTGGAGGAGTCATAGAAACAGCGGTGAAGACAGGTGCTCGTGTGGAATCATTAAGACCAAGAGAGCTGAGAATATTAGTCGTGTCTGAGATTTCTATGCCCATGTTGTCATCATTGTCGTCAACATCCTCGGCATCCATGCCTGCTAAAAATGCCGAAGCATCAAACTCATCTCTCTCCTCGTTGTCATCATTGTGCATCAAGTTGGATGGAAGCTTGGTTGAGAAGAGTCGGTCGTTGAAAAAGGAAAAGATAGCCTTGACATTGGGACGCTGAGCACCTTTGATTAGAATCTCCTTGTATCTGTTGAAATCCTTCTGGTAATTGATCCTCAAGCGAGCACCTTGCTGCTCAAATCTGATATCAGGGGACACAATGAATCTAGCCTAAAGAATCAAGAATGTCAGTCTACCGTTTCCGAGTTTCCACGTCATGCAACTTTACCGTGATCGCTGCAAATGCAATGGCCCCGGGGGACACATGCGTAACTCCCTATAGCTGAGAAACTGTTGGTGCACTGCCCTTAGAAACTGGGGCCAGATCGCCTGCAGCCGTTACTGACCCCGGGCCAAAAAGAGTGAATCGTAAGATCTAAGACACACAGATGAGTTTGCGGAGACCATCTAACAGTAAAAATCGAGACTTACACGGACAAGAATCATACTCTGAAACAGCTTCTTGTCATTCTTTTTCAGATTTGGATACAATATAGGGGCAAATGTCGGATAACCGCTTTTTGTTGCATCAAACTTGAGATATGCTTGGAATTTGGGAAGGTCTTCGCGTCCCTTGAAATCAATTTGAAAATAGTCCGCCTTAGATGAAGGGAAAATTTTTGTCGCAGAGCCACGCAAACGATGGATGATCGAGGAGCGTGAACCACTTAGAGCAGTTCTGAACTACATTAGCCTCAATGTTAGAAGACAATTGTACATGAAAAATCATGTACTCACCTTTTGGGCAAAAGGCGAGTATTTCTGCATCATTTTGTGCAGTTTCGGAGGAACGAGATCGTACAGATCTGCAACAACCCCTTACTTGGTGCTCATTTCCGAAAGATATCAATTGGGACTATTTGCCTCCATGACAGGACGAGGAACCTGGAATGCCGAGAGGTCGACGAAGGGCTCCACCATGACACTACATTTACGGCCAAGCATCGAGATTTCTTCGTCGTGCTTTCCGACTGTCTTCGGTCCTTTGCGGTGAGACCGTTGATTGCTTTGCAAGGTGCCGACAAGAGTGCGGGTTTTTCGCAGTGCAGTCTGAAGCTTTCCGACTTGAAGCTGAGCAATTTTGAGTGCCTAGATACAGAGTTCAATGTTGGACACACGACGATCATGATCCTGTAGAATTACTTCTTGATAGTCTTCAAGGGTTGCATTTTCGCCAGGCACCAGGATCGCCTGGATGTCTTCATCATCTGAATGAGACAAGTCAGTTATAGATGAGACAGATGAAGGCTCGCTGTTGCTCTCAAACTCCATAGATGTAAAAGTGAAGGAAGGGATGGACAAGCAGAACCTAGCGCAGCATGAGACGTGGTACACGATTCGAAGTAAGGTTCAGACGGCGATATCTGAATCAGAGCCTCCCATATAATACTCCAATGCGCTATCGCTCTGTCATTATTATTATGTACAATGTACACAATATTCTGCAGACACCACTCTGGTCAAGAGCGACTCCCTTGGAATGTTTGAAATCCGCAATATCACAGCAATAAATATACTATATTGATCCTTTGATACAGATTCCACTTGCAATTTGAGAAGTTCGGCAGTATTATGATAGATTCTTGGCCTTAAGGATGAACCAACAATGTTGCCAACAAAGTAGCTGAGAAAAGATAAGACTCGCAGGTACGTCGTGCGTAGCACGAGTGGTAAGACTGTGGAGAGAGCAATCTGCCTGTGAAACATTCTCGTGAGCCCTTCCTACGCTAAACGCAAGGCACAATATGACATGTGGGGATGCGCGTGCACGCACCTGGACAGTATCATTGGAAAAGGTTTCGCGCGCGCCAGTATCAGCAGCACATACATATGCGACAAGCACAAGGGCGAGCCCGGATGGGAGAAACGCGACGCCGAGGATGAGCGCCCGTCTGTCCGTGTTCTTCGGGTTGTCGAGAGGGAACAAGTTCCTGCAGGGTAATGACTTCAGTATCCGCAAAACGCACCTTTAACGTCGCCAAACCCATGCTCTCTAGCACTTCCTGCATCAAGATCTTGACAAAGATGCGACTGCGGGTAGTATCATTGGTTTTGATGCATTCCAAGGTGACCCACGAGCCCACGTTAGTGGTGAGAAGATGGCCGAAGAGGCGCGTGATGATGCGGCAAAGGTTGACGGAGTTTGTTTGCGTACGATCTTCAATACCTCCCTTTGCTTCCACGGCTGTCGGTGTTGCATTAGCCCATATACAGGTTGACTATTGTTTAAGCAAGTACCTTTGTCCTCGCTCTTGCTCTCTTCGGAGCCTGATTCATCTCCATCAGAGTTGTCGTTGCCGAGAATTTCAGCCTTGATAGCTTTGTATTTTTCTTCGTTCTGCAGATAATTCGGATCGATCTTGAATATGTCTGCTGGACGAACTGATGTGGTTGAAGAGCTGAAACCAATAAGAAACGGCTTACTCAAGCCCTCTTGCACCTGCAACTCTTCTTCCAGTCCAATCTGGTGAGTGATCTGGTCGTCTTCTTCCACCAGATCCAACCCCTCGGGCAATATTGGGTTATCCTTATGTTTGTCTTTTCGGACCTGCATGAGCACTTCAATCATGTACTGCACACGGTGACTGAGTTTGCTCTTGTTCAACACCGCACGGAAGCGCTCAAAGACAGAAGCATTGGCTTGGGGCGAGTTTTCCACAAGGAAAGCGCCGGTGGGAGAAGGTGAACCAGGCGTAGACATGTGCAAAAATGAGCGCAGGCCTGGGGGAGTGATGGGGGACGGATGGGCCAAGACTGCAGGGGGGGACTGTGGCGCAGGAATGGGAAGATAGTCGGGTAGGGAATGCTAGTACTGCGGGTTGGCACCGGCACCGAAGCCACGATCGGGGAGGTGAGTGTAGTGGGCGTTGGTTATTCCGGAGTGCAAGTGCCTATCATAGTATGTCGACCTTCCAGAATCGTGCATGGACTGAGATAGCTTCTCCGGTTGGTTGCGCGGATGGAAGAAATCCGCCGAGGGTGTGGAGATTGGGCATGGGCGGTGTCCGCGAGGGCCGGCGGGAGACGTTGGGCGCGAGCGATGAGTTGGTGACGCGTTTCCAATGTACTCTGCGCGTGCGGTGCCAGGTCCCATGTCCCCGCCCATCATCCGTGAGAATGCGAGACTAATCGAATTTGTGTCAACGCTGAGTGAGCGCGGCTTCTTCGAGAGCGGTGAGACATATAGCCTAGCGATTGCCTTTTCACCCAGGGTGCTCATGTGCTCGTCTACGTCCATGAAGATGCTGTCTTCCTCAAACGTCTTCTCGCGGTGCTTCTGGAGGAGGAAGTAGAACGCCTTGGCGAGTGTGCCCTGGCCCGCGGGGCTGAGCAGGTCGGACTTGACCTGTTCCGACCCCACGTGTGAGGCCCACCGCAATCTCAATGGCATTGTACGTGGGCCGCTCAAGAAGAAGAACAAGGATTTGAAGGGAAATGATTTTGTGGGCCACACCTTGATTTACCAGATGTGCAATGAAAGTTGTAGTAGAATGACACACAGTCTAATAACGGCGGTCTCAGTGTGCCACAAGTTGGTGATGATGTTACCACATACCTTATCATTCCTCTTGGAATGCCCTTCGGAACTGACTGATGAGCCGAGTCAATACCAACTCGCCAACCTGGTATTGAGGTCAGTAATAACTGCGGCAAAGACGGGTGTAAACGATGTACTCGCCGACTGCGCCTTCATGATGCTACGTGCAAACAATCTCCGGCCCCTGATCAAGTTCTCGGCAAACAGCTCCGGCACCACGTTCTTGATGTTGCCAATGTTGACCCTGTTGACGATACCAGTGATAGACTTTCGTAGCACATCCCAAGACAATTGCTGGTACTCCACGCTTGTGCAGTCGGAAGACGCAGCCTCGCGAAGAGCACAGAGGCGAGCAGGTGGCATGTAAACGCCACCATACCAAGACCCTATGAGCTTCGCGGGTTCGGTCTGAGCATCAAACTCTTTAGCTTTCTCCTTGTCCTCAGTGCTTTTCTCCTTGCTGGCCTTTTCGAGCTGGCTCGCGGCAGTTTGGGCTGCAGGTTGGCACTCGCGTTCCTTGCGACGAACGGGGTTGACATCGTCAACTTTTAGGGGATCTAACGTGCGGGGTCAAGGTGAAAGAGAGTGTCGGCATGTAAGTGGTGGTGCATCATCTGCTGACGGTGAGCAGGAGCGTGATCTGGCGCATGTCTTAGTTTTATGTGCCATTGAATGCAAAGTGTCCTTACCTTTTTCTTTTATAAGTGTCGGGGAGTGCAGAAGGGGCCAACGTTGCTGCCGTCGACATCTTCGCCGTGGGCAAGCAGAGTCGGTGACAATTGACACTGTCCAGTTAGTCACATCCGTCGCTTCGTCGGGATTGTCTTGCCCATCACCTCACCTTCATGGATAATTCACCTCTGCCTTCCGTTATGCAGGTGAGTCTCAGATTTGAGGATACATATTGTTTATCTCTGAAAATCATGTCTGTAGCGGGTTACCTCAGTTGTACGGATGCTAGGTGAGTCGGTTACTTCCCCTTCATTGATCTTCAGTTTTTGGTATGCAAGCATAACAAAATCCTGGCACATTCACAATCTCAACACTCCTTTTTCCTCATGCTCTACAGGCACAAACATCGGACAGTTTGTCCCTGGTCTAGTAAAGTGTTGCCATCGTCTCCCTCCAAGCCCTTTTCAGGCTACCCTCCGTTCTCTACAACAGGACCCTCTTCGGCGATTCAGGCACAATGGTCCCCATAAACAAGCCCAGAGGTGACTGTTCCAAGGACACAGACCCTCGCGGCATAAGTATTGATTTCTGGTACTCAATTTGCAGGCGCCACGTATGCTAGACACGAACTTGATTCACACCCTGCTACGAGAGGTGCATCCTGTTTATGCTGCATGCCGCGCCTGATAACGTTGCTAATGGACTCGCATAAAACACCGGACCGCAATCTACATGCAGTGGTTCAGGGCTAGTCATGCTGCCTTCCATACTCCCGAGCAAGGGTTAACCATATGCTGAATGCTGTGTCTACTGCTTATGTCTATTAGGCTATCACGGTCTGATTGCAGTAGTAGAGTCAGCTATGTTAGGTGAAATGTACATAATAAGCTCACTGATTCCGGATCCTCTGCACTCGAAGGAACATGTCAGGATTGATGGTGTCAACCACCAGATTTTGCCAGGCTTTGAAAAGTCCTGTACAACTAATGCACCTCGGATGATGAAACGGACAAAGATGAATTCCGAGGACACCCGAGGCTTTGCATGAAGTCGGAAAAACCCTAGAGCTTCATCCTTCTGGTGCAATGCTCCTATAGGAGCATCAAGGGGGTGGATCAATGCAATTGGAAGTTCTTGGTCATCTGATATCCTCCAAGTAAACAAGAAAACCAGTTGCGTGAAGATGCAGCTAGTTATTGTTTGCACAATGACATGGTCATATCGTGGGTGACCATGGAACAGTGGACTGCAATGGAGATAATCCATACTTTGTCGCCAATCCACCATAGATTCATATTTTACTTTCAGAGACTGGTACTCTTGGATCTAGCAATGGTCATATTTCAGATTTGAGAAATGAAACACACATACAGTATGGCCTGCAGTCAATTTGACACGCTTTCCATTGGGCAGGTTGATTCTATATGATGGCAGAAATTCCGAAAGCCAGTGCACAAACCGCTGGTGAAAATTTTTGAAGGCAATATCAGTATTGCGTGTGGCCTCCAAATTCTCAAAGGTGAGTGACAATTTTCTAGATCCCATGATGATATTTCCGATTGTAATGAGGGTGGATTTCTTCTTCTGAGCAGAGTTAGCTTCCTCATCAAGAGTGGTGATTTCACTCCAAAGGAGTGACAACACAAGGTTGTGGTGGTCAATTTGAAGAAGCTAGTATTATTAGAATGATATGAGAGTACAAAACAATAATATAAAACCTACCTGACTAGCAACTTCCTTTTTATTTGATTGGAGTAAGTATGCATCTTTGAGTGGGCCATGAAGTTTTTCATTAGGCTTTGTATTGTAATTCCGTGTTACACCCTTTTGTTGAATGTCTTGGAAAATATGTTTGTGAGTATGCATTTTGGGAAAGTTCCAGTTTTTATTGAAAGCTATTTCATTGCTATAGTTCTGCAAAGAAAATCAGGTCACTTTAATTCTATAAGGGATTAATTAGAATTACCTGGATGAGATCACCAAATCTTTGAAGCTCTTGCTCCCCAGCATAAATTGTCTTGCTAGTATGCACATTAAATGCAGCATAGATATCAAGAACAATATAGCCCTAATACACTGCAATAATGCATAACATGGCTTGTGTGACTGTAGATTGCCAAAGACATTGTGTGTAATAAAGATTATAATCTAAAAACAAAAATCAGATTATAATCATTTAAACACTGCAATAGTTTTAAGCGCACTTTTGATATGTCCTCAAATTTTTTTCCATTTGAGAATGATATCTTCATGATTTCATCAAAGTGATTTAGATTTCTCCAGCGTGGCATCATTGCAGCTCTAGTATTCAATTTAACAAAACATTTAAATTATAAAATGAAACTTACTGATTATCAACTTGTGATTCAGCTGATCGACCCCAATCAGAAATATATTGCTTTAATTCAAACCACAAGTGGTCTCCAAATAAGCCTAGATGATAAGCATGAAGGCGATCCCATGATAATACTTGATATGGATTGACATTTGCAATCGACCAAAAAACATTCTAGAAATCTATGAGTAATTACTAGAAAAAAGAAAAAAATATCATACTCACCTCAACACCTCGAAGGCTATATTGTTTCAATAATTCCTCTTTTTCTAATACAGTTGCCATCATCATTGCTTCCTTAAAGATATCCTGAGAGTTTTCAGAAGTACGAAGAGGAAAATCTTGTGAAAGATCAGAAAGCATATTATCTGGAACTAAGCAAATTGGACATGGGCATTTTCCACGGGCGCCACGGATCAATGCCATAACACATCTAAAAGGAAAAAAAGGTTATTAGTAAATTATGCAAGCTATTAATTTATGAGTACAGACTGTTCTTCATAATCTGCAGACAAAATCAAGATCAAAGGAAATAACCATCGCCGCACACCATCAGCGCATTCAAACCAGAACCCAATTTTTGACGATTTGGCAATGGTCTCAAGCAAAACATAAAAAGATTTGTGCCATACAGCATTCTTGAAGTTAACGAATCCTGTCTTGTGAGTCTCTGCAGGATCTTCTGAGACCTAGAAATTATTCACATTAAAAGATATTAATCTGAATATTATCACTTACAATTGGGAGCCAACCAACTACACACCCACCACCGATACCACTGCCATTACGGATATTGGTAGGTAGATTTGCACACCTCGCAATCACAGGGTATCCCTTTTCTGTCCCGAATGTTGAGAGCTTTGTCTTATCAGCATATAGAATTATACAGAATGGCCCCCCTGTCTCTGGAACTGCCGACTACCAATAAAATTATTATTATCATATGCATGATTACATGAACAATACCCACTTGAGCTCTCCAAAAGCTATCAGCAGTCCACGGCTCATGAAATACACGATCCCATTCATGGCCATCAAATTTGAAGATCTTTTCGGCATCCCAAGTGAAATGCGAGGCTAACTGGGGATCACGGAGAAGATCAAGGGCCCAGTCCCAGAGTGGTCGCACATGGACAGGAAACTCTCGAACTTCGTCTTTGTATGGGACAGAGACCGTAGATGCAGAAAACTATAAGGAAAAAATTTCACCGATGCACCAAAGAAAACGGCAGAAAGACGTACAGGAGTGAGCATGTGCGAAGCACTTTCCAAGATTTTGTTCATATCTGCAGGGTTCGACAAAGTGAAGGTTTCTCCATTCTGTGCACGGCGGAGTAGCTTAAAAAGAAGATCAGTCTGATCTTCATTCAGAGCGTTGTTCAATGCAAATTCGGCGAGTTCAACATCCAAGCGGCAGCGGAACAGCTGCCATGGTTAATCATTGGTTGGCATAGACGGCCGTTTTGAGTTGCTTAGTCCATACTCATCGAATGACTGGATTTGTGATAATTTACTGGAATGGGGATGATAGTCAGTCTTGATATCATCGAGCTGGGGTTGTTTTTCGGGCATCGCAGCGGTGGTGGGATTTGTAGGCACTGGGCCAGATGCATCGAGCTGGTCAGCAGGTCCAAGGCAGATCATTATTCACAATGCACTGAATGCAGCCAATGCGACTTCAGCATCATCCCCATGAACAGGTAATTCAAGTGCCTCATGTTCCGCAATGTTTCCCTGCCGTGGCCATGAACTTGAGGCCTGTGCTTTACCGGAAATTCGGCTTGCTGTAGTGAGGTCAGATCTATGAATTTGAGACTTTGACAGAAAACATACAATCTTTTTGTGTTCTCTGAAACTGCTTCTCAAAGTCCTTATCCTGTGCACTCTGCTCCTTCTTCCAAACACAGGCTTTTTCGTGGGTTGGCAATCCCTTTGTGTGAAACACCTGATGGCAATGTCAACAATTCTTGTAGGGGCCGTCCATCAGATTGCACGGATCTTTCGGCAGTAAGAGTCAAGATGTAAGCTGAGTGTTGAGCAGGACAGGGGGATGAAGAAGGTTCTATGAGGTTCAAGAGGACTGACAAGGCGACAAGACAAGACAAGTAGCGCGAGCAAACGTGGCGCTGCGGGGCGGCGCTCTCATCACATCATCTTATCATTATCATGCCATTGCAATCGCAGCCGCGTCCTTACCATCCTTGCCACTGCCTTGCCGCGGCATCTGGCCCTGGCAATCAAGGCTGTCAATTCTAATCCAATCACAATGCTCATTTCAATCAACGGATAATGCCGGGCCGCGGTATTACAATGCTTTTAGCTTACAATACAGTTCTCAGTTTTCCGACATATCTCCCTATACCTATCTTCGTGGCCAATCACTATTCCCTCCTGTATTGGTTGTCTAATATAGTCAAGACTTTGTCCACCACTCAGTCCATTGTGCGACCTAGGAAAGAACCTGTTACTCTTGGGTTGCTGAATGAGCAGTTTGTAACAATAACAAGTGGGACAACAAGCGGGAAGTATAGGAGGTGCAGGAGAGACAGGAGGTGTGGGAGGTGTAGGCAAATGACAGTATCTGCTGGTGTTTGCTAATATTCACTGGTATTGGTTGATTTAATCACATTTGATGGCATTCACCTGTATTTTCTTGCGCCAAAAAATCGATTCATTTCCTACATTTACCAACATTAGTTGGCGTTTGACTGGATATGATTTATACCGAATACTGTCGCATGGGGTGGAGTGAAAAAATAAGTATTTGTCCACAAGCTATGGCATGCCAGGGCATTGCTGATTTCCGGACTGGGAATGAATATGGTCGAATACCCTCATTTGCTAACGAATACGTGGCTCTCATTCAACCACATTCAACCACATTTGAGGGTGTTTTCACTGGGGCTCAGTGCCGACCTCGATCTAATCTAAGAATATCAGTCCACTTGAAGCCTATGCAAAGGCATCGGGAATACTATGTAAAGACAGCGTGAGGCATTGTAGAATAAGTACATTGTGAGTCAAGTCAAGGACATGAAACGAATCGAATGTTCAAACAGACCAGCAGGGATATATAAAGATGATTGAGAAGACAAAAAGAAATGCTGCTTTGATAGGCAAAGCATGTAGATGTAAAGGAATGACGTGGCGAGTCCGAGATGTGTGATATATTCCCCACCGAAAGATGTCTGCTCCACTCGTCTGAAACAAGTATGCGAGACTCGCGGTATGTTATGACGTTTTTATCGCCAGCAATACCTTCATCTCCTCGATGCACTCCGCACACTTCGCGTGCACCTCCTTCGCATTCTCTAGGAGCGGCCTGATATTCTCCGGCGTCATCGCCAACTTGGGATCTGTGCCCTCGACAGATCCGAGCCCAGGAGTGAATGAAGAAGGGGGCGCTGAACGCACCGATCCTGACATAGTGCCCCGCCGCCCAGATGGCCGTCGATGCGGACTCGCGCTCGGAGCTTCCGTGCGAGTTTTTCGGGCCGAACTTTTGCCCTTGACGCGACTTACACGGGCATCAGACTCAGTAGACTCTTCAACATTGGAAAGCCGTGTAGGACGAGAGAGTGATGGGACTTGGGCGGGATGCGCAGGGGAAGGAGGAGAATCGTTCCATAGCGATATCGATGACTGCGAAGCAGTGGTGTTCTTGCGTGGTGTTGCTCCAGCGTCAGCGAGGTAGGGCGAACGGGCTTTTCTCCCCCGGATGGTTGCCGTCCCATCTTTTCCGAGTCCCAAGGCCTTCGCAGCAGCATCCAAGTCCGCGGCAGAGTCTAGACGATCCCAGTCTTCCTCTTCTTCCTTCGAAGGGCTGCTAAAATCAGACCCGCTGCTCGAAGAGTGCAAGACGTTCTTCGATACACCTGGAGTTTGCGAAGACTCGCCACTAAGCGATTTGTTCTTCTGAGCGAACCGGAAGATAGAGGCCAGAGATGGCCTTCGTGGCGACGACTTGTGAGTATAGGAAGCTGATGCATCGAACGGGGACGTAGCGCGCATAGAAGCCGAAGTGGAGTCGGGCCCAGCACTCGTCTTTGATCTGCGACGCTGCGACGAGTGCCCGCTTTGCGACACTGGCTGCGGGTGGCTGTGACTATCCAGCGACGACTCCGTGCTCGCAGCAGCTGACGGTGTCTGAAATGCCGTTTGATGCATCTGAGATTGGCCATGGCCACGCGTGAGAGAACGCAGCATGTCTCTCAATCCACTCATACCCAATCGACTAGCCCTTCGCTTCTTCGAGGGAGAAGATGTACGCACTGACTCCTCCGAAGGAAGTGTGACAGTGCTACTCATAGGATCGCCCCAGCGCCAGCCTCGGTTCACCGCACCCTCTTCTGGAATTCGCGAGTCGACTGACATTCCAACAGAGGAATCTGGGTTGTTCAGCATATCGCGCAGCAGCCACAATTGCCGTTGGCTGAGATCATTACGACCAGTAGATGCACGCCACCCAAGGTTGGGAGGAGAAGCCATAGGAGGACCTATCGTCGAACTAGGGGGTAACGGTGGCTTGGATTCGTCGCCGCCAAGTGTGATAGCCCGTTCTCTATTTGGACGACTGTTCGCCATGTCCACGATGGACTCGGGAGTAGACGCAGGTGCACTTGAGGGAGGGGATACAGGCACAGGGTTCCCTCCTCCGAGCTCGATCAACAGCTCTGCGCATTCCCAAGAAATCTTGTACTTCGAGTCAATTGTTGCATACGTCGTGGCAATATGCTTCTGCGCCTCTGATGCTGGAATTGGGTTGGTATTCGAACGAGCCCGGGAGCGCGAATGAGAGAAAAAAGTTGGAGATTTGGCACGAGATGGGGGTCGGCTAGCTGAATCCGCGATCGTGACATGAACTTCGTAGACGAGGGAATGATAAATGGACTGAAGTTCCTTCAACTCTGAGGAAGTGTCAGTGTCACTTTTACGAAGGAAACCGAGAGGGAGCTCACTCTCCACGCTGGCTGCGAATTCTCGGACCATCCCCAAGTCCCTTTTGAGGCCGACCTGAGCTTGGCTGATCCGCGCAGGGATCTTGAGGTCACCAAGCGAATTCCTCCGAGGTACGGCCGTACTTATCGAAGATGTGCTCGGGACCTGGGCGGAACGACCCAGAGAAGCGGCATGGGGGGAAGTAGAAGGCTTGATGGGGGGTGAATGAGGCGATGTGGCCACTTGCGAAGGAACGGATGATGAGGTGTCAACCGAAGGACGAGGATATGTTGTATCAATATCTGATGGTATAGAGACGGAGTCAGTATTCGCACTCGGAGCTTCACGGCCGTTGGATATTCGCGAAGAAGATTGTGGCCTCAGTTCGATTAGTGGTAACAGTTGATCAGGCTGGCCGGATCCTGCGGCGTCGGGTAACTGGGGTATAACGCTCGCGGATGTTGCTGGGAAGCTGTCGCGATCCTGACCAGCGGTGCTCTTCATCATGTTGTGCTTCTTCTGACTGCCTACCAAACTAATCCTCCGCATCCCTCCCATGAACCCACGATGGCCCTCCTCCTTCTCCCTCTCTTTGCCCTTGCGATCCTTATCGAGGTCGTCCGTACTGGTCGAGAAGGTAGAGCGAGAAACCGAGCGCCCGACCGTCATAGCACCGTGCGAAGTATGTCGCGGAAACAAGGGCATAGCTGGTGGTACCTGCATCGACGACGGGCGCCGGAGAATCATAGGAGATGGTGGAGGAGTCTGATCCGGCGTCGAGCCGCGAGATCCAGATGAGCCATTAGGATGAAAGCCGAGCTGCTGTAGGGGCTTCTGATCTGTCCGAGTTGGCGATTCGAAAGTGTTCGAAAAGGCCTTGAGCCTATCGATGCTAATTTCATGTTTGAGATCCGCGGCAGAGGGCGGGGGTGGCGATCCCGGCATATCAGCCCCGCCCCCGCCAGATCGAAAAAACCAACCTGACGGTTTGTGGGACGACGAAGGAGAGTTTGAGTGAGAATGATGATTCGAAGTTGAGCTGGATGGACGAGGGGTGGAGTCAATCTCGTTGAGCATGACGTCGGTTGGATCCGTGCTCGCCCGCTTCCTACGAACGCCCCACTTTTTCACCGAACCGATCCTAGAGAGCAGGGGGCCCTTGGTCACGTTGTGTTCAGGTGGTGTTGCGGGATATTCGGTGGGAAGTGACTGGGGCGGAGAAGGCACATGGATGTCATCTCTGTCTCTGTCAAGTAGCTCGAACAGGTTGTGATCCGGAGGCCGAGACTTCTTACGAAGTCTTCGTCGCTCCTTGTGGATGGGAGGGCTCGGAGGTAGGATCGCCAGGAAGGAGGAGCTGCCAGCCCTGAGCGGAACATGTGAGGCGTACGAATGAGCGATAGAATCACGGCCCGATGGGACAGAAAAGATCGACATGGTGGGAGATCCAGGAAAGGGTTCGTGAGCGGACAGTATAGACGGGGGCAAAGGAGGGACTGGGGGAGGCGGGCTCTGCTTTGGAAGGGCCACCCTTCGCGACCGTGCCGTCACGGTTCTGTCGTCCTCCTGGTCCGCGTACCCCATGCCTCCCTCATCATCTGAAGATCCCCGATTTGCATCGCGCGTAGGCGAATTGCCTTTGTCGATCTCGAAGTCGTCATCCCAGTTCTCTAGTTCTTGAAAAGTCTTGTGTGTACGCGACAGGGTTTTCGGACGAGAGGGAGAAGAGCCGTTCGGCGCGTCTGCAAAGTCGGCCTTATCCTCAAAGTCTTCGTCCCAATTCTCCGCAGGTGGTGGAGTTGCGCGACGTGATGGCGTGGACGGTCCCGGTCTTGCCCATTCTCGCAAGAGAGACTGACTCGGAGGGGACCCTTTCACGTTGGTGTCGTCGAGGGCGCCATTGGACAGGGATCGATGTGACGCGGTGCGAGGTGAACGAGAGTCGTCGAGGCCAGCGCCTGGCCGCTTGGCATCAACTCCGGTCTGAAATTCAAAATCGTCGTCCCAGTTCTCTGAGACGGCTGACGGTATGAATATAAAGACAGGAAGAGAAAGATGGAAAGGAAATAATGAGATCACAACGAACTGACGTATTCCGAGCTTGAGGTTGGAAACGCACCTGAGTGGTAACTGGGACTGACTACAGTCATCAAGTATCTATATATCGCGTATTTTAGATGCTATCCCGTCGTTCTGAGCGTTACAATAGGGAGGGAAAGGCGAACGATGAGAGGGGTGGTGTGGTGGAATTGGTTGCAAGGCTGTAGGGAAGGCCGCGGCTTCGAGCTCTATCCATGAAATTATGTAACCGGCCTCTCTTTTCGATGTTCTGCTCGCCATCCAGCACCGCGCACAAGCCCTCACATCGAATTTCATTCATAGATCCCTTTGTTATAGAATTATTAGTGCATATGCGTATGTCTAGTCCAGTCCATCGGGATCGCGATTTGCTTTGCACCCCATCAAACTTCCCCACCGCTGGCGCAGACCGATGTCCACTTATCCCTTATTCCCAACTCCATCGGCAGGTTTATACACCCTACAACGGCGCCATATATGCCCAGATCATTGGGCTTTCTTTCAAACCTCGCGCGTATCCGGATAAAACGCGACGTGTCTATCTTTCTCGTTTCTCCTCGCCGACCCCTGCAAGCTGAGCTGCGATCTCGCCAAGATACGATGGCCTTTCTATACTCCTGTGAGATTGTACGCCGTTCTTTCTCGCACTGCGTGCACCGTAGGATTTTTCCCGGGATAAACCGTAGATAAAACACTGGATATAGATAAAGTTTTTGCTCCGGTTTATCCACTGAAACAAAAACTTAAGGTGAAGATAAAATACATTTTGGGCTCTATCTTGTTGTGACTACGGGATTGACCTACACGTTAATATGTCGATATCTGATATACGGCTGACTTCACAGCGTCACGCAGTTTCACTTATTGGCCCAGCAAATCTTATACCTCAATATTTACCCGTCTCGGGCGAGAGTCTCCACATGTGAGCGTCAATTCGAAGTCAAGCCGCCGCAATTCATCGACGCTAACAATTCATTGACGCCAACTAGACATACAAAACTTATGCTAAATTATTGTCCGCGTCTGAGGTAAGTAAAAACGAGCGGAAAGTCACGATGCTCGGTCAGAGTCTAAAAGAATGTGTCTATAAAAAAAAGGCGACGATGTTTCCACAACCTCACTCCTTCTTGTTTCCCTTCTTCGGAACCCTCGCCAACCAATAGATGAAGATGCACGCGCAGATATTGAATATGACGTAGACCCACATAAGGCCGAAGTTGCGCCACCGGTCGGAGTACTTGATGAAGACCGCACTTAAGAAGCCATTCGTTGACGAAACGGAACAGAACTGGCATCCGGACGTCGCGTTGGGGTTCGTGAGGTACCCGCCCGCAGCGGAGATGTAAGCGCTCATGTACTGGCCGCAAGTCTCCCCACTAGGTGGATTGAAGTTCGCCAACTCGATGGAAGAACACACCACGTCGGCATTCGCAACACCTGTCGAGAGCATGGCGGAGACGAGGTATGTAAATGGAGACACGCGATACATGAAGATCCAGAACCGCGGAAGCACAGTCGGCGTAGCCAAAACACTAGAAGAATCAAAGACGGTCATTCACAGATCAAGAACAGAAACACGAATAGCTCTTACCCGCAGAAGATGAGCGTCAGAGAAAATAAGAAATTGGCATAGGTGGCGCCAACTTCGGGCGAGTCCACGCCGGCAATCATCATGTGCGAAAAGGTCGACGTAAACAGGTAGAACATCCAGATGAGGAGGAACATGAGCCCTCCGCGCTCAGTCACACTATCGGTCGGCACGGCGTTGCGGTATAAACCAATCGGGTAGTACCAAGAGAAGAAGGTGAACACGGCCATAAGCGTCTGCCACGGCATCTCGACGAGGAGTTGCGCCGCAATGAAGGCTTTCCACGAATACGCTTTCGAAGGTCGTTCGCGTGCCTCATAGAGCGCACGCTGCGTCACAAACAGAGGCATGATCTGCTGAGCCAAGTTGCCGAACAGGGTGAGGAGCATGAAAATGGAGAACATCTGGTTTTGCAACCCTTGGAGACTGTTGTCCGCTTTGTAGAACGAGAAGCCAATAAAGAGCGACTAGAAACCGGGATGAGGCTCATTCAACACCTTACGTGAAACATGCACATACCGTGAAGGTACAAAGAGCCGCCTTTGAATAAATGTAAGAGGGCGTGCGCCAGTATTGCTGCCAGACTCGCTTGAGACAATACCACAGTTGAGCGGGGAGAGGCATAGCAAACTCCCCATGCACTGCACTATCGCCCTCGTCGTCCGGGATTCTAGACAGCTCATCCTTCATCTGGGTCAGTTCCTTCTGCACAGCCTGGTATTCGTCGCTCTTCCTCCATACATCATGCCAATCGATTTTCGAGTGATGACCGGGTGCTGCACCAATGACTTCAAGCATCCATTCAGCAGGATTGGCGTCAGGAGGACACTGGTGGGCTCCATGCGCCTCGAAGTAGTGAGTGAGGTTATCGCAGTTTTGTCCAATATCGCCAAAGTAGACTGTCCTGCCACCAGAGGCCAAGAATAACAAGCGATCGAACTGTTGCATCAAGATCGCGGACGGCTGATGGATGGTACACAAGATGGCCTGCCCGTTGTTAGCCAACTTGCGCATCAACTGACAGATTGACCAAGCCGTTTGCGAATCACTAAGGAACTCGAGTTTAGAACGATCGACCTTGTCCATACGAGTGAGATGCTTACAGGCCACTGGTCGGTTCATCGAAAAAGAGAAGTAGATCCGGTTTCGCAGCAAGTTCGACACCTGGTAGACGTGTAATTTTAGTATTTTTGCATGGCAGCCATGAGAAAAGACTAACCTATCGTCAGCCGCTTGCGTTGTTCCACGTTGAGACCTTCGCCTGGAACCCCAACAATCGCCTCAGCATAGTCTTCCATTTCGAGCAGCCTGATCACTTCGTCGACATAAGCGAGTTTCTCGGCCGTGGGGATCTTCTTCGGTTGGCGTAGGAGAGCGCTAAACGTGAGAGACTCGCGTACAGTCGCGGTTTCGAGATGAAGATCCTGTTGTTGAACGTAGCCGGTCTTTCTTTGGAACGACTGGTCTCGCAAGTGACCATTGACGAACATATCCCCACTGATCACGCCCATCGTGACACGGCTAGCCAAAACATCCAACAGAGTCGTCTTGCCCGCACCGGATGCACCCTGGAAATACGAATTAGTCAATATAAGAGACATCCAGCCGTTCGACCGACCATTAGAGCTGTAAGAGTTCCTGGCTTGACCCATCCGTCGACGTGGTTGAGGAGCTGTCTGGGATTTCCCTTGATCTTGATATCGTAGCAGACATTGTTCCAATGGAAAATCTTCGTCTGGCGATGTATGGCAGCAAGGGTATCCTTCTCGTCGGGACCTTCTCCTTGTTGAGTGGTGATCGCGGACCGGTCACCTCCGTTTGCCTTCTCCTCGTCGTCTTCCGTCGATTTCATGACCGAAGGAACGTTCCCACGACGGAACATGAGGACTTCGCCCTTGGATCTCGCACCCTGGATCGCATGCGTTGCCAACATGTACGTCGACGTGAAAAAGATCCAGAAGGCAATGATGATGCCCAAATTCCTGGAAAAAAATGAGCTCGTCAAACTTTCATAAAGCCATCGGATGAATGCACGCACCGCCATTTATGTGCATGGAAGTACTTGTAACTTTGGTTGATGTAGCGGTCGCCATTGACGATACTTGAGCCAGCGATCGAACCTGTGGCGCTGCATGTCCTCTCCAGACCGGTAATATTCGCGTAACCGGGACCGCTGGGAACAAACACAGAGCAAGGAAAGTCGCGATCATGGAACTCGTTGATCATGAGCGATTCGAAAGCATAAGCAATGGGGTTTAGATAGTTCAACCAGCGGAACCATGGCTTCATGTCGCTCGTGGGAATTGTAAATCCGGTGTAGATGATCAGAGCCAGAATCCACATGGCCGCCGGCGCCAAAGCCTGCGAGAGAGTGCGAGAAGCAGCAGCGATCGACCGGAAAATACTCGACATGGTGAAAGTCGAGATGAAGGAAAAGATCCAGAATGTGAAGAATGCGCCGGGCTCTCGACGCAGATTGCTCATGAAATAGAGCGTGAGATTGAATGCAACCGCGACGAGAATCTTGGAAGGAAGGTCGCATATCATGGATGCCACGGCCTCGGCGCAGGGATGATACAGAGCGAACTTTCTATGCTTCTCAACAATTGGGCGCTGAGCATAGAGAGACAAGATCTAAGGTCACAGACGTCAACAATTTCCTCTGATCATAACGGGTGAGATCCCTGCTCACTTCTAGTACACTGGAGAACGCGTTCATGAGAATGGCAAAGAACAAAAGAGCACCACGACTAAAAAAACTCCCGGTGTTGTCTTTCAGGTTGTAGAAAACTGAGCCTGGACAATAATTGTCAGCCAATGATGATCAGACTATGAAGACAACGAACCTATGATGAGAGCTATGAAGAAGTTGCCGAAGACTGTGGCGTAAAAGTTGGCCATGTCGCCTCGAAGTCGTTGCAGTCCACGCTTCGTGCAAAGACGGACTTGCATCGGGAAAGAAATCGTGTACGGTGACTTGACGCTCCTGTTGCGGTCACAGTAAATAGAAAGCTGGAGAGAATGAGGAAAGAGACGGACATGTGTTTCGCCTGCTGAGCCTTCCGGGACTGCTGGAACTTAGTCACTTGCCCATCTCCAACGGGAAACTCCGCCTGATATTCCTCGATCTCTTTGAGTAACTGCCGATGCTCCTCGCTCTCCTGCCATTGCTTGGCGAACTCATCTGGCGTCCGCGGGACCCTATGCTCCCAGCCTCGCTCAACGATGCGCTCCGACGGGTTGGTCAACGAGGTCAAGAAGTCGGCGGTGGTCTGACGGGCAGGACAATGCCATCCACGGCTCGTGAAGAACTCCTTTGCCTTGTCGCCCCGACCGTAGTAGATCTGCCGTCCCTCGTACAGGACAACGACCTTGTCAAAGATCTAGAGGGCACGAGTCAGCTTCTATCAGATAACAGGCCATTGCACTCACGTCATACGCGCTTTGAGAACACTGGTAGATGGCGACCAAAGCTGTCGACCCCGCGGTCTCCGTGGCCAACCGCACATGCTTTACGAACTCCAGAGCGTTTGCGCTGTCGAGACCGCGAGTACTGTTCTCCCAGCACTGCATCGGACTCCCGCTCAACATACACTCAGCAATGCTGACACGTTTACGCTCTCCTCCACTGACCCCGCGAATAAAGTCGTTTCCAACCTTCGTGTTCACCGTGTGCGACAGACCGAAGATGGCCATGATGACGTCGCGCATGTGCTCGGCGTACTGCTCGCGGGAGATTCCAGGCATGCGATTCCGGGGAGCGCGAGCGAGTGCAGCGAAGCCGAGAGTGTCCCCGACAGTAAGCTGGGGAAAATGGACATCGGTCTCGGCGTTGTAAATGACCTCGCCGCGGAAGTCGTTGTGCATCATGTGCGCAGGAATGCCTTGATATTGGATATCGGAATTTGGGTCGATATAGAAGCCGTGCGTCTCGCCGGCGATGGTTTTCAGGAAGGTAGAACAACCGCTGCAAGGAATTGAGCAATCAAACAAGCTAAAGTCGTTTACGAGACACACCTTCCTGGCCTTCCCAATACAATCAGCATCTCTCCAGCCTTCAACAGTCCATCGAAGTTCCGCAGGATGTTGAGCTTTGTGAGCCTTGTGCCCAAGCCAATCAGGCGCTTTGCCCTGCCTACGTAGTCGAGCCACACGTTCCCGACCGTCTTCTGAAAGTCAGTGGGACTGCCAAACCCGTGGACGTTGAGGTTGGTGAATGAGACGCCGGCGGTCCGCCGTGGGTAACGCTCGGGATCGCGCGAATGAACGGCCATCATGGACCTCGACCACGCCTCCGCGCTAAACTCCTTGGAGTTGGGGTCGAGACGAGGATCGAGGTTATCGGGGTGGAAAGGATTGAGTGGCTCTGTGTCGCGGCGGGAGGCGGCTGACATCCGCGAGAGTTGGCGAGCGAGTGTGCGGACGGCATCGTCGAATTCTTCTGGAGAATGGGTTTGAATATCCGGGTCATTAGTGTTACGAGCGGACATCTGCCTAGTGGTAGAGGAGCCTATCAAGCTACCGCCCCAAGGGGTGGTCGGGGCTGCCGACATGAGGATGGTTGCAATGAAGAAGGTGTGGAAAGAGCGCCGACGAGAGAATCGTATTTATTGCGACTTCCGGACTGGTATTGGAGTGGACGGGGTGAAGGCAGATCTGTCGTAAGCAGGAGTTGACCGGGCCGATCCATGCCGCAACTCCGAAGTGAGACCTAATAGTGAGACCGGAATGGTCGACTTTTGGAAAAAAAAATGATCAGTGCTTTGCGGAACGCGCCACGAAACTCCGATGCCGACAAACGACGAGCGCAGGCGTCGATATGCCCAAGGATGATAATATGTGGTGCTACAGGGAAAGCTCTCAAGAGGCGTTACTTACCGGCCTGCGAACCTCCTGGGACGTAAGCGCGCTAAAGCAGTGTAGTAGCTTAAGTATCACCGGGGATATCGTAGGAGCTGTATGGACTACGAGCGCGAGCAGGCAATGCAACGACCATTGTCTCAGATGCCCAAATCAACGATGGAAAACGGCGTATGAGGCGTGCATGCATGCGTTCATCTGCAGCATGGGTTTCGGGGGTGGCATGTATCAGCAAGGCAGCAGCGAAAGCTCCGCCGGGGAAGTCTTACCTTGATAATGGCCTGTCCGAGATTGGCAGAAGGCCCCGTCCAATACACATGTAGAGACAATCAGCCGGATCAGATCCTCCAGCCTTCCTTTGGTGTTGTCAAGGGTCAGATCACTTGTGAACGAGCAGCGGCATCGAAAACATGCTCAGATTCATGGAGCGAGATTGTGAGACAACTCTGGAGACGACGGAGTCACCGGAGCGGGAAGGTCCCAGGATACCAAGCTGTGAGTGGTCAGATTTTCAGAGCTGCGCTGCGACGACGCTGTGAACCAGGGATGTGCGAACCTGTGTGGAGACTCGCAGGTCGTCAAGCCTCAAGTGCAAAGCTCGTATACTTACTAGGGCTCCAGCACGCATGAGAGGATAGACTCTGTCGAAGCTCACGTCACCAAAGCGAGTAGTGTTTCGTGTACGTATGTAAGCAGGGTCGGTACGCGCAGCCCTCTGCCATGTTCACTTCAACTCCTTCTGCCCTCCATCGACTCTCTTTCCATCCTGTGCGCCTTGCTTCCAGGCCACACGCGGCTTTTCTCTCGAGACCGTACAACGCAAACTCATCGCGCACGATGGGGAAAAAAAAAGTCGCGATCAACGAAGACATTCTCGTCCTACCACCCCACCCATCTCACTCCATCGTGCCCATCGTCGATACACACACACACCTCGTCTCCACCTTTGCTGCGTACAAGCAGAAATGGCCTTCCGGCTCACACGCGACAATCTTCGACTTTGTACGTGGGGTCTATGGCGGCAGCACGACGAAGGTGCGCAGCATTGTGGACGTATGGTGCGAGGCACCTGTGCGGCGCGTGTGGAGGGAGATCGCCGACTCTGCCCTGACAGAGGAGAACAGGCATAGTCTATGGGGCAGTATTGACTATTGGTTCGTCATGGGTGCGTGTGGATCGATTACAGGCTGCGTAGCCAGTACTGATGCGCGACTGTCGTCCTCAAAGGCGTGCACCCGTAAGCGTCATACCTTTGAGATGCAGTCAGCTCTCGAAGTTTCTGATGGACCCTCAAGGCACGAGGCAAAGCTTTATAATGATGATGTTGAGAAAGACATGTGCGTGCATAGAGTTTCCGGCGTCTGCTTGTTATACTGCTAAATTTAGCCCTCGTTACTAGCTTGGAGGCGATGGCACATCCCCGCTGTGTCGGGTGGGGGGAAATCGGTCTCGATTACCATTACGACAATTCATCGCGCAAGACACAGCAGACAATCTTGATCAGACAATTGCGGCAAGCTGTACGGCTAGGAAAACCCGTCACGATTCACACGCGCGAGGCAGAGGAGGACACCGAACGGATATTGAAGACGGAGCTTCCGAAAGATCACAAGGTGCTTCTTATTCTGTGTGCTATCTCTGTCCGTAAACACGTCGTTGAGCCCTGTCGTTATATTACAGATCCATGTACACTGCTATACGGATTCTCCTGCGCTGGCCCAGCGACTGCTAGAACATTTCACCAACCTCCATATTGGTATAACAGGTGCGTGTCATCTATGGCCAGATCGCAACAATGACTAGAGCCCTAAACACAGGCGTCATTACATATGCGACGAATGTGAATACGACCTCTCTCGTGAAGCAACTCTGTGCACAGTCCCAATTCCCACGCATCATCCTCGAGACAGACGCGCCTTATATGGTCCCTTCGAATCTATACGCATCGCTACCCGGGTTCAAGGGTCGACTTCCGCTATGTCACACGGGAATGATACCGTGGACTGCCGACGCTATCGCGGAAGTGGCGGGTGAGGGGTGGAATGTCGATAGAGTCATGAAGCTTGGGTTTGATAACGCGCGGAAGGTATATGACGTTTAGACTTGAAATGGATCGATCACAATCACGAGCCAGGTACGCTTTGCTTGTGGTTTATTACGGGATGTGGCAGATGTGGCGGATGAACAAGAAATAGGCGGGACACCTCTGGAGTCAGTGGTCATAGCGTATGCAGTGCTAGGCAGTGACTAGTGACTGGTGACCTGCAGTGATGTCCCGCTGGCTCTAGTCTCACATTTGTCTTTCATGGCAATCGAGGCCATATTTCCGCCAAGGAATCAGTTTGCGCAGTTCTGACATTGCTTCCTATTGTTTCCTGCTTCCTTCAGTGGCGTCTGCACGAATTTGGTCTCGTTCACATAGTCTCGTTGGTTTTGCCTTGCTGGCGCTGAGTCGTAGCGGCGTCTGATGTCGGCCAGACGTTTGGAAAACCCCGCTCTCATTTATGCCGCATGTATGTCGAAGAGGGAGATTGAGAGTCAACCGGTCAAACTTTTTGGCTTGTCAGCTTCTGCTCTTTTTTTCCCAATGCTTCCGACGTTAGTTCAACATCTATTATCACAGATTCATGGTGTTACGGGAGCACATCAACGAAACCAGTATTGTACGCCATCGTTCCTCTTTTCAGATAGCTTATGTTGCCTGCCACTCAGTACTCAGTTTCGTTTGGGCATATTGTGTCGATTCTAGAAGGGCTGTGCTGGTACACGTTTGAAGACGTATTGCAGCGACTGAAGGCGATTGAACAGTGAGGGTCAGATCAACGACGGACGATCGAGATGTGGGAGGGAAACTCAATTATTACTTAATGAACTTAGTGTCTTTTTTTGGCTGTTTCAGGACAGATCCACCTCTTGAAGTCTCTTAGTCAGGATCTTGCTCCTAATCTGTCTTAAAATGGACGATTAAGGACGGTAAGTTGATTAAGTAATTATCGAGTTTTCCTGATGAGCTGGCTAGCCGATGCTAATTCAACATCTCAAGTAGCAAGCTGGTCGTGCGACAGCAATCTGCTTTGCATCATAGCCACTCACAAGTCCGATTGAATGTATACATACGCAAAGCTTTGGCTTTGACTTGATTCCCACCTTCTGTGTCTCCAGACGGCTTGCAGAACGTATGTCTTCCCACCTATTTATGTTGAGTGACGTTGGAATCCACGGTCCAGCCACCTCTGGCCACCTCTCGCAGCGCGGCAAGGCGTTGAGCGCGATAGTGCCTCCATCACGGTGCACCGGCACATGAGTGCTCCTGCAGTTACGTGTGGGTCAATTTGGAATTAGAGCCGGACATATGATTAGATTGGCAGTGAGTGCCGTGAGCATTGGGCTCCAATGTTGGCCAGAGGAAGACTTTCGCTCCAACGTTGCGTGGAAAGCGTCCAAAATTGCGCATATCAGAGCTATACGGAGCTTTACGCCCGATAAAAATGACGAATTGAGAGTGCCGACAAACGCCGAACAGGTCGATGAGATCTTCCCCTGCAGCGATTTGTAGCTTCTCCACGTTCATCGCAAGAATCCTCGGCGACCATTTAAATGCGACTGCAGGCATGCCCTACACATTGTGTACCCTCTGATGTCCCCAGCGGTCTTTCTCGTTCTCTCTGCTCTGGTGAGTAAGCTGCCCTCGTTTGTTTCTTCATCTGCTCATGGTCGCGTGCAGTCTGCCCATCTGATCTTCAATCGTTTGGAGCCTCGCGATGCTGGTTCCCTCGTTTTCTTGACTGTCGGATTTCCTGCTGTCTTGTCGGTGGTTTTGCGTCCTCAAGGTGTATCCATACTGTCCTCGGTGCTTTCTTCATATGCTGTCTACTTGTCCTCTCTTGTCCTCTCCGTCGTTGTCTATCGCATCTCTCCGTTTCACCCCCTCGCCAAATACCCTGGTCCTCTCTTCCTGAAGATCTCTCGCTTTTCAGCCTGGGTCATCGTCATGGGTGGGAATCAGCACCGTTATTATCACTCTCTCCATCAGCGTTACGGGCCGTATGTCCGCACAGGTAAGATTTCACTATTAAGCACCGTGGACCACGGGTAATCAGGTTGTGGTTTTCAGGTCCAAATCACCTGCACATCTCAGATGCTGCTGCAATACCGGCCGTCCTTGCCTCGCGTAACTTCACCAAAGGCGGAAGTGCGTCTGCTCCAGTCCTCTGTCCTATCCCTGCCCATTCATGGGCGACTTCCATAGGGTACAACGTAACGCACTCCACAGCAAGCTTGCTCAATATCCTCGATCCGCAAGAGCACTCCCAAAGACGACGGATATGGGATCGTGCATTCAGCTCAAACGCCATCAAGGGTTATCAAGATTCTCTGTACACCCGTGTCTCACAGCTCGTGTCCATTCTGGAAAAGAACTCTGAGACGGGCTCGGTCAACCTCTCGCAATGGCTCAGCTTATTTTCGTGAGTCATCTGTTTTCGAAGGCTGGATGAAGCTCATGTCTTCTGTAGCTTTGACTTCATGGGAGATCTAGCGTGCGTGTACCCTTCTTCGACTTCAGGTCCTCTATTGACGCTTGCTATTCTTAGCTATGGGGGTATCTTCGAATTGATGAAGGATGGTGGCGATACACATGGTTTCGTGAAGATGTCAACACTGGGTATAGAGTCCGTAGCTGATCCACTTATTCCATTTCGGCTGCCTTCTTAACGTTTTGACAGGCAGCAAGAGATTCTCGGCACGATGCCTTGGCTGAGGGCCTTCTATAGGCTTCTTCCCAACTCGGGAGACACTATGCGTCTACGCGCGTTTGCCAAAGACACCGTCATGAAGCGGGTCGCCAAAGGCTCTATGATTCGAGACATCTTTTACTTCCTAGTTCGTTCACGCCCCCCCATCATCGGTTTGAAGCTGTCTAAGTTGACTTTGCTTAGATGGATGAAGACGGTGCTGGAGGAAAGGCGTTGCCATTCCCTGTTCTTGCTGCCGAGGCAAGTTTTGCCATCGTGGCCGGTAAGCCTTCAGTCTCAATGGATTCAATGCATCACTGTCAACTTCAACGACATCCAATTTCGTACAGGGTCGGACACCAGTGGCGTCACTCTGGTCAATATCTTCTATTACCTACTCTCGAATATGAAGGCCTACAGGCGTCTTCAAGCAGAGATCGACAGAGCGGTATCGGAGTCTGCGATCGATCCGGCTGCATTAAACACATTACCATATCTCAACGCTGTCATGTCAGTTGACTCTAAACCGTCTCTAAAATTTCCATCTCTCATCGGTTCGCAGTAACGAGACATTGAGATTACAGCCCCTTGTACCCAATGGCGTCCAGCGAGTCCTTTCTCCGAAGACAGGCGGCACGTTAGTCTGCGGAAAGTAAGTGTGTCAATGACTTTCCTCATCGAGTCAACTGATCCCAAGCTTTTCCAGCTACATCCCGCCCAACACGACCGTCCAAGTCTCGAACTATAGCGGCACGTCCCTGTTCTTCAACGACGCCGATGTGCTTTCTGACATTCCCCACCTCAGTTCAAAGGGATCCTCTGAACTTCTCTCCCAGCCCCGACGGTTTCTGGCCAGAACGTTGGCTTATCGCTGACGCAGACAAGGCCGAAGCTCCCGTCAGCGACTGGATTTCATCCGAGCCAGCTGTCACTTGCCTGAACCGCAGTGCTTTCTTCCCTTTCAGCTATGGTGCGTTCCCCAACTCTTGACAATTACTTTCTGCGTGGTCGAACCTTTGCGCCAGGCCCGACAAACTGCGCTGGCAAGACGCTGGCAATGATCGAAATGCGTGCTGTCGTGATCTCCATGATGCGCCGTTTCGAGGCCGAGCTCGCGCCTCAATGGTCGGCGGAGAAGTACGAGTCGGAGTTGAACGACTATTATATCCTGACGAAGGGCCAGTTGGATGTAAACTTGCGTTTACGGGATGGTCAGACGCACATCGAATGAGACTACGGTGCTTCGCGTACAGCAGTCAGGGTTGTCGATGTGGGGCTCATCATTGTACGTGTAGATGTAAAACGAATGCAAATGCTGTTGTACTCCTCCCATGCGGTCACTGAAGCTTAATTCGAAGGAGCGCTGGCTTACCCGCTCACATGCGTTTCAGCAACAGTTTAAACGTATTGAATGAACGTTACAACGTGTGAGCTTCATCACTTCTCTGTCCTGTCCATAGCACCAACTGATGGAATGCATTCCATGGACGCCCATTCTCCATACTTCGAAAGTGTTCTCCATGTCATCGTGTTCCTAGGTGTCGTTAGTACCTACACGCAACCTCTTCCCCACAGGCTTTTCATCAAAGATGTCCATCTCAGTGGTACTCATCGACAGCTCCACGCTGTTGTCTCCCGTAGGTCCATGCATGAACGATGCCTCATCGACGGTCAACGGACGTATCAACGCGAGCTCGAGTGCGGACACTGAATTGATGCTATCGGCATCACCCTCTTCGCTGGATACAGACGTCACCTGTATATGGCAGTATTTGACAAAAAGCGCCGTGATCACAAGAATGGCTAGTACCAATGCGGCGTGTAGGTAGAGCAGCGCTAATTCAAGAATGAAAGGCCGGAGCGGATACCGCCCGACGATGCGGTTTCCCAGCACGCTTCACGAGAGCGTCGGGCCTAATGTGTTCGTTATCGCAGCCGCAGACCCAAGAGCAAGTCGTGCGAAGCCCTGGGACAGGAATGCCATTGTCTCGGATCTGCGAAGTTGGCTGAACGCAAAACCTTCAATGTTGCCGATAAGCCGTGAAGTAAAGTGCCCAAGGCGAGTGGGCAATGGGAGTCCGTCTGAGAGGCTGCTACTCAATAGTATTTCCTCGACGATGGCGTACTATCCTTGGCGATATCCCAGTTTCCCATTGTAAAACGAGAGCATATAGTTCGCGAGCATCGTAGCGCCCTCAGTGTTCTGCAAAAGAATGGAACCGGGTGTTGTCGACGAGTCAAAGACTCCGAGCGACCCTGAGACATAATCTAGCCATGGGAATTGAAGCAATGTGGTGAGAGTGTCGTTAGTGATGTGTTGATAGCCGAGGGACGGATATTCGGGCAGAGTGTCTGACAGGATGTACCGACACCTATCGCAGTTGGATGAGAGAGTGTAGAGACCGTTATGATTTCTCGTGCCAATGCCCGTGGGAGGCGTAGTGGAGGCAGGGAACGAGGAACTGCCTATTGTAAGATTCAAGTTGCAAGATAATGTGTCGTTGTCGTCTATACTGCAGGGCGGTAGCAGCAGCCCGCAGGATGCCCGTGTGCTTAATATGGTCATCGTGAAAGCAAGTGACTGAGGTACACCCGGCGTATCAAGCACAGCCATATCGGAAGCGTTCGATTATCTGCAAAGAGCGAGGGTTGTTGGAGCAGTCGGGGCTGGCTTCCTTGCACTCCGAGAGGAATAGCGGACAGCCGTGAGTTCCCGACCATCCTAGTAAACTCCATGTCAAGGGGTCAGTGCTGATTACTGCATGCACCGGAGGTAGGTCAATTGTCTCGTCCTGATCAGAATGTACGAGTCAAACATGGGCAATACGGTCAGTGTACAGCGCCATGATGAACGGCGTCGTGAACGATGCTAAAAGTGTGGACTGTACGAGACAATTCACCTAGATAAGCACTTGAATGCAAAGCGAGGTTTGCACGTACAGCAGTCGAGAAGATCGTCAATCCTGTTAGACTCCCACTCTGCAAGCCTTCTCGCCTTCATCTAAGGCGAATGTTTCGTTTTAAAGTCGAACATCTTCTCTAAGTACCAAGTTTCTTTAGAGTGAATGCAATCCTGCCTATAAATATGACGGTCACGAGGGTGGGCACTAAAGAACGAGGGCTGAAAAAATGCCTACGCAGCTCAGGCTTGAAAACAGACGCCGAGGAGCGCCGGAGTGTTGGGTTTGGGTGGGAACATATCTGTTCGATGTTCTCTGGTATGCTCGAAAGACGATTGTGTGTTAGAAATTGCTCTTTCTCTTGTGCCGAGGGTATAGAGTCGTGATGCGATCGAGGCGTGAGTAGAGAACGACCTATCAGGTAGGGTTGGGTACTGAATTAAGGTGCTGAAAACACACTCGAGGGGGAAGGCAGAAGGCAGCTACGTACCACGAGTGTCTTACATAGAGCATCATCTTCGATTATATGCCGATCGAGTTCTAAGAACGCGATTTCTGACCCATGAGGTGATGAATCGATTGTTGGCATGATCATCATAGTGATCGAGGTAGTTTGACCAAGGTCCCAATACATGCCACGGTATATTGGCGGGACTCGTCAATTGAGAAGTAGCTCTAGGCTTGCCGACCATAAGCAGACACGAAAATCAGCTCCGGACAAGTCAAGATAAAGAGACGCTCTACAGCAGTACAGCGATCCTGGACATTTATTCAGAGTTCAAAATCAGCGGACCATGCGCAGGAATTTGACAACGAATATCTGTGGAAGAAGTCTGAGTGTGCGAGACGACAATGTGCAGAACGGTAGGATATCACTGAATCTGATCACTCGCTGAATCTTTTTCCTCAGATGTGTTATGTTGAATGATGCGTTTCGTTCGGTTATTGCTGCAGTAGTGGACACACTGCTGCGACAGCTGTGTTCGGCTTGAAGAGCACTGAGCAGCTGATGACCATCGTTCCCGGCCCTTCCCGTATCTGTTCCGCTTTCATTCGTGGTCACTGTCCCGTGATGTGACGACTTTCACGTGCGCTTGTCTCGATCTCTCCTCTTCTCTCCTAGTCTCTCCTCCGTTCTCCCCCGTGCTCAGTCCGTGCTTTCGCTCTCATCATTTTCTCGCACAATTTTTTTCTTCTTCAGCGGTAACATCCCTTGACAGCCTACTGGAGCGGAATGAGAATCGGCCCGAATGTGCTTACGTACCACGGTCTTGAGACAGCTTGTGACCAACCGTCTTTAGCTCAAACCGGAACCCTCCTGGTTGACAGTAATAGGGGTAATATGATATTCGAATTCATCAGACTCCACACAGACAAATGAAGTACTCACACTGCAAGGTATGTACGCACAACACCTTCGTCGCACACGGTACAGAGGAATTGATGGGTAGAAGACCGCGTGGCATACTGTGCAAGACGATCTCGGGCTTGATTCTGGGGAGACGCCTAGGCGTATTCGAGACCATATAGTGAGAAGGTAAATCATAATCGATGTCGGAGACCGTTATTGTCGCATCTGCATGCAAACCTTCAAACCCGACCAGAGCGAACCCATCAGATTCTCACCGCAGCCGACCCACAGAAGAACCTATACTCGGTCAAGGTTTGATCCCGACTGTCAGACCATCAATGCCTCTGCGGGTTTCTGCGATGATACGATCTGTCAAACTTGTGAGGTCTGTCCAATGTGATGCTGCGAGGAGGCCTAGGGGGTACTAAATTGAGGCGCGCACGGGAGAGGAAAGCCCATATGCGTACGTACTTGCAGTCTTGACTGACATGCTCACTACCCCTGAGCCGCCAACATTTGCTCAGACACTCAGTCCCTCCTGCATCACATTATCTGCGTCGACGGACAACAGGCTGCGGTCGTCCCATACAATGTCGTGAGATGATATGATGCACGCATTAAGATATTCAGTACCAAAAATCGTTACAACGAGATAATATTGTACTATACGCTTTCAAGCTGACCCGCCCGTCTGCTTCCACCCATATTATGCTACGCCACTTCCCCTCATGCTCGTTTTCACTTGTCGATAGAGGGCCAGTCCGGGTGTCGAGGCCACCCTCGCGGGCTCGCCTAGCATACGCCACAGCGCGCGATCACGACCGAGGCACCGGGCCTGCGCAGGATGTCATCCGATGCATACCGCGTCTGGATCGTGCGGACGATGTCGAAGCCTTGAGCGACCTCGCCAAATACGACATTTTTGCCGTCGCACCATGGCGCAGGGGCGGTCGTGATGAAGAACTATGTGCGTGCCCGGGCGAATGCATCGCCACAAGATGCGTCGCATGCGGAAAGGGTGAAAGGGGGAAGGAATGACGCGAGCCGGTGAGATGGGTCAAAGGGCGGGGATGAAACAAGGCCGAGTGCCACGATCAAAGGAGGACACAAAAACGGAGATGGAATTTAGCGTGACAGCCGCCGGAAAGGAACAGTACGTGGCTGACACGGAGGATCCGCACTGGGGCTTACCTGCGACGAGTTCGACCTGGGTCCGCGATTGGCCATTGATAGAAGGCCTGGCTTGTCATGCCGCAGCCGGAAGTTTTCGTCTGTGAGGGGAACGAAGGGGCGGGCGGCGCACGTCAGTCCACAGCGCGCCGATGCGGAGATGGGAAGGAATGGGGTGAGCACTCACCCGGGAACGTGGGCCCATATATCGAGCGGCCGCCGGAGCCATCTCGCTGCGTGATGTCCCCGCCCTGAATCATGAACTGCTCTTGGACGAGGGGTGGGCAGAGAGGTGATAAGAGGTCGATGGAGTGAGGGAGGATGTGGACGAAAGGACATGCCTCGGGGATGATGCGGTGAATTGTCGAACCCGCATAGCCGAAGCCTTGGTGGCCCGTAGCGAGCTCGCGGAAGTTGCGGGCGGTGTTGGGACAGATGGTGTCATAGAGCTTGAACACTATTCTTCCAAGCGGGTCGCCATTGACCTCCATATCGAACTGCGATGATGGGGTGGCGGGAGGTGAGGGCGGACTGTGAGTGGCAAGCGCGAAATGGTGAGACGATCGTCTCTGCGAGGAAGCACGCACATAGACATTTTGGACGCTGCTGGGGAGCAGAGAATGAGGAGAGCTAGGAGCGGGTGGGTGAACGCGACGAACCTTGCAGACATGAGAGTAAGGCGAGGAGAGAGGGAGAGAGCGCAGGGCTCCCGGCGAGCGCACTCAGGCCCCGATTTAAATATGATGACGGCGCGTCCGAGTCTGAGCACACCGATGGCCCGGGTCGATCTCCCGGAAACGGCCGGGACGCGTGCCCGGCTGGATCGAGATCCGTCGACTGGCCGCTTCCTGCCTCGCACACGCGCTGTCTCTGGCTGCAGTCAGTCCATCTGCTCGCTTCTCCATCCACTCGCTTTTCCATCCACTCGCTTCTCCATCAGTCCATCAGCCCCCTTCGGTCTCCTCCGAACGCCCCTCGCAGCACCGCAGACGCCGACACGGCATGCTCGAGAATGTCCTCGATGCCCACACTCCGCAGACCGGGCCCGGTCGTCACTGATCTCGAGCACTCGACTCTCTCAGGCCATGCACGCGTGCATGCCCACCCAGTGCCCACCCCTGCCCTTCCCAACCCCGCGCCTCTCCCCTCCTCCCTCGGCATCGCCCAAAAACGTGTCTGCTCTCACGTCGGCCGGCACATCTCCCAGACCCAGCCCCATCCAGCAATCTGTCCTCCTCGCTGGTTTGCCCATGCGTTTCAAATCCACGTAGGCCTCGACACGGACGCGGGTATGTGCATGTATACGATGGCTCGTCGATGGCGATGGCGATGGCGATGGCGATGAGTCCCGGGCCACTCAACACCCAGCTCGTACGATACGGATCTAGCCCGGCGCACCCGAACCCGGCTCGATCAACTTTGGCTCGCCCCGCCCAATCAGATCGGCTGCCCATTCCGCTTATCGCCATCAGTCGACGCGCGGATTCCCCATCCATGGCCGCCAGTCGAAACACCATCACACGACACCCTTGAAGGCACTCAGAGCGTCACCGCGTCCTGCCAATGTCTGACGCCCGACCCAGCGCGGCCACGTTGCTCCATCGTTGGTGCTCGGGCTCGGGCTTTTCCCGGTATGACTGTTACCGGCTCGAACTCGTTCTCGTACGTACGCGCGCTCGACGTTGACGGCACCACTCGATGATGATACCACAGAATCCCGAAAGAAACTGCGGGCCCTCTTTTTCGCCACCCACCGCCACCATTTTCGTAAAGTTGGGACAGCATCATTCTATGCTCGCTATGGGCGTCCGGATCATCCCTCGGGCGTCTGCGAGCGGCTTTTTGCGTTGAAGCGACGGGAATTTACAAGTGGGACCGTAACGTGCAACGTACGGCAGGCCTAAATGCGGATGCGCGAGGCTGTCTCCGATGGCCCAGTGTTCTTTACGGGCCGCCTTGCCTCGGCACGAGCAGAAATGCCAAAGTCGCGTCCAGCTACGCTATTAGACAAGCGGACGCTGGCAATCTCCGGACGTGCTCTGTGGTCGTGCCCGCGGCCTGGACGAGGAAGGCGACGGAACTATGGCTGAGAAGACGCCCGCCGAGGATAGACGTCTGGCTCCGTGCCAGTGGCTCGCGCTCGCCCTGTATGTAATGCACGGGCCGCATCGCGCTGCACTGTGCGGCATCTGCCACTGGTCTCCCGAGTCGTATTCCAGTACGCAAACCAAGTCCTCGTACTCCGCGTTTCATTGTGCAATAATGGAACGTGTGTCCCATGAGGCGTGGCGCCCACAGTCCTCTCCACGGCAGTGCGTGCCCATTATGTACTCAGACAGAGGGTTTCATTATAACGATATGTCATCCTGCCGGACGTGCGACGATCGTCTTGTCGGAGTGTCAGTAGAGAGAACCGAATACAGTAGCGCAAAGGACGCACACGTCTGCCGAAGTAAATCGCCCTACAATGTACGAAGGCATGAGATCCTCCTCTGCTTCGTCAGATCACATGGAAGATACAAGACAGCATCGCAGTTTTCCTCCTACCGACGACGACAGTCATCTGTCGAAGCTAGTGCCGCACGCAGAATAGGGAAAAGCGTGCGCCAGACATGGGGGCGCGTAGAAGAAAGCCCGCTCCATTTGGCACCTCAAAGGCTTGGAATCCTTCGCTGTGTCACGAACTCCAAGAGAAGGCCACCGTAGCATCGGGACAGTTCTCCGCGGAGAGAGATTCACATCAACAGGGAGTCAAGGTCGAAGGCCGGACAACGACGTGGACAAGGTATAGAAAGGGAGCCAAGAGGATGCCGAAAGGGAATGACAGCGACTTGAATTCGAAAAGCGGGGAGAAGACGCGGGCGCTAAAGAAGGTCTCATCCCCGAGGAAATGTGGCTCTGCATATGGGGCGACATATTGTATGTTGCCACAAAGACGACTCAGATATGAAGCTCGAGTCTATGTAACTAGACTCGTTTCTCGGGTGAATCTGTAACTAGACATACAAGGCCGCTTGTTCCGAGCGCAACGCTAGGAGAATTTGACAAGCCCATAAAAAATGGAGCGACTCGCTCTATATTCCGGTACGTCTACACGCTGACCAAAGATCCCCTTCACCGGGCATACTTCCAAGGGCTTGCTTGGATGACATACGTTGCATAATCGGGTTACAGGATACTGCTTGTTCAAGCCAGATACGCGATGCGGGGAAGCAAGGCCTGGGGTAACAGTTACGTTCAGGAGAATGCTTTCCGACCTCGAAGGGGTGAGAGTGCCGGAGTAAGGTACGGCTTCAACGGTAAAGATGGTTGTGAAGAACACAAAGGTAGACTTTTGAAGAGCATGTGTCGATTTCAGACAGGGCGCAGCAAGGTTCTATGGACCGTGAACGAGCGACCCACCAATCATGCAGAGCTGAATGTCTAGTTCTCGTCCCTATCATAGCCACTCAAAGAGCGAGATAGCAATAGCTCTGCAAGCTAGGGCCGGCCATAATAAAGAGTGCAAAGAACGCACAATTCACAGTCTGCCAAATAGTAGCCCTTCAAGGAGAGATTCTTGGCAAATCCATTCGGTTCTCCGTTAACTTTGGCGCCTGAGGACACATATAGGTACAGCACATCAGTATGCTGGGTGCGGAGTTGAGACCTTCGGAGTTTCAGGCCTGGACGGAACATGATGGATACTGTTGTTATAGCCGACGATCAAGTCTGGCAATAAAAAAGGTGCGATGGTCGAGCTGCTTTAAGCTGGTGAAAGTTTTCTTCAAACACGCTGTCTGTCCCAGAACTGTGATACAGCACTTGCAAAGCCGCGCAGATTGCTCAATCTGAAGGATCTATAAACTTTGAAATGTCGCGGAAAGACATAAACCGAAGGTCGCTTTGTGACATGAGAGACTCACCAGAAGGGCTCTATACTTTCTGATACAGACATCCGAGCAACAACTGACCTAATTAATCGGGATGGCCTGTAAATTGTCAATTCAGGGCTTGCACCGCCATATGACACTCACAAGAAACATACTGCTAAAAATGCGGGGCCTTTTTAAGGTCGATTGTGAGGCGGGTGATAATGTATTCAAATCAGTGAACTCACGGACTAATCATCTGGACTCCATGGTACCGCAATTGAAGGATGCGTGAATGCGAGCTAACATCGGTCATCGAAATGAAAGACACGTACACAGTTCTGCATTGGCCACCATGGTATCTGGGAGCGAAGACGGCTTCAGAGCCCGTGTTGCCATACCGCCCGCTACACAGCCATACAAGAGAACAGTGACCATGATCCAGGACAAACGGTCCATTTGATTCGGTTCGGGGGTTCAACCACGCACGAATAAGACACGGTTCGATCGAATCTTCAGGGTGGAAGATACATTGCCTCTTGGTGCTTTGAAGAGAGGGACTGGACGCGTCCATTCTTTGAGTTTGAGAAGTTGCTGTTGCCTCTCTCCGACGGTAACAGCGCAAGTCAGGAAACGCCGATCCGCCGTCACAGGGAATGTGGAGATGTGCGAGAGGAGTGGAGCAGAGTGGGGAATTTCCTTGACTATAATCGAGAAATCTAAATGTCACCGCTGTGATATGATCTCGACGCCGCTCACTCAAAAGGGGAATTATCATGCTTCGACATGTACACATGCACTTTACGACCGGAAGGTGACATCGATTTCATGACCACATACGTCAACGAGCGACGCTCTCGACCGTGAGTTCATGAGGCCGCTGAGACTGGCTATGCGGTCATTGAGGGATGAAACAAACGGACTTTGAGCGATTGACGACACGTTGTCAGAATGATCGTCCGGCTTACACATTCCAGGTGGTGGCCAGAACTCTTGTCGCTGGCGCACTGATCGGAGCGCTCGCGGGACGCGATCTAGAGGTCCGGTGTAGAGCATGCTCTACGACTCGATGTATACAATACTATACTTGGATCAACATGACAAAGCGGACAGTAACCGTTCCAGAGCCCTCGCGGACCTCGCGTTCGCAGAAACACTCTGTCGGTAATTTGGGCTATCATGCGTATATGATAATACTAGTGATGGAAAAACTAGGCCTAGAGTATGTCAGAGGAAGGCGATGGGTGCAAGCCCGGACCTTCAGGAGTATTAATAGTGCATTGTCCTTTGAGGCAAAGGCGGGTGTCGCCGAGAAAATCGATGCGCGGAAGTGCCTGTAAATCGCTCTTAAAGCAGAAGGGTGTATGAGAGGAGGGAGATGCCGAAAAGAAAGCCTAGGATGCTTCAGGAACATCGATTAGGGCCCTTAGGTGAGACCCGAGTGCCTAAATTTAGAGACTGGCACGAAAAGAAGGTGCGCGTGTTGATTTAGCGCGGGAGAGTTGGGGTCAGAAGATGGCAGGACTCTCCTCGTTGAGACGCGACGTGAAAAAAGACGAACGATGGCGCTACGATAGGATTTGTGGCAAACATGACTGCTGTCGAGCAAGGGTTATCGCCCAGTAAGGATAAACGCTTCTTATCCTGGGAAGGAAGCAATAGCTTCCCGTTTCCGCATGCGTTACCCTCGCCGAGATTGGAAGAGGTATTGAGAGATCGGGTAGATAAGTGGGAGCACGGACAGACATATCCACACGGTAACGATGTCAAAGACCCTCTTGTAGCGCATGATTGTCATGAACTTGAAAAACGGACCGGAGTGTCTTGGCCAATATGCGGGAGCCGCGGACTGAACTGTCAGGAAAATGTGTGGATGCGGGGCTCGTGAATACAGCGACGGTAATAGACGCTGATCTGAATGTCTCCTGAAGCTGCAAAAAAGGCCTTTATGACATAAGAATAAGACATTAGTACATCACTGCGTGAGAGCCGAAAACCATACTTAGCAGTGTAAATACGGTTCGCTGACTCTAGTCCTTTCGCGGCCTAAACATGGCGTAAGGATAGTCTGATGTCGAGCACGTCCGGTACCAGAATTACAAGCTTTGAATCATGCCAATCAGATTTCCTCACAGCCAGTTGCAAATTGCGATAGATGAGCTTCTGTGCGCGTCGGGATGAGATGGCTCGCGCAGACATAATGCCTATGCTCGCTTGTGAGTACAACGTCCATCGGACGAGAAAATCTGTGGCGCCAATGTAAGCGAGAAGCAGTGGAGAAGCGAGAGGTTGTCTAGCGCTTACGCTGTGTGATAAGAATGGTAGAATGCGGTGGCCATTCAGAAGTGTTAAGTAGAGTTAGAAAGACAAGGGCAGACGTTGCAGAGGAATGGGTACTGCAAATCGCTTTCAAGTCTCCAGCCTGGAGGCCACCATATCTAGTGCGATCGAAATCAATCCGCTGTCAGTTGTGTGGCTCTGTGCATCTTGACGTAGTCCACCTGTCTTGTTCAGTCTAAATCGCTTCAACGATTGAACACGCTATCACGCAGAAATATTGTGGCTTGCGCTTGGGATAAAGGGTCCAGATTTGATCCAAGATAGATCACTGTTCTGATGAAATTCTAGGTATCTTGTATTGAGGTCAGTACGTGCGCAACTTCTAAGCACCCTGAGTGGTGACTCGCTGGCTCCGATTTTGCCGGTAATTGTGCCCCTGTGTCACGAAACTTGTTATCAAAGGAGCCTCGTCGCTGCTTGAGCCTTCAATCATTCGATTGTCATTTGTGCACTCCTTCGGAGATGAGAGGCTTGACAATCAAATGGATCGGATTGAAAAATCTTGATGAGTAGTCGGCGAGATATACCTTGAAGATGACCCTGACTGCCGGCACCTTGCATCGACAGGTGACCAGGATGATATCTAGGCAGCAATGAATGTCCAGGATGGATGATCGCCTCGAAAGGATTCTGATAAGGTATGATGCTGGAAGAACATACTGATGCAAGATTTGCGGTCTTCCCCAGTTAGAGCGCATTGTCAACTTACCGGGGATATTCAGAGATGTGGAGCAGAAAGCGTAGAGTCTATACGTCCAACTTGCAACAGACTGAAGTGGTGCATGGAGCTAGCGGACAAGAGGACGTCGCCTCTTGGTCAGCGCAGGGCTGGTGCCGGCAACTAGCGACAGCTCTGCTCCCGCCGGCGCTGTCCTTTTGGTCGATGTTTTTTCCCGTTGCTCTTGCCCTCTTGCTCTTGCTCCGTTGCTCATCGTCACCCACACCGAGTTTGCCACCCGTAAGGCCATCCGCGGGCGCAATTATTCATCCAACTTAGAGGATCTCTTGCGTTCTCCTGAAGATTGTTGTTGCATTCACCAAACCGCTTGGCGACCGGTCACGATTGCTTCTTTTTCACTCCGACACTGCGTCTCATTCTTCTCGTTCTTTTCTCTCTCAGTGTTGAACTTTATCAGCTCTTACCTGTCTCCACACTCACGGTGATGCTTCAAGAGCTATATTGTCTATTTCTCTATCCCTGCCGTCTCTACTTATGCCTAGTCTCGTCGACTGGTATGGTTCTAGAGGCTGCACACTTCTAAGGTCTCTTTTCCGCGCATTCACTCACCCGATAACCGATGCGAGAAGAAACTCTCATCGATTCGATGAACTACGAGTTACAAGCTTGGTACGTTGTCTTACTAGTATTCTTGTAATTGGCCCGATGCATCTTTGTACGCCTATCATGGTCTACTTCAGACCAGTAGAGTACCAAAGGGTACCAATGAGCGACAGAGATCGATGGTTCTCAAAGGTATGTGTGCGATCTCACTGTATTAGTCGCACCTTATCATGCTCACCATTCTCACACAATCTCGTCTCGTCGTGGGGCTCTGTATCTTCCTCTCCACGTGGAACGTGTCTGCATATCTGTCCTTTTAAGGTTACTTCTTCAATATCAACGCATCTAGTGTAGATAAGTGCTAGCTCTTGAACGTTGCTAAAGGGTCGCTCTGGCTTAGCACCTACACCGCCGCTCATTCTTTTCGCCGCTTTCTACATTTTATTCACACTCGTATTACACAATGGATAGGCGCCTCTACGGTAGGAGAGATGGGTGTCTTGTCAGTCACACAAGCAAACTACCGCTTCTTGATCTTGTGCCATGGAAGCTCGCCCATCAAGGTCAGTCTACAAGATTGAGGAATCCAGTATGTAATCGACATCTGATCCCGCATAGCTGCAGGGGCGTTGATAGGATGCCTGGAGCCACCTTCTCTCGAGAACTCGTGCACATGAAATTATGACCACGATTTTTTCATGTCCCCAAGGACTCCGTGAAGAAGCGGCAGCCTCTGTCATTGCACGGCGACGTCAGTCTCGTCTCATCTCTCGGGTCTGTCGATATGCGCTGCGAAGAAAACAACAACCATCTGGGATGATCCATCGTGCCTCTGTCACAATCTAAAGAATGTCTTACTGTGAACTCATTTCGGTCTACGAAAGAAGGCGCGGCGTTGTGATCGGTGAATCGTTACAACCGAGTGCCCAGAGAAGAACGTATTTCCCTACTGTGCGAAGCCCGAGTCCTCTGATCTACTTTCTTGAGAGTGAAGCCTTCTAGTGAACACAAGAAAGCCGAAGAGGTCACGTCGAGATACTGGTTGTCAGCTGCCAGACATACGTGATTAAGCATCATTGTGTCAAACATGTTCTCATCTCAACAGTTTGTCCATGCGCGGCTCTAGGATTTCCAGGATGATCTTTATCGCGCAGAGAACAAGAGTAGGTTCAGGCAGGTTCTGATTCTGATATCTATCGTTCTGGCGCTCACCGATACGATCAGTCATATGTGCCTTGTCTCAAATCAGAGCGTTCTTGACAGACACCTCGAGACGCTCACGGTTACTCGAACATGCGTTCATAGAAGACCGCAGCGAGACAACTGGACACGCCGTTTATCTACGCGCCACACCATCGCCGCTTCAATTGTGCGCACCACACCTCTTAGAGTCTTCTTACGCCCAGATACTGCATCACATTCTCACTGCGATATACAATACTATTTTTCCGCGCTGCTCATTTTTCATCCATGCTCCGACCATCACGACGGCTAATTCTTCTGCTATGCGAGAATCGGTACGGTGTTCTGACGTTGTATTCTTCATGAATATGAACACGTAGTATGTGTCCACTACTTTGCCCTTGTATTCTCCATTTGATGTATCGTCCTTCGAAACACGAGCATGCACTTCTTGATCACCTCACTACAGTGCCTACGCCTCGCCATGAATTCCACCGTCATGTACCATGACGTTGAACTGATCCTGCAATTTCTTCTATTACGGCAAGGATCAACAAGAACCACCCGTAACGATTCAAGCGATTCAGGCGAGATAGGTTGTTTTTATATGTGGGCCAATATGCCACATACATGTGGATTAGGAGACCATGTCCGGAACAAGGCTCTCTAGACCTAACATTTGCGTATACGGATACAAGTCATAGCTATTCTTTTCGTGGAGAGGCCATCTGTCGTTTTGAGTTCATGAGTTCTGGACCTTCAAACCGAAATTAGCTGATTTCTCGCCAAAGCCATTGAGGCATTGTCTATTGTGGCCTCCAAAGTTTACAGATGGGATTCAGGAGGCGTGTCCTATCGACCTCTGTGCATTACAATTGATTTCAATCGTGCACAGACTATGTACATCTTTCGATATCTCTAACGTTCGCGCTGTATGATTTTTCTACTATGCACAACCAGTCCACTGAGCTACATGAATTCACCATCATCTGATGACGCCGACTCCGAGTGTGATTGTGCATCTGAGCTTGACTGGTCTTGGTCTTGGTCTTGGTCTTGTTCCTGTCCATCCTCAACTTCCTCGAAATCATCTTGCGCGATAGAAGAAGGCCAATTCACTCCGTCCATGATCGCGGACATAACAAATGCGTGTCGTTGAAGACAGGACAAAGCTAGTGCAGCCCTGAAATTCCCAAGGATGCGTGATTCATGTGAAATAGAGGATGGGAGGACGTCCAACAGTCCATGTATGGGCAGACGATCGATTATGCATGAGAGAAAGGAGAGTGGAGCGGAAATGGACTTCGAGGTGGCGGAGGGAGGAATGGAGAATGGGATGTGAGCGACGATGACGAGGCCGTGGGCATCGTAAATCAATCCAAATTGCATGAACCACGGGGGTATGCATCGGTATGAGGGGAGCGAGGGTATCCCAATCCCTCTGATGTTTTGATCGCATTGGTAGTGCCAATTCATCAGTAAGGCTATCAGGTTCGGCTCAACCCTTTGGGTTAGGTCGTGAAGCGTCTGCTCCATAGATGACGGGATAGATGCAGAATCTGACAAAGATACTTGAGCCGGCCAACGCGCAGGGCCCTTGATGCCAATCAGAAGCGCAGGGTGTATGAAGTTAGCTTTAGCCTTGGGGCGACTACAGTTTGATGGCCCCAATGAGCTGTGCAGAACGGAGAACGTTTTGGGTAGATGACCATGCTTCTCAAGGGGAGGTGGGAAGTCATTCTCGACATCGCTGTCGATAGAGCTCAGCTTGGAAAAGAGATCGAACCGAGAGAAAACTTACCCATACAGAGTGCATCCTGGAGTGGGCACAAAAAATCCAGGGATGGCCATATCTGCACTGCCCTCGTCGCCGGGATAGGTGATCACATCGAGGAAGAATGGTAAAGTATATTTCGGGTTGTTCCATTGATCCTTGCTTTGGAGTCGAGTATCAACATAACTAGGGCAGTGGAGTAGAAAGTCGGGTAGAAAGGACTCTTCCAGGCCGTCGTGTCGCCTGAGGACCTCGTCTTGTGAGATGTAGGTAATGTAGGTTTCAATGGGTTTAATCCAATGCATCAAGGCGGCTGCATTCATATGATCTGTTGTCACCCATGTCGTCTTCTGAGCCTCGCTCTGAGAACAAGACCAATTCACCTAAGCCTCTCAATAGTAGTGCAGCAACACGCACCTTCCACCTTTCTGGTATGCTGAGCGTATGTGGCCTAGTTGCGGTCCAGCTTTCTTTGAGTGTACGAACGAACTCGAGTTGCTCCGTACATGCTCTGGCAACACCAGGATCTATTGTTGAGACGTCGTCGCTGTAAACCCATGTCCTTTTACATTGCTCATCGTCAGTCCGAAGTGCATGCTGAATTCGCGAGAACGGCACGTACGTGTCAAGTAAAACCCTTTCATCTGTTTTGTGCAGCGAGATGCCGCTGTCACATAACAGTCGTAACAAGCTCTCATCAGTCTCAGAATGTGCGCAAGAGGAAGATTCCATCGAGTCGTGTGGTGGGTAAGTAGCCGTCGTGACCTTATACGGCTGGGTGCAAGCATCTCAGCGGATCAGATTCGTGTTCCAGAGCTAATCTTCTCCATTTATAATACGTACAAGATAGTCTGTTTGCCGATACAATCAGGGCGATCGTCTGCGCTCGGTTGCTGGTGCGAGAATTTGTCCAAACAATCCCCAACAACCTGGCTGTCAATAACCTTGACGGCGAGTCGATGAGAATGATAACTTCGATCCCCATGGATGCAGACGCTGTCCCCTATGCATCTCTACCGGCTTGGCTGGACAAGTTTGGAATGGCTGGAGCAGACCGCACCCTAAATATCTCAAGATCAAACTTGCAGTACGTGCCTTCCTGTGAATAAAAAGTGCAACTCACCCCAACATTCACGATGTAGAATGCTCTGGCAAGGGCCACATAGATGGAATTTTTTCATCAGGTCTCGCTTTGGACCTGGAGACTGCGGAATCGAGCTCATATTGCTGTTCTTGAAGCGTCAGCAGCAGTGGCTTCCCGTTCCGATAGCCATCCCAGACGACTGGAAGGTACATCATCGTGATTCATTCCGTTTAGTTATGATGCAAATCTGAATGCGAATTACAGACTTCAGGTGGATCATTGCTTGATGCAACCCTCACTGCTGCTTTAACAGAGTATCTGAACAAACAACTCCATGACTATGTCGAATTCAAGCCCAGGGAGAGCATCTCAGACATAGCTTACCCACATGCAAAAATAACTCTCCACGAGATTCGAGACCCCACGCTGAAAATATATGACATCAGATGGATGCTCTTCAAGCTTTTTTCCAAATGCGACGCCGACAGGTACATCGGATTTCACGAGCATCTCCCAGGTTCACTGTTCTCGTTCGTGCTTCCTTCAGTTTGCTATCAAATTCCAGGCTGCGATGTCATCCGGTGCGTGTTGTACTCGTAGCATAACAAAAACTGCTAATTGAATTCTTGTGAAGTTTCACTCCAATTGCTTTGCCAATCTACTGTGCAGGTTTTGGGTCCTCGGTCCGCTTGGACTTTGCTTGCACACCTTCGAAGTGCATGCTCCCGAACGGCCTTCCGGGGGGTTTTTCGCCAGTCTTGTTTGCGGTGGACTACGTTGACTCTATTCCCGATCTCACAAGGCATGAGATCGAACCGGATCAACCGTCAGAAGGGAGCTACGCATTCCCGGATCGATCCCATGGAATTGTCAAGCTTGCGAAGATATTCGAACCGGCCTTGCAACTTCTTGTGACGTATATCGTGAAGAAATATCAAGCACCCGATGGCCAGTGGATACCAGAATGGAACGTACGTACGTATGTGATTCAAAGCATCCTGATAGAACTAACCCTTGGAGCAACTCTAGCCTCTAAGATCTGAAATCCCTCACTTGCGACCTGATCTTCCGGAAGACTTATTCTTTTACGCGATAAATCACTCAAAGTCCGATTGTATGGTGTACGCTTTCTTCCCTCGATACAGCGTAACGCCGTCTGGCCGCGTTGAGTGGGGGTTCTGTTGTTCTGAAGCATATCGATTGCCATCGCTTATCGCCTCGGCTTCGATGAGGGATCGCATGAGGGTGGTCAAGACATTGCTGAGGGTCCAAAGACACACTGTTCGCATAACCGAGGTATTTACGGAGCTGTCGCGTGCGTATATGGCATATTAAAGAACTGTCATGTCTGTCGTCTGTCTTAATTGTATTATCCTTGCCGCAATGACGGAAGAATTCTTTGTCTCACATCTTAAGCGAGACTTGCTCTGGCTCGTGAACTGCAGCCTGACTGATTGTACGAAATAAGATAATGCATCATATTCATGATAGTCACATATACGGAGAGTAGATTTTCACCATATCAACTAGTTCAGAGGCAGCCTGTCTGCACCTAATTAATCAAACCACATTCGTAGCCATCAATTGACCAGGTACTAAGAATTCGTGTCCTGAGGACTCAGGCGTTCCCGTTCGCGAGAGTTGAAGCGATAGATGATAGTATTCTATAATGGTGTAGTAAAGCGTGCACCACAGTCCCCTTCTAGGTAACCCGCGGACCACCTGTCGAACCTCAGCCGTGATGATGAACATGCATACAATTGTAATAGAAAGCTCGGGTACTGAAGCTTTGAACAGAAGCGACCCATGCTGTATTTCCTTCAAGTGAGGCGTTGAAGGGCGTTGACGCTCAGAGCCGAACTTAGGAACACGCGGAGAGCCGAGGGAAATTCCGGGCTGGCGAAATGACGCCGAATGCCTCTGTCAGCAAAACGTCGAATTGGAAGCAACCTCTCTTCGCGGTGTTCCATATTGCTTTCTTGAAGCTGCAGGCAATCTTCCTTGATGAGTCAACGACCCCTTGATGGTGCAGAAGTTCACCACTAGTTCAGCTCGTGCGAGCTTTCCGGTCCGCTGTAAATTCGTAACCTATAAAGGTGAGACTCTAGGCACAAAGTTTTGAGAGCGACCTACACACAGCGCCGATCCTCATGTATGTGCCCGATTTTGCCAGATCCAAACGTCTTCATAGGCTTATAATCATCCTCTGCATAATATCAGGGAGGGGCCATCACTCTCAATGGAAGTCGAGCCAAAGACGCCAGAGCGTCTGCGGACCCACGCTCGCCAACGGGATCGTGAAAGGCGCGTTGAAGAGATGGGAAGCCCTGAGCATAGCCAGATGTCAATCACCATATCAGGAATTCCTTTGTCGCCCACTGACTTACCACATTTATAAAGACCGACAGTGAGGGAGACTGGCCCCAGCCTTGACTTGGATAGAGGTAGATTGCGACTAACGGAGGCATTTGCCAATTTGGGAACAGCAAGTCAAGAAGATAACGGGTCTACTAACCAGGCTGGCAAGGGGAAGATCGATACCCGTCTTCTTTTTGCTGATCACGCTGCTATCAAGATCAAGCCAGCGACCAACGAGAGAGCGAGGGAAAAGGAAGAAGACTGGACTAGACGGATCAAAGCATCACAAATCGGAGAATGGCAGCAAAAGAACGGGGTTCCGTGGAGATCATCCCGTGCACCGGCGGCAAGCGAGTCCAGCCAATCAAACTCGGTGAATACAACCCTGACGGCTAGGTACGGCCCATGAGTCCCTTGGTACTGATGCGGCTGATCCTCTTTCTCTAGTAATACCCAGCAGTATCATTTGGTACGGGAGTACGGTTGGTGCTTCTACGAATTCGAGATTGGAATGCACGAGGATTCGGCATTCATTGATTCATCGTTTTTCGCCATCGTCGACAATGCACAATCAATTTTGGAACTTGCAGACACCGAAACCTTGCTCATCCCGGAAGAGTGGCCAGTTCGTCTCGTTCCCTCCTGAATTCGTAACACTGATGATGACGTTCGTTCTTGGACAGACGTCTCTGCTAAAAATTCAGACACAACTACAAGAGCTATGGCGAAATGGTACATCGACAACTTACACCTGAACCACACAGATTATAAGGAGCTCATCAAGTACGAGAACAGGGCAATGCGTACGAAAAAGTCGTCGTCATCCTACGTCAGCATATCTCATTGGGATTCCGCCGCTAGATATCGAGGAAAGCGCGATATTGCATGGGCCTTCATTGATTTATCGCATCCCCGGAAACTCCTCTAGCCTCTTCAGAGCTAGGAGTTGAACGAGATGTCGGGGCGAAGATAGCGAAGTTCTTTGAGATTCACCATTGTAATACCACATCGTATGTTCATCTTCGTCTAGATCGCATAAATTCACCCTGATATCGTGAGATCACTGGGGGATTCCTCTCAAGACTCCCATCCCACTGGCCTGCTTTGGCTTTCAGGCTGCACCCGACTGCGCAGTCAGAATGAAGACTGAATCCTCTCAAAAGTATGACATGCTACAGCCTGTTGTGTTTCTCGGCGAGGCCAAGATGAAGTTTCGCATGCCTCAGGCGAAACCGGCAGGAGAGAAAGGTGTATGCGCATCTATGCATCGCATATCTGCCCAACTTGCGTGGTCTCTTCAACCTACCCTGAAGGTGTTCATAGGCCACCTGATAGGATCGGCCCCTTTGAAGCCTGATGGGGAAATTGACTGGAAAGCGATCAAGGTGAGTAGATGCAGAGTCTTGATTCACTTTTTGACCGACATCATCAATCAGATTCCCAAATGGCTTTTTGTGTATGGAATTGGATACGATACCGAGGGGTTCCTGGTCTTTGCCTTCTTTCCCGTTCTTAAGATCCAGGGATCCGATCCCGACCCTCACGGAAAGGTATCCGCAACGCCGAGCTGGGGCTTTCATTGTGTCCAGTTAGGCAGAGAATTCGAAGATTTATTCACCAGGTACAACGTCGAACACAGGATTCGTGCATTCAAGGGATTACTAGCAATGCGTCAACACGCATCCAACCTCACTTCCAGGCTGCGGAAAGGCAACGACAAACTTCACTTTCCTAAGGAATTCAAGGCGATTGCACTAGAGGCCAGAGAGGGGCATCGATCCTAAAGAAACATCTCGTTTTTATGACGAAAGTGGCCTCATTCGGTAGAGTAATAGTGCGTTAGGCAGCTTGATATAGTGCGTCGACAACCATGTACCCATCGTTGTCGACGACAATGTCCCCGGCGTTGGCACCACCAATAGTCTTCCTGAAATGGCTTGAACTTTATCACATGTGCTAGCATTCGAACTTCGAAGGCATATTGCCCTTCGGACGAGCCGCCCGGTCCTAGTCTTGGTCTTGGCCATAGCGCGCTCAGCGCTGCACGGAACAGCTCTAAGCAATATCCATCTGCTGTAGGATGACATGCGTCAAGGCTCGAGTGAGGGTGGCCAATGACAAGGAGGCGGGAGGAGGCGACTTGTGACATCATGAAATGTCGTCCCAATTTGAGACCTGGTCCTTGAGATCCGAAGGAGCAGGGGGAGACTGTTGAAAAAATCCCCCTGCGCCCTACCAGCATTATTTTCCGCTCCTTGAAGTCGGCATCCTTCAATAAGTCGTTCTTGATCATGACTTCCAATTCCTTGCCGGTGGCAATGCTGGCACCTGACCTATTGAGGCCAGTTACGCCCCCTAGTAGTATTACCGACACTTTTGAGTCCACCGATATCCGAAACTACTGTGTTGCCAATTAAATGCAACTATAAATACAAAAAAATAGTTTCTGTAATCTCCATACCCTGCTTCAACTTTGAGGCCCAAAAGCAGCGAGATTGAATCAGGGGTTCAATAGATATGGATTTAAACAGTCTACCCCCTAAAACCAGACTGTGTGAAGCACAGTCTGGGTTTTGGAAACCAAATCGGAGGTTGCACACAATTCTGTCTGATTCAATAGGCTTAAAATGTATTTGTCATGGTACCCTAATATTTTCATTAGTAGACATGGAGTACTGAAGATGTTATAGGCAGAATACAGAATTGAGGGAAAACCTCAAAAAACCGAGTCTCCAGTCCACAATTGTCCTTTGATTTCCATTGCAAAACTAATAAAATGCTCCTACATACACTACCTTTTAGATTATACCCTAATTTTATTATTTGGATGAGGGGATCCAGAGATATGTAATTGTTTGTGATGTTGAGGGTATTTTGCAACCCGGAGACACAGTTTAGTCAGCATCGGGAAAGGGCGGCACACAGTCGGGAGATTGCGGGCGCACAGTTGTCACACTGTTGTCACTCCACGCACAGTCTCTCTGCTGCGCCACACAGTCCGGCCGAGACCGTACACAGTCCGGATTTTGGCGCTAGTTTAGCGCCACACAGTCCGGATTCTCGGTGACAGTCCGAGATTTGGCGGTGAATCAGCGCCACACAGTCCGGCCGTGCCGCACACAGTCCGATGATTGTCGCGCCACACAGTCCGACTGTGTCGGCACACAGTCCGACTGTGTCGGAACACAGTCCGACTGTGTCGGCACACAGTCCGACTGTGTCGGAACACAGTCCGACTGTGTCGGACACAGTCCAAGTTTTCCCTCCGACTGTGTCGGCACACAGTCCGACTGTGTCGGACACAGTCGGAGTTTTCCCTCCGACTGTGTCGGCACACAGTGCCCTCCAACGTCTCGTGATCAAGCACACCGCCACGTCGCGTCGCGTCGACCCTCCCCGCACCTTTGAACATCGAGCGCAACACGCTTCCTCAGCCGAGGTCTCCTTGCTCTCTCAGGACATTTTAGACTTCATTAGTGAGCTTTTTCTTCTTCTGAACCCTTCCTCTGCGTGCTCTCGTCGACGCCAGCAGACAACAGATGCTCAGAGAAAGTGTGCACTGCTGATAGCATTTTTTCTTACAGTTTGCAGCTGCAATGCTCGAGGCACCTGCTCCATGCTCTCTCCGCACCCTCTGCCACCTCCACTGCTGTCTCTTTTCTCATCAACATCCATGACATCCGCGTCAGCGCCATCCTCTTTAAACGACTCCTCTGCGCCCATCCTGTCTCACGGCGCGTGGAGCAAAGCGATTATCTTATCACGTGAGGTTGAGCACGCTGAAGAGAAGAACAAGGAGCCGATGGTGATAGAGGCAGAGGAGGGACAGCGGCTGTCGAGAGACGAGGGTGTAGTGACGGGACGATGGTGACGGACACACGCTCGTCGAGCAGGCAGAGCGGTACGACGGTACGTACCTCCTGTTATCGTCCCCTCCCTCAACATCCCTGCCTCGAACCCCCACACACTCGTCTTATCAGCCCCTTGGTTCCTCCTCGTATGTGTGGACCGACTACTCCTCCCATCCGCCCGCCCCTCCCTCGACTTGCGTACCCTCGACTGTTCGCACTCCCGCCCTCGATGCCACGCACTCCCGCCACCCAGTGCGCTCGACCGCCACCTGTTGCACCACGACAAGAAGCCCAAATTCGCCTCTCGCGCGCTCCAACACATCCGCGCTGATGCTCTTCGCCTTCCCAGTCTTCCACCATGCTTAGCCCTGTGGACCATCCACTTCTCCATCCACCCACGACTCGCTTGAAACAATGCCGGATCAGCTCAATGTCGACACTTGGTTGCAGGACAAAGCAGGACGAGAATTGGCGGCGCGCTGTCCAAGGCGCCCAGTCGCTCCACGCAGCGTAAAAGTGCCGGTGGACAAGTCATGTTGCAGAAACGGCCGCGTGCTGTCTGCGGCACGCAGGCTCCCCACAGCCCAAATTCGCCGAAGGTGAATTTGGGCTTGGTGGGGAGCCTGCGCAGACAGCACGCGGCCGCCGCCTTCGCCGGCCTCATTTCCTTCTTTCCTCCTCTCCCTCTCCTCCTCTCTCGTGCTCTTGATGCTGACATTTGACATCACGAACAGCCTTCTCGGCAGAACGTTGTCGGACACATGACACTAGAGGGCCTCAAGCGAGCTAGTCGAGTGTACGATGGCAGCAGAACACGCGCTATCACTGTTCCAGCAGTCTCGAGAGTACAGTCGCGCAACATGCCCAGGCTCGCAGCCTCATTCTCCCCTTGTATCTTCTTTCTATTTATCGGCCAATAGCATATGGATGTAGTCCGCGCGACTCATTCCATGTACTTTGCGTGCATATACACCTCCCTCGAAGCTACTTTCTTAGGTGCTCCTCTGTAGCTACAGCCTGTATTATTTTTCTTGTTGTATTTATATTTATATTTTGAACTCAGGTCCGTTCACCCACACGATTTGTGGGCGAAATTTTTCGCCCGAAGTGGAAGGAGCACCACTCTACCTCGATCGTCATGAACAGCTCTCAATCCAACTCTTCGGTCTATGCTCGTCTCTCAGTACCTCTTCCGTCTCCGCGATCCCTCGTCCACACCCTGTCCGTGCTAATGTCGACATCCTCTGCTAGCCTGCAAGCCAGAGACTTCTCGACAGGCCATCGGCCACATCCTCTTCTTCTACAGGACGATCGGTTGAGAAACCAGCGCAGACACTGGTCCAGATGAGCGAAATGAGCACTTTAAACCTTTCGTTGTGAGTTATCTTTTGTTCCTTTTACTTCTCGACACCCGCTTCCTTTGCGCTCTCTTTCCTTTGCGCTCTCAATGATGCAAGCGGACGATGGGCCTCCGCCGAGGCCCTGATAAAGCTAGCATCGTTGAGGACGTGTACTGATGTTTCCTTCTCTTTTCCTCTACTTCTACTATCTACAGATCCTCGAGGGACTAACCTTTCCCTTCCCGACCCCGTCTCTGTCCTCGTCCACGCCTACGCCCCCGCTCACCCCCGTCTCTTTCCCCTGCGCCACCACGATGTCGGCCGCGGAGGCGTTCTTCTCCACCAACGCCCCCACGCCCACGCTGCCTGATCACGCTCCAAGCATCGTGACCGTCTGAGCGTCAAACACGACGACAACGAGGACCACACTGACAATCATGACGACAGCGACAACGACCACGCTGAGGAACGGCGATGGCGGAAAGATAAGCTGGGAAGAGAGAGGGCGCGGACGACGAGGATATCCATGAGGTATGTCATCTTTCTTTGCGCCAGCCCCTCCTCCGACGCCGCCATCCAAGAACTCGCTGCAAGACCGGCCCCCGCGTGGGGGCAGCCTCAGCTACCGCGCGCACCACCCCCGTCCTCCCAGCTCTCCTCCACCGACGCCTCGCGCACGATCGACACCCACACCGCGTTCTCCCCATTCATGTCCACCACATCCCTCCACACCGCCCTCCTCCTACAAGCGCTCCATGACCATCTCCAAGGGCAACTCCGTCTTCTGCCTCGCTTGCGAGACCCGCAACGAGAAGCTCACGGCCGCCAGCCTTGACTGCATCTCCAAGCTCATCTCCTACTCCTTCTTTGTCGAGGCCAGGCCTTCCAAACACGCATCCTCCCATCCCCGCCCCTGTCCCCGGGTCCGGGCCCAGCCACTCCACCTCGAGCGCCTCCCAGAGCAACCTCCCCCCGCCCTCGCTCGTGGACCTCGTCGTGCATACCACCACCACCTGCCACACCGAGTCCACCGCCGACTCGGTTAGGCTCCAGGTCGTCAAGGCCCTCCTCGCTCTCGTTCTCTCCTCCACCATCCTCGTCCACCAGTCCTCGCTCCTCAAGGCCGTCCGCACCGTTTACAACATATTTCTCATGTCCACCGACCCCCACCCGCCGCCGCAGTGTCCACCGCGTCGCTCGCATCCAGGGCTGACGACGCCCCGTCCGCAAAGCGCGACTCGTTCGCGCCGTCCACGCCGGACATCGAGCCGCCGCGCGCGCTGCCGTCCCAGGACAAGGTGCCCTCGGCAGATGACATCTCGCTCGAGATCCCGCTCCCTCTTTTGCCGCTGGTAGCTGCCCACGACGACTTGCCTGTCCTCGAGCTGCCCTCGTCGAATGGGATCGAGCACGGCGTGGACAGGCCGGATACCCCTCACGCGTGGGTCTCCCTCGCACAGTTCCGCTTGTGTCCCCTTTTCACTGTTCTGCACGCGAGCGAGCTCTCGCCCGAGCACCCCAGCCCAGGGGCATCATGCTCCCCCGGCACACACGATGACGATCAACGACCTCTTCCTCAAGGATGCCTTCCTCGTCTTCCGATCCATGTGCAAGCTCACAATGAAGCCCCTCAACTCGGAAAGGTTCGCTCTCTCCTCCTCGCACCGCATCCACATCACCCCCTACTAATCCCCGCACCTGCACGCCCCGCCCACAACGAGCACGACCTCAAGTCGCACTCGATGCGCTCCAAGCTGCTCTCCCTGCACATGGTGCTCGTCATCTTCAACGCGCACATGGACGTTTTCGTCTCGCCCTCGTCGCTCATCCACTCGAGCTCGTCCCACGAAGCGACCCCGTTCGTGCAGATGGCGAACTAGTACTTCTGCCTCAGCCTCAGCAGGAAAGCAGCCAGCCCCGTTCCGCAGGTGTTCGAGATCAGCGTCGAGATATTTTGGCGCGTGATCACGGGCCTCCGGACGAAGCTCAAGGTGCACACGCGCGTAGGGGGTCTGTCTTCGCAGACCTAGTTTTGTTTTGATTGCGCCTGCAGAAAGAGATCGAGGTCCCGTTCTACGAGATCTTCTTCCCGATTCTCGAGATGAAGACGTCGACGCTGAAGCAGAAGGCCGCCATCTTGGGTATGCTGCCACGCCTTTGTCACGATCCGCAGGCGCTCGTCGAGATTTATCTCAACTATGATTGCGACAGCCAAGTCGCAGACAACATCTACGAGCAGTGAGCATGCCCCGCCTCCTCTCTTTTCCTCTGCTCTGCTCTGCCCTCTGTTTTTTTCTTTTTCTTTTTCTTTGTTTTTTTTTGTCTGTGTATGCAGCTCGCTGAACACCCTGCCCGCCGCGCGCGCAGCCTCATGAACATCATCACCAAGATCGGCACCAGCACGCTCCCGTCCGCCGCGCAGCAGAAGCCGGCGGACCCTGCGAGCCCCACGCTGATACCCACGAGCAAGGCGTACGCGCCGGGCATCCCGCCGTCACTCGTGACGTCCGCCGTGGCCGTCTCAGGCTCGCTCGATACATCCGCGCTCGGCCACTCGGAGCAGCAGCTCTGCCGCCAGAGCCTCGAGTGCCTCACTGCCGTGCTACGCTCGCTCGTCGCGTGGGGCACCGCGCCCGACTCTGCGTTGGCCGCGGCGGCGGCGGGTGCATGGTGCGCCAGCGTCGGCGAGGACGGGTGCCCTGAGGGATTGACGCCCGACGCGTCGCAGTCGCTGGATAGGCTCCCGACGGGTGGCCCGAGCGCGGAGGCGACGAGGCAACCGACGCCGGATATCCACGACGACCCGGGCCGGTTCGAGAGCGCGAAGCAGAAGAAGACGATGTTGCTGGAGGGCGTCAAGAAGTTCAACCTTAAGCCAAAGCGAGTGCGTGTTTTCTTCGGCCGAAGAGGGCTGACCGATGGGCGGGTGTTAGGGCATACAACTTTTGCTCGAGACGGGTTCATTCTGAGTAAGGCGCCGCAGGACGTCGCGCGGTTCTTGTTGCATATCAATGGGCTGAGCAAGTCGATGATCGGTGAGTACCTCGGCGAAGGGTGCGCGTTTTCCACCTCCTCCGTTTGCGATGGCTCATCGGGTTGCAGGGACGAGGAGAACATCGCGACCATGTACACGTTCGTCAACATGCTCGACCTGCGGAACATGCCCTTCGTCGACGCGCTGCGCGTCTACCTGCAGGCGTTCCGCCTGCCCGGGGAAGCGCAGAAGATCGATCGGTTCATGCTCAAGTTCGCCGAGCGCTACATCGAGGGCAATGCAAACACACCGTTCGCGAACGCCGATGCGTGTCCCACGCGCTGCTCATCCGCGCGCGCGTCTGACGCGCCACGGCCCCGTTTCCGTTGCAGACACCGCCTACGTGATCTCGTACTCGGTCATCCTGCTCAACACGGATGCGCACAATCCGCAGGTGAAGAAGCGCATGACGCGCGCGGACTTCGTGAAGAACAACCGCGGGATCAACGAGGGCGCGGACCTCCCCGAGGAGCTGCTGTCCGCCATCTTTGACGACATCGTGAACAATGGGATCCGGATCAAGGATGAGGTGGACTCGAGCCTAGTCGTGTCGCTCGCGCCAGGTGCGGGGCTAGCGAGCGCGCTCGCCACGGTCGGGCAGGACTTGCAGAGGGAGGCGTATATGCTGCAGTCGAATGGCATGGTGAACAAGACCAAGGTGCGTGCTTCTTGATGGCGTCGAGCGTCGAGATGTCGGTGCTGGGGTGGTTTGCTCGCGCGTCGGTTATGCAGGCGCTGTTCAGGACGATGATGCGGTCCTAGTGCAAGGTTTCGCGGAGCGGCGAGCAGTTCTTCAGCGCGTCGAGGTCGCGTGGATCCCGTTCCTCGCGGGGATCTCGGGCCCACTGCAGGAGACGGACAACCTGGATGTCGTGGAGCTCTGCCTCGACGGCTTCCGAAATGCGATCCGGATCGTGTGCTTCTTCGATCTCGAGCTGGAGCGCAACGCGTTCGTGACGACGCTCGCAAAGTTCACGTTCCTGAACAACCTCGGGGAGATGAAGACAAAGAACATGGAGGCGGCCCAGACGCTTCTCGACGTCACAGTCATGGAGGGCAATAACCTCAAGGGCTCGTGGCGCGAGGTGCTCTCGTGCGTGAGCCAGCTGGAGCATATGCAGTTGATCAGCAGCGGCGTTGACGTCCTTGGATGCGCGCAAAGGTTATGTCGCGCGTGCTCCGATCGTGTTTGCGTAGACGCGTGTCGACTTGTTGAATTTTAATTTAATTCTCTCATTGTGGTTTCTAGGCGCACACGAAAGCTGCCCAACGAGGAGCTGGCGAATGAGAGTAGATCGACGCACATCACCGTCGCGGCGGACATGGTGTTCTCCCTAAGCCATTACCACACAACGATGAATTGCAAAACCGGAGCAAACTCTGCTCTACGCGCACTAGACGACTTGTAACCATAACCATGACAGACCCCTGCTCCTGTAAGTGTATCTGTATTCTACTTTTCGTTGTCCCTTCTTTCCCGCCCTCGGCATTGCAAACGGACGATGTGCCTCCGCCGAGGCCTTGAGAAAGCAAGCAGTGTTGAGGATTCCCATTGTGGTCCTTATCTTTGTCTAACAATGATTTCAGATCTTTCTGTAGGTACTTGTGCCGCTTGGGTATATCATGAGAGACTTTACGCGTGCGCTAACCTCGGTATGGCATGTTATTTCTGGCCCTTCAAGCTCTCCCACCATGTTTCATTTATCTGCAAGTCTCGACGTGCCGTTTCTCTCTTTCTCCTGCATTCATCGACCTCACCCATTCCTTTCCTCTTTGCAGATTCCTACCTCGCAGCCTTCCAAGTTTCAACTCAGTCGATCGGATTGGCAAGGTCCCACGGCGCCCTCTATGTTGTTAGCAACACGACAGCTCAAGCAACTCGGTATTTTAGTAGAAGATTGTCGTTGTCCCTACAAGAACCTTTTGCACTCCAGCTTTCAATGCCTTCCGTGTCACAGGAGTGCCTCAATGCCCTCGCCTCCCGGGTCAAATCTTCACTCAAGCTCTTGCGCACGCTCAAAGTTCAACAGGCTGCTGCGCAGAGCACCATCTCCATGCTCAAGTCGAAGGTTTCCTCGCTCGGGTCACTCGCCCAGGCATCCTAGACCGTGTCACCGCCAAGATCCTGTGCATGCCCGACGCCACTCTTGCCCTCTCGACCCGCTCGAGCGTCGAACCTAACCCTCGATCCCGCCTGCGCACGCTCGGTTCTCTTCAGTACATGCATCCATTTGCCTGCGACCCAAATTTATATGCGTACGTCACCTCGTCCCCTCAAGCCCCAGAGCCTACGCACAAAGCATAGCAGACATCATGCCACACGCGCTCTAGTGTGTTGACGAGGAGGGTGAGTAACAGCTGGCAACAAAGACATGAACTAGGGAGAGGGAGGCCGAGCGTCACCAAGGTGTGTACCTACCGCTCTGATCCTTTCTGCCGACCCTGCGACGCCCTCGATCTCTAACGCCAAGCCCGTTCGCTCACTTAATTCCCTCAATAGCCAGTTCTGCCTTTGTGCCCATGCGTGAACGTGCGACCCCTCAACGCCATGCACCTGCCTTTGCATACTATCCCCGTTCGTCCGCGCGCTTCCCCCTGTCCCGTCAAGCCCAAGTTAGACTCATCTAGCCCACGCCCGTCCGCCACCGAATGCACTCGATCCCTTTCATCCCTTGAGCTCACGCATCCGCTTTCGCCTGCGACCCAGATCCGACCCAGATCCGCTTCCGCATGACTCATCCAGCTCGCGCACGCGTGCACGCACAACCTCTCGACGGCCCCTCGACCACTCCTCCCTCGTCCTGGATCGTTGCCAAAACCAAAGGCACACTCGACCCCGTGCACGCTTGACCCCTCATCCCCTCATCCCCGTCGCCCTCGTCCTCTCGAGTTTGCGCACACTCGATCTCACATTCGTCAACAGTCCCATCCTCGACCTAACCTAACTGGCTGGTAGCGTAGGAAGAAGAGGACCGGCAGCGGCGGTGGCGGCTGAGAGACGGGCTGGGAACATGGATGGGCGTGGAGGACGAGGATATCTATGGGGAGATGCACGCTCGCTGACCAGGACAAGCGTCATGAAGGTGCGTCGTCGTCCCTCGTGGCGCCAGTCCTTCCCCACACATGTGTATATCCTGACCTCATCCTTTCCGCCCGCCCCGCCGCCTACCTGTCTCCCCTCGACACTCGTCCGTTCAGCCCACGCACCCCACGTTTCCGGCCGTGCATCCCTTCGACCCCACATACGCACACTCATATCTGTGAACACAAGCACGCCCACCACCCAGTGCCCTCGCAACCATTCCGCCCGCCTGTCCGCTCAACCCGATGAAGCTGCGATTCCGCCCCCAATTTCGCCCGCGCATATTCGTCCCCTTCAGCGCACGCACCACCTGGGATCCAAATCCTTGAGCACGCGTATCCTCTTCCCTTCGAGCCCATGGTCATGTCCTCGAGCCCACGCTCGTGTTCATCCAGTGCCCCTCGACCTCCTGGGCCATCAAAGTTCACGCTTGTGCCCTCATGCCCAAGCGCTCACGCGCGTCCCCTCGACACCACGCAAGGTTGCCCCCTCATTCTCCCTCCCTCGACCTGCGTCACCACTGAGACCCCGCGGTCCAACAACAGTTGGCGTCCCCACACTGTCGCCGTCCTTCCACGTGCCCTCGCTTCCGCACACAGAGGATCACAAATATTAAGCCATACGCGCTTTAGCGCGTCGACGAGGAGGTCAAGGAGCAGCTGGTGGCGGAGGAATGAGCTAGGCAGAGGAAGGCTGAGCGTTACCAAGGTTCGTACCTCTCGCTCTCGCCCTTTCCACCCGCCCTTTGCTCAACATGTGTCCCGCAACCTCTGCAGCCTCCTTGTCGTTATGGCTGCTCGCTCACTTGACCTCCTCGTTAGACAATCCCGCCTCTGATGCGTGCACGTGCGACCCCTCGACGGAAGCACCGAAATGAGTGAGCGCAAGGCGGCTTGCGATGGCAGCATGGGAAAGTTAGTTTAGGTTCCCGACATCCTCCTACTTCGCCCACGAGCTCTGGGTCGGTCGGATCCTCGAGTTCGCACGACGCCGGCCGCTCACGCGCCCCGTGGACGACCCTGGGGTAAGCACCCACCCCGCCCCGCCCCCGTGCTGCTGCCCCTCTGCGTGTGTGCGTGTGTGCGTGTGTATGCGTATGTGCGTGTGTTCACCGCGCGTCTGACGCGTCCTCGCCGTGACGCGAGCACCGTAGGTCTGGGCTAAGGTCCAGTGGTACTACTCCGGCGCTGACGTCGCCAACGATACCGACACAGAGTGAGTCTCCCACAGTCCTTTCCATTCTACAGACCGCTTTGGTCGTCCACGCTAACGCCGCCGCAGCCGCAGCCGCACACGCCCCCCAAAAAAGCCCCGCCAACATCCAGGCAAGCTACGGCCGCTACGAGCGCCTGCGCGCCGACGAATCCGACTACGACTACGTCGCGCATGCCTCCTTCAACGGTGCGTCCTCCGCCGCACCTCTCCCCGCCCGTGACGGCTGACTGACGGCGCTGCATGTTGAAGGCCCCACGAAGATCATAGAGCACCGCGAGGCGGACATCGAGCAGCCCCAGATCGCCGATGGCGAGTTCTACGTCCGCCGCGCGTACTCCCGCCTCTCCAAGTGTGCCACCGTGAGCCCTCACCCTCACCCGTCGCCCTCCCGATCCTCACAAACCCCCTCAAATCCCCACACATTTGATGTCAGTACCAACGCCAGTAAGTGGACTATTTTCACGACCAGCGCCCGTAGGGAGAGGTCAATGTAGATGACAAGCAAGGAAAAGAACCAACTCAAAAACCAGAACGTGCGATGCGTCACAACCAAGACAGATGCCCGTTGTTTAAGTTGACTGCCAACCCGTTCATCAGGAGCTGCTCCACGTCTGCGTTGTACGTCTATCCACCCCGTGCCGCCTCCTGCCCGCCGACGAACACGCTCCCAGGCGCGCTCGGCACTCCGAGCACCGTGACGCGCGCAAGCGGCTGTTCCACGCGGAACGTACCTGTGCTCTCAATCGTGAGCGCGCCCGCGTGCACGATGAACCGCACCGTCCGGTTCGCGATTGGGGAGTCCGGTAGCGGGAGCGAGGTCCCGTCGTCGAGATACGCCGTGCCGTATGCTGCGACGTCAACACCGAGTGCAACAAGCAACGCGTACGGCCCCGCTCGCGTCTCGCTTGTCGTGTACGCCGGCTGCGCGTGTGTGAGGAGTGCGGCGCCCGCACGGATGTGCACATTGACGTGCCCGAGGGGCGCGGAAAGCGTGGTCGGCGCGCCCACGGTCGCGTTTACTGCAGTGTGGGTGTACCAGTCGCGCCATGTTATCTGCCCGCGGCCAAGGAAGATGCCTGACATGACACAATGGGGATGAGCAATCGAGCGGGTATGAATTCCATGTCGACCTACCGTCGACAGTAGACACATTGGGCTCGAGCACAGGCGTGACGAGAATGTCGCTCCCGACCATGAACTGGCGGTCCACCGCAAACAGCTCCGGCTCGTCGGGGAACTCAAAAAAGAGCGCGCGCACAGGAGGTGTGCAGTTCGTCGAGGCGTTGGCAAACAGCGTGTACTGCCTGATCCCGTCCGCGGTCAACGATGAATCACGGATTTGAATCTCTAGCATACGAAGAGGCTCACCCAGTACGGCAGGAGCGCATAGCGTATTGAGATCGCGGTCTTGCTCGCGCTGGCGACACTGTCCCATCCGTAAGGCCCCTGGGACAGCGCGCCGCGCTGGTTGTGATTTCTGTAGAACGGCGTGAACGCGGATAGCTGCATACAGCGATTGCACAGCTCCTTGTCCGTGTTGCCGACTGCTCCGCGTATGCACACTATAACCCACGGTTAGGCTCGAGCAAGCAGGTGAATCGACGGCAAGGACTACGCACTGAAGCCGCACGTGTCGCCGACCATCGGGATTTGGAACAGCTGGAACTGGAGCACGCCTGCGATGCTGTGCGCCATGTACGCCCACTTGCTGTAGTTATCCCCAAGCTGACAGGTCTATCCGCGAATCAGTACCGCTTGGCGAAACGCCGGTACGGCGGAAAGAAGGACGACGACGACATACCTAGTGCCCTGTCCAATGCCCCGAACCTGGGAATGTCGAGCGCGCAATAATGAAAGGTCGCTCGCCGGGGTGCACCGCGCGCAGTGCGAGGTTCGTCGCACGGCCCTCCATATACCCAAATATGTTATGTGTTGGGACAATATACGCGTGATTCTAACCTGAAAAGCTAGAAGGTTCAGGGTAGGACAGGGGTATTCTAACCTGAAAAGCTAGAAGGTTCAGGGTAGGACAGGGGTATGGCAGGGCTAAAGAAGCCACCCATGCCAGTACACGGCTGACATGACGAGCCTGTCCGTGGCTGAAGAGGCTCGTCATGTCAGCCGCGTATTGGCAGGGCTGAGTCCTGATACGTGGCTGACATGACGAGCCTCACTGCGGCTGGAGAGGCTCGTCATGTCAGCCGCGTATTGACAGGGATGAGTCCCGATACGCGGCTGACATGACGAGCCTCGCTGCGGCTGGAGAGGCTCGTCATGTCAGGCGCGTATCAGCTTGGCTGAGTCTTGATACGCGGCTGACATGACGAGCCTCACTGCGGCTGGAGAGGCTCGTCATGTCAGCCGTGTATTGACAGGGCTGAGTCCCGATACACGCCTGACATGACGAGCCTCACTGCATGACGAGCCTCACTGCGGCTGGAGAGGCTCGTCATGTCAGCCGTGTATTGACAGGGATGAGTCCCGATACGCGGCTGACATGACGAGCCTCGCTGCGGCTGGAGAGGCTCGTCATGTCAGCCGCGTATCAGCTTGGCTGAGTCTTGATACGCGGCTGACATGACGAGCCTCACTGCGGCTGGAGAGGCTCGTCATGTCAGGCGCGTATCAGGATTCTAACCTGAAAAGCTAGAAGGTTCAGGGTAGGACAGGGGTATGGCAGGGCTAAAGAGGCCATTAAGAGGTGAAGAAGGCATCCATGCTAATACATGGCTGACATGACGAGCCTCACTGCGGCTGGAGAGGCTCGTCATGTCAGCCGTGTATTGACAGGAATGAGTCCCGATACGCGGCTGACATGACGAGCCTCGCTGTGGCTGGAGAGGCTCGTCATGTCAGGTGCGTATCAGCTTGGCTGAGTCTTGATACGTGGCTGACATGACGAGCCTCACTGCGGCTGGAGAGGCTCGTCATGTCAGCCGTGTATTGACAGGGATGAGTCCCGATACGCGGCTGACATGACGAGCCTCACTGCGGCTGGAGAGGCTCGTCATGTCAGGCGCGTATCAGCTTGGCTGAGTCTTGATACGCGGCTGACATGACGAGCCTCACTGCGGCTGGAGAGGCTCGTCATGTCAGCCGTGTATTGACAGGGCTGAGTCCCGATACACGCCTGACATGACGAGCCTCACTGCATGACGAGCCTCACTGCGGTTAGGTTATAAGAGGTGGTAGGCGGATGGTAGGTGAGACGAAAAAAATCCAAGATGTTGGGCAGGTAAGGAGGCAGGTGAGAGGCTAGGTGAAAGGCCAGGTGAGAGGCCAGGTGAGGAGGCAGGTGAGAGGCTAGGTGAGGGACCAGGTGAGAAGTCAGGTGAGGAGACATGTGAGAAGGCAGGTGAGGGGGCAGGCGAGGAAGCAGGTGAAAAGGCAGGTGAGGAGGCAGATGAGGAGGCAGGTGAGGCGGCAGGTGAGGAGTCAAGTGAGAGGCTAGGTGAGAGAGTACAGCCAGTGCGGGTGACATGAGGACATCACTGACGGCTAGCAGTCGTCTGAGATGAGACGCGACGTCCGAGACGTCAGGCAGTCGTCAGAGACGTCCTGCCTGCGTCCTAGACGAGACGCGGCGTCTGAGACGTTGTGCTGTCGTCACAGACATCCTGCCTGCGTCCTAGACGAGACGCGGCGTCTCAGACGTTGTGCAGTCGTCACAGACACATTTTATTCACTACAGACGAGGGGGGGACGTCTCAGACGTCCGGCAGTCGTCACAGATGTCCTGCCTGCGTCCTAGACGAGACGCGACGTCTCAGCAGTCGTCTGAGACATTAGGCAGTCGTCACAGACGTCCTGCCTGCGTCCTAGACGAGAAGCGACGTCTTAGACATCGTGCAGTCGTCACAGACACCTTGTATTCACTACAGACGAGGGGGGGGACGTCTCAGACGTCCGGCAGTCGTCACAGACGTCCTGCCTGCGTCCTAGACGAGACGCGACGTCTCAGACGTCGTGCAGTCGTCACAGACGTCCTGCCTGCGTCCTAGACGAGACGCGGCGTATGAGACGTTGTGCAGTCGTCACAGACGTCCTGCCTGCGTCCTAGACGAGACGCGGCGTCTCAGACGTTGTGCAGTCGTCACAGACACCTTTTATTCACTACAGACGAGGGGGGGACGTCTCAGACATCCGGCAGTCGTCACAGATGTCCTGCCTGCGTCCTAGACGAGACGCGACGTCTCAGCAGTCGTCTGAGACGAGACGCGACGTCTGAGACATCAGGTAGTCGTCACAGACGTCCTGCCTGCGTCCTAGACGAGAAGCGACGTCTCAGACATCGTGCAGTCGTCACAGACACCTTGTATTCACTACAGACGAGGGGGGGACGTCTCAGACGTCCGGCAGTCGTCACAGACGTCCTGCCTGCATCCTAGACGAGACGCGACGTCTCAGACGTCGTGCAGTCGTCACAGACGTCCTGCCTGCGTCCTAGACGAGACGCGACGTCTCAGACGTTGTGCAGTCGTCAGAGACGTCTTGCCTGCATCCTAGACGAGACGCGACGTCTCAGACGTTGTGCAGTCGTCAGAGACGTCTTGCCTGCATCCTAGACGAGACGCGATGTCTGAGACGTCGTGCAGTCGTCACAGACACCTTTTATTCACTACAGACGAGGGGGGGGACGTCTCAGACGTCCGGCAGTCGTCAGAGATGTCCTGCCTGCGTCCTAGACGAGACGCGACGTCTGAGACGTCATGCAGTTGTCACAGACGTCCTAGTAGTATTACCGACACTTTTGAGTCCACCGATATCCGAAACTACTGTGTTGCCAATTAAATGTAAATATAAATATGAAAAAATCCTTTCTGTAATCTAGTAGTATTACCGACACTTTTGAGTCCACTGATATCCGAAACTACTGTGTTGCCAATTAAATGTAAATATAAATATGAAAAAACCCTTTCTGTAATCTTCATACCCTGCTTCAACTTTGAGGCCTTGAAGCAGTGAGATTGAATGAGGGGTTCAATAGATATGGATTTAAACAGTCTACCCCCTAAAACCAGACTGTGTGAAGCACAGTCTGGGTTTTGGGAACCAAATCCGAGGTTGCACACAATTCTGTCTGATTCAATAGGCTTAAAATGTATTTGTCATGGTACCCTAATATTTTCATTAGTAGACATGGAGTACTGAAGATGTTACAGGCAAAATACAGAATTGAAAGAAAACCTCAAAAAACCGAGTCTCCAGTCCACAATTGTCCTTGGATTTCCATTGCAAAACTAATAGAATGCTCCTACATACACTACCTTTCAAAGTATACCCTAATTTTAGCATTTGAATGAGGGGATCCAGAGATATGTAATTGTTTGTGATGTTGAGGGTATTCTGCAACCCGGAGACACAGTTTAGTCAGCATCGGGAAAGGGCGGCACACAGTCGGGAGATTGCGGACCCACAGTCGTCACACTGTTGTCACACTGTGCACAGTCTCTCTGTTGCGCCACACAGTCCGGCCGAGACCGCACACAGTCCGGATTTTGGCGCTGGTTCAGCGCCACACAGTCCGGATTCTCGGTGACAGTCCGAGATTTGGCGGTGAATCTGCGCCACACAGTCCGGCCGTGCCGCACACAGTCCGATGATTGTCGTGCCACACAGTCCGACTGTGTCGGCACACAGTCCGACTGTGTCGGAGCACAGTCCGACTGTATCGGAACACAGTCCGACTGTGTCGGCACACAGTGCTCCTTCAACGTCTCGTGATCAAGCACGCTGCAATGTCGCGTCGCGTCCACACATTGCTGACAGCGCGTTGTCACTATCTACAGATCCTCGAGGGACTAACCTTTCCCTTCCCGACCCCGTCTCTGTCCTCGTCCACGCCTACTCCCCCGCTCACCGCCGTCTCTTTCCCCTGTGCCACCACGATGTCGGCTGCGGAGGCGTTCTGCTCCACCAACGCCCCCACGCCCACGCTGCCCGATAATGCTCCAAGCATTGTGACCATCTGAGCGTCAAAGACGACGACAATGAAGACCACACTGACGGTCGTGACGACAGCGACAACGACCACGCTGAGGAACGGCGATGGCGGAAAGATAAGCTGGGAAGAGAGAGGGTGCGGACGACGAGGATATCCATGAGGTATGTCGTCTTTCTTTGCGCCAGCGCCTCCCCCAATTCCGCCATCCAAGAACTCGCTGCAAGACCCGCCCCCGTGCAGAGACAGCCTTAGCTACCGCGTGCACCACTCCCCGTCCTCCCGGCTCTCCTCCACCGACGCCTCATGCACGATCGACACCCACACCGCGTTCTCCCCATGCATGTCCACCGCATTCCTCCACACCGCCCTCCTCCCACAAGCGCTCCATGAGCATTCCCCAGAGCAACTCCGTCTCCACTATGCTCTTCACCTCCGCCCTCGACACCGCCCCGCTCAGGGAGGGCGTCGATATCGCCCTCGAGATTGTCCGCGCAGGCATGGGCGACGACCACCCTCGCGAGATCTTCAAGCCCCTCTGCCTCGCTTGCGAGACCCGCAACGAGAAGCTCATGGTCGCCAGCCTTGACTGCATCTCCAAGCTCATCTCCTACTCCTTCTTCATCGAGGCCAGGCCTCCCGAACACGCGTCCTCCCGTCCCCGCCCCTGTCCCCGAGTCTGGGCCCAGCCACTCCACCTCGAGCACCTCCCAGAGCGACCTCCCCCCGCCCTCGCTCGTGGACCTCGTCGTGCATACTATCACCACCTGTCGCACTGAGACCACCGCCGACTTGGTTAGGCTCCAGGTCGTCAAGGCTCTCCTCGCCCTCGTCCTCTCCTCCACCATCCTCGTCCACCAGTCCTCGCTCCTCAAGGCCGTCTGCACCGTCTACAACGTCTTCCTCATGTCTACCGACCCCGTCAACCAGACCGCCGCCCGGGGCGGCCTCACCCAGATGGTTCACCACATCTTATCGCACAGCAAGGTCGCCCCGCCCGTCACTGCAGAGTCCACCGCGTCGCTCGCGTCCAAGGCCGACGATGCCCCGTTCGCAAAGCACGACTCGTTCTCGCCATCCATGCCGGACACTGAGCCGCCGCGCGCGCTGCCGTCCTAGGACGAGGCGCCCTCGGCAGACGACATTTCACTCGAGATCCCGCTCCCTCTTTCGCCGCCGGTAGCCGCCCAAGACGACTTGTCTGTCCTCGAGCTGCCCTCGTCGAACGGGATTGAACACGGCGCGGACAGGCCGGGTACCCCTCACGCGTGGGTCTCCCTCGCACAGTTCCACTTGTGTCCCCTTTTGACTAACCCGCACGCCAGCGAACCCACTCTTCACCCAAGCACCCTAGCCCAGGGGCATCATGCTCCCCCGGCACACACGATGACGATCAACGACCTCTTCCTCAAGGACGCCTTCGTCGTCTTCCGGTCCACGTGCAAGCTCACAATGAAGCCCCTCAACACGGAAAGGTTCGCTCTCTCCTCCTCGCACCACATCCACATCACCTCTTATCGAACCCCGTGCCTGCGTGCCCCGCCCACAGCGAGCGCGACCTCAAGTCGCACGCAATGCGCTCCAAGCTGCTCTCCCTGTACATGGTGCTCATCATCCTCAACGCGCACATGGACGTCTTCGTCTCGCCCTCGTCGCTCATCCACTCGAGCTCGTCCCACGAGGCGACCCCGTTCGTGCAGATGGTGAACCAGTACCTCTGCAGCGACGTCTGCTACGAGCTTGCGCGATGATACCCAAAGTTAAAGGACAGGTTGTGTTCCACCTCTTTTCACGTCCCATCCATGCCTCCCGCGCTTACTCCATCGTCAGGCAGCGGATTCACCCAGCTAGACGCCCGGATCCACCTACGACGACTCCCCATCTCCCGACTTTGCCGTGTCCCCCTGCTCAAGGCGTCCCACTCCGCCCCCTAACCGCTGCCTCACCCGCACTTCTGACGACTGCGATTGCTCCAGCAGCACCGGCGCCCGCCACCATCCTAGCGAAGACGATCTTGGCTCCTCTGGCCGCTGCAGCAAAGACCCCTATGGCGGTGTCGGCGACGACGCACCCTTCTCCCCGTCCTCGCGTCGATGGCCCTCCAAGGACCTTTGTCAGGACCCCGCCGGTCGCCACCCGAGCGCCGCCAGCACGAGCGACTCAACCGGCACGACCAACGCCCAGGGCACTACTGCCAAGAGCCAGATCATTATCCCTAACAAGAGCACCATCGCAGAGCAGGACGCCGAGGTCCCCTACGGTCGCGACGCCCGCGAGAGCGGCAGCATGGCCGGCGAGGAGCCCGGCCTGAACGAGATGGCGGGCGGCCTCAGCGCACTCACCCTCGGCAGCATCGACGAGGACGCGGGTGGGCGCAGCGGCGGCGATGAATATTACGACAATATGTCGTTGGGGCACGCATCCGTCGCGCCCGATCTCTTGCTGAAGAACAGCCGCACAAGCAATGGTGCAGGCGGGGAGTGCGAGAAGATGCGCCGCGCCGACGAGTTCTCGAACGTGACCATGCAGAGCCACATCGCCGGCCTCGAGAATTAGGTCGAGGGCGTGGGCGAGAAGGAGCGCCGCAGGATGGAGAGTAACGAGCGCGTCCAGCAGCTCGAGGTCGAGCTCGGCTAGCTCAGGCGAGTGAGTCGTCCGTCATGCGTGTTCTGCCGCATGTTCAACTCCCTTCGTGCAGCCCGCAGAGGAACAGAGCACCGTGATGCTCGCCATGCAAAAGGAGCTCACCAAAGCACATGAGGCGAGGATAAGCGGCAGCTCCTGCGCGAGCGCTGTGAGCGGGTGGAGGACAAGCACATGGGCGGCCTTGGAGGCGCCTATTCCGAAATCATGGACCGCTCTGACATGGAGGGTCTTCTCGCGGAGGTCTCCGACGTCTTGCGAAGCGACGACGAGCTGATGACATTGAAAGACACGGACCTCCTCATCATCCACGACATGGACATCCACCTCAAGAACTACAAGCGCAAGTACAAGCAGGTCAAGGCTGAGCTCCGGAGCCTCAAAGGTGCACTCTCATCCTCATGCACAATCGTCGGCTGACCCGCGTTCCTCACAGCCACCTCACAGATCTTCCTTAAGATGCCCAGTTTGACGAGCAGCTGCCCATGTCGCAAGACGGCGGCATCCCAGACATGGCAACCTCGTCGTCACCTCCAAGATGCACGCCACCAGCTCCAGCCTGTCCCCCGTCAGCCTCCCCCACGCCGTCGCGAGCCACGTCTCGGCCGTGGTCACCGAGATCGCGCACACGGTGTTCATCCGCAGGGTGACCAAACAAGAGCAGGAGCAGTACTCGCCCGCCGCGTCGAACCGGTTCTCGCCTACCCTCCGCTTGGTCGAGGAGGCAAACCCTGCGGTGTCCGCGCAGCGCGCGAGCTCGTCGTCCGCCTCGAACAGGCGCGTGGACGTAGAGTAGGAGTACTACCCACTGCAGCCCAACCTGCTCTGCCAGTAGCCGCTCGACTCGGCCGAGTCGCCGTCGAGACGCCCCGCCGTTCTCGGGGCGCTCGTCGAGCAACAGCCGCTTCTGCAAAGCGTCGTTGGAGCGCTCGAGCTCCGCGGGCTGCTCGCCGCCCCCGGTCTTTGACCAGGTGCGCATGGAGAGCACAATGGGCGTGCTCAGCAATGACTCGGAGCTCGCAGAGGGCTCCGAAGACGCCTGGACGGAGCTCAAGGTAATATTCGTGTCGTGCTTCATTCACCCCTGCGCTCACGCTTTTTCGCGGCCCTACCTCGAGGCACCGACCGTTTTGATCGTCTACGCCATCCAGAGCATCCTGTCCGGTGTCCGCTCGCTGATACCTTCGCCAACGCTCAATGAGAACCTCACGCAGATCATCACGATCATGTCCAGCATCGTCGCCGTCTGTCACGACAACCTCCCGCCCGTGTTGGCGCAGCAGGGGAACGACATCCTGCGCGAGCTCAGCGACCACACGAACAAGCTCAGTGAGGTCCAAGCCATGCGCGACACTCCCACGATGCAACCTCGGACAGGGTTGACTCCGCGTGGCGGCATTTTCGACGTCGAGCTCGGAAGCGTGTTCCCTGTCATTCCCATCCCTGTCCCCATCTCTATGCCCATGCTCATCTCTCCAACTGTCTTTTCGCATCTGTCTTTTCGTCATCCATCTGGAAGCCACGCTTGTTGTCGGCCTACCGCTGACTGCACACCTCGCAAGTCCAGTGCCGCTGTCGAACGACCGCTCCAGCGCTAAGTTCTTTCGGCTGCTCAGCACGTCCGCGTCCTCGCAGTGATACGGCGAGTTGTCTCTGCCCGTGATCATGCCCCCGCCGCCGTCCTCCGCCCTTTTCCAGTCGCATAACCGACTGCGTAGTGCCTAGTGACAAGCTGGATGCTCGAGCGCGACGCAGACGTCACGCTCTGGATGAGCGGCTGCGTGCGCATGTGGATCCCGTGCAACTGCACCAGCAAACTCGCCTGATGTTCCACTAAATTTGCTGAGCACTCAGACTGTGGCTTAGTTCTCTTTGCATTGCTAAGCAGGCATGAGAATTAGTGCGGACATTAACGATGTATACACGCGTCAGAATTCCAGGCTGTTCAACTCTAAGCAGTTCAGCCTTCAACGCTTTCCATGTCTGAGGAGCGTATTAATGGTATTGCCTCCTGGCTCGAATCTCTGCTCGAGCCCTCGCGCAAGCTCCACGCCCGATAGGCTGCCGCGCAAAGCACCATCTCCATGTTGAAGTCGAAGTTTTCCTCGCCTGAGTTGCTCGTCCAGACGTCCCAGACCGTGTCACCGCCAAGACCCTGTCTTGCTCGCCCTATGGTTCCGCCATGAGCCTCTCCCCGTCCAGTATATCCCTCCCTCCCTCGGCTCCCTCGTACGCTCCCGCTCGGCTCGTTCGATGCCACGACCGCTCATCTGCCTCAACTACTCGTTCCCTCGGCCCCTTGCACACGCGTCCCTTCGAACAGTTGCCTGCTCCCACCGCTATCTCATTCGACACAATCCACGGTCTCCACGGCAGCGGCGTCCCATTCCACCAACACCCACAAACCAACGCTGCTTGACGAGGCAGAAAAGCACGACAACGAGGAGGAGGACGAGAAGGAGCACAGAAGAGGGAGGAAACGGACGACGAGGACATAACCATAGGTACGTCGTCACTCGCCCCAGTTCCTCCCCCGTACACGCACACCTCTCGCCCTCGACCTCCTCTCCACGTTGCCCTCAACGGCCTATCCTTCGACTCTACCCGCCCCCTCCTCTCGTCCGCTCAACCTCTCCCACGTCCGACCCGCTCTCCCGTCCGACCTGCTCTCCCGTCCAACTCGCTCTCCCGCCCGGCCCTCTTGACCCAATCGCTCGCTGTACCGCCCTCCCCGCTCTCCTCGCACGATCTCATGCCCACTGGCCCACCGGCCGGCTCGCGCGCATCGTCCACATCGTCTCGCGCATCGCATGGGTTGCCCGGACCCACGCTCGACTGACCCGCATCTCCCGCTCAACGCCGCGCTCGCCTGCTCGCTCCAGCTCGACACCACCGCCGTCCACCACCCCGGCACGTCTTCCGCCTCCTCCACCTTCGTCAACACCTCTACCTCCGCCTCCTCCTCCGCTGTCGCCACCACCACCACCCACACCACCACTACCACCGCTTCCTCCAGCTGACGCCGCTCCTCTGAGTTGTGACGCACCATGCCCAGCGCCGCCGGCCGAGACTGCACCGTGCAGGACCAGTCCAAGCCCATATCCGCCACGAGCACCGTCCTCCTCCGCGCCGCCCTCCTCGACCAGGCGGCCGCTGCCGCATCCGCATCCGCATCCTCGCGCACCGGCCGGTGCTGATGGCAACATCAGGCTCGCAGTTGCCGCCTCGGACGACACCGACTCGACGACACCGACTCGACGACACCGACTCGACGACACCGACTCGGCGACACCGACTCGGCGACGCCGACTCGACGACACCAGCTCGACGACACCGACTCGACGACGCCGCCTCGACCCTACCGCCTCGACGCGGCCCTGTCCCGACCACGCCGCCGCCTCAGCGCTTCCGTCTCTATCCCCACTCCCGACGACGACACCAGGTTCGCAGCCACCGCCTCCGACGACCTCGACTCGACTCCGCCGCCTCGACTCTACCGCCTCGATGCTGCCCCCTCCACCGCCAGGCTCGACCACACCTCGACCCTGCCCGGTGCCGACGACGGTCCCAGGCTCGACAACGCCGCCTCCATGTCCGATCCCCACCACGCCGCCGCCTCCACCCTGCCGCCTCCACCGCCGGTCCCTTGCCTCGACAACGGCGCGTCGCCCGAGGTCTCGTGAACAACCCCGGCCTCCTCACCCCAGGCTCCTCACTCGACGGCGCCTCCTCACGTTTTCATCCACCTCGCCTGCTCCTCGACAACAACGGTGCCTGCTCGAGACGACGGCCCTGACGACGACACCGAAGCCTCCGCGCTGCGGCCTGCACGCCCGGTCCCAACGACCCCAGGTGTGTAGCAGGCTCCTCGAACCTGGCAGCTCGTCACGCTGCGGCCTGCACGCCGTCTCTACACGCCAGGTGCCGACCACCTCACCGCCTGGACCCTGCCTCCCCGTGCACACCGCCGAGATCGTCAACGGCGAGGCCTCGAGGGCCTTGCCTCCTCGCCAACACGGCGTCGCCGCCTTCCCGTCTCCACCTTCTCCTCGCTTCCAACGGTGGCTCCCCGAGGACGCGGCGTTGCCCGGTGTCTCGTCATGCACAACCGCGGCGTCGTGAACCGCGGCGTCGAGGACGGGCCTATGACGACAGCCTCGTCGCCGTCTCTGCCATGTGTGGGGCCGCCAACACAGGGGTCTGGGAGGGCCCTGATGTGGCGTCCGCCGGGCGCGGACCCCTCCTGATGCCGTCTCCGACCACGCACGGGGTCGAGGGCCACCGGCCCGCCCCGACGAGGCCGCCCAGAACGACTAGAGATTCGACGAATGGCTCCTCCAGTTGCAGCCCCGACGGCGACGGGCACGAGGCTGCCTCCTGAACCATGGCTCAACACATCCGACGACAAGCACTCCTCCCCGATACCTCCTTCTCGACGGCAACGGCTAGAACCTGTACGGACATGTGGGAGGGGGCTAAGAGGGGGCGGCGTATATGGCTAGGGCTGAGGACGTTGGACACCCATGAATTATATCCACGCTCTCCAAATTGGATACGAACTTCTGTCCGAGTTGGATGACAGCGTCGCAGGGACCAATGGATTGATTCTATGCATCATGGCGTTGTCAAGAAAGAGTTTGTATGTTCGAGACAAACTCACTGGGGGTGCCATTTCTATGTCCTTGTCTTGCCCACTGCGGCCATTCGGCATTCTTACCTGAAAAGCTAGAAGGTTCAGGGTAGGACAGGGGTATGGCAGGGCTAAAAAGGCCATTAAGAGGTGAAGAAGCCACCCATGCCAATACATGGCTGACATGATGAGCCTCGCTGCGGTTGGAGAGGCTCGTCATGTCAGCCGCGTATCAGGATTCCGCCGTGCCAACAAGCACAAAACCTGCACAAACTCGACTCTACATGAATGAGACAGCCTACAAGCATTGACCTTACAGATGCCTGCGCTGTGAGTATGTTCATAATATATTATTGTACCCTTTATTTCTCGCACTTGGCTTTGCAAACGGACGATGGGCCTCTGCCTCGCCGAGGGCATGTACTGATACATGGTGTTTCATTCTCTTTTCCTCTACTTCTACTATCTACAGATCCTCGAGGGACTAACCTTTCCCTTCCCGACCCCGTCTCTGTCCTCGTCCACGCCTATGCACCCGCTCACCGCCGCCTCTTTCCCCTGCGCCGCCACGATGTCGGCCGCGGAGGCGTTTTAAACCTGAGATAGCGGGGATCGCGGTGGGGGCTTTGCCTGGCTTCTTCGCGTCCTTGATGGCCTTCAGCTTCACAAAGCGAGCTAGACGGATATTGGCTTTAATGCCGCACAAGAAGATGGTGTGATCGCGCAGCTCGACCTTGCCCTGCCGGATCTTCTTGACGATCTCGAGGCCGTGCGCGTCCGCGACGTAGCGCCACTTCGCGGGCGAGGTGGTGCTCTCGGCAGCGCCAGCCGCATGGTGGTGCGTGTAGCTGGAGGCGGAGGACGAGGTGCGCTCGTGCGATGCGTGCGCGGCGGTGCGCAGCGTCGAGTGGGCGTGTTTGGAGAAGAAGGCGTCGGGCGGTAGGGTACCGGGGAGCGTGGTCGTGCCCTCGCCTCCTAGGAGAGAGCAGGGGAAGAGACGCGGCGTGAGGAGCCGCTTCCGGGTGTGCGCAGGTGCGCGGGACAGGCAGGGCCGGGCAGGGAGGGGCAGGACTAGGGCTGGGGGAGGGCTAGCGAAAGTAAGTGATACGGACCTTTTTCATGGCATTCCTCTTCGCACCTCCTCTTCTCATTAACAACGCTCCTCACCCTCGCCGTCGGCGCGCTGAAGCACGGGTAGCGTGACGATTGCGACACGCTGTGCGCAAGGGCGAAGCACGGGTGCGGCGGCGGCAGGGGCGCGTGAGGGAGCAGTCGAAGGGGTTGTTGTGGCCGAGTGGACGCGTGTGCATGGGGCCGAGAGGATGAGAGGACGAAGGCGAAGGAAGTGGGTGGTGGGTGTGCATGGTGTCGAGGCGAGGGCGAGGGGACGAAGGTTGAGGTTTGCGCGCGGACAGACTTGAGTTAGAGACAGGTGCGAAGGACTTAACTTCGCGTCGCGCGCACGCGACCACTTGATTAACTTCGTGACTCTCCAGCTCCCGCTCGTCCGCCTCAACCCCTCACTTGTTCCCTCGGCGTCGTGCACACGCATCCCTTCGACCCCACGCCTGCACCAATCACTGTCTCGTTCGGTGCGTTCCACGGTTTTCACAGCGGTGGCGTCCCGCTCCACCAACACCCACGAACCAACGCTGCTCGACGACGCGGAAACCCACGACAACGAGGAGGAGGACGAGAAGGAGCACAGAAGAGGTAGGAAACGGACGACGAGGACATAACAATAGGTACGCCGTCACTCGCCCCAGTTCCTCCCCCGTACACGCACACCTCTCGCCCTCGACCTCCTCCCCACGTCGCCCTCAACGGCCTATCCCTCGACTCTACCCGCCCCCTCCTCTCTTCCGCTCAACCTCTCCCACATCCGACTCGCTCTCCCGTCCGGCCCTCTCGACCCCATCGCTCGCTGTACTGCCCTCCCCGCTCTCCTCGCACGATCTCATGCCCACTGGCCCACCGGCCGGCTCGCCCGCATCGTCCACATCGCCTCGCGCATCGCATGCGTTGCCCGGACCCACGCTCGTCTCACCCGCATCTTCCACTCGACGTCGCGCCTACTCGCTACAGCTTGACACCACCCACCATCCCGGCACGTCCTCCGCCTCCTCCACCTTCGTCAACACCTCTGCCTCCAACGCCTCGTTTGCCGTCACCGCCACCACCGCCGCCGCCTCCGCCTCCTCCACCTCCTCACGCCGCTCCACCGAGTCCTTGCGCACCAGGCCCAGCGCCAACCGCCGCGACCGCGACCGGACCTCGCAGGACCGCTCCAAGTCGATGTCCGCGGCGAGCACCGCTCACATACGCGCCGCCCTCCTCGACCAGGCCTCCGCTGCCGCATCCGCATCCGCATCCTCGCGCACCGGCCGGCCTTGCCTTCCCCCAGCATCACGCCCCCCTTCACCCTTGGCTGCTGTATGAGCGGTACAGGACGGAGAAACTCCGCGCGACGCAGAAGATCGGCGAGGAGGAGACGCGGCGGCTGACGCACCCCCATCGTCTACCCTGCACTCTTCTCCCGCGTCGCCGAGGCCTTCCGCGTGCGCATCTCCCTCGCGGAGCGCTTCAAGGACGGCCTTGCCTGCCCGACTCCGCTGCCGACGTGTACGGGCCCAGGACCCGCGTCCTGAGCCCGTTCTTGAGCTGCGACATCCCCTGCCTTTGTGCCCGCGCTCAGCAAGTTCATCCTGCCCCCGCGCCCCGACTCGGCGTCCATGCAGGAGAGCGGCTCCTCGCCCTCGCACGACCCCTCCTCCACCGACTCGCCGTTGCCGTCGCTAGGTGACCCCGAGCGCGACGACTCAGCATGCACCCTGTGCTCTGCTCAGATGCGCTGCATACGCTCGAACGTGTCAACAAAGAGGGCAAGAGCAAGCTGGCGGCGGAGAGACAAGACGGGAAAGGGAGGGCTGATTGTTACGAGGGTATGTCCCTCCTCTCGTGTTTCTTCTTGCCCCTCCCTTAACATTTCCGCCGCACGCACGCATTGCCTCGAACTCATGCACACGCTTACTCTCTCCTCTCAACGGCCTTGAACCCTACACGCCCTTGGACCACCACGCTTCACTATCTCAACAACGACGTCCCCTCCTTCGACTTCACGCACCGCCGCCACGCACTGCCCCTCCGCTGACCGCCATCTCTGTCCTCGTCCACACCTACGCCCACGTTCACTGTCGTCTGCACCCCCGGAGCGCACGCTGCCTGACGACACGCAAAGGATCGCGGCCGTTCGAGTGTGGACGAGGAGGATGAGACCCAGCTGGTGGCAGAGGACGAGGAAGTCGTGCGGCGGAGAGACGAGCTGAGAAGGGAGTGGGCACGGATGATGAGGCTATCCATGAGGGATGCAGGTACGTCGTCATCTCTTACTCCCGTTGTACCCTCGTCCGGTCTTCCTCTCATCCACTCCTGCTCGACCCTGTCGATCTGCTTGCCCGACGCTCTCAACCCGCTCGCTCGCTCTCGTGCTCGACCCACTCGGCACCACGGCCACTGCCTCAAGCCCCTATCTGGCTGTGCGCACGCGTGCGCAACGCGCTGCTACGCCGGCCCATGCCTCCTACGCTCCATCCCTCTCGTGTGCCCATGCAGGTGCGGCGCGACGACGCACAACGTCCCGTGCAGCGCTGTCGGCGGCGCGGCGCCCGCGCCCGAGATCCTGTGTGACAGGCCCTACGGCGCGCTACGGGCGTGCGCGCGCCACTAGTGCACGCGCGCGTGCTACCCCCCCGTGGCGCTCGCCGGCCTGGGTGCCGCGAAGGGCAAGAGCCGCGAGCGCCATGGGACCACAAGACATCGTGGACGAGGCAGGCTGGCACGAGTGCGACCTCGTATGTGGGAAGCCGCTCGCATACGGGAACCACCGCTGCGAGGAGCGGGACGACAAGGGCCCGTGCCCGTCGTGCCTGCGGAGCTCGTTCGAAGAGGTGCGTCGTGCGCTTGTCATCTCACTAGGCTGGACTGTACTTGATGGTGAGATGTGCGCGCGTGCGCAGATGATCTACCACTGCGGCCTCACGATTCTCGACCCGCCGATCCCGTGCGGCACGCGCCTGCGCTGCCCGCACCCGTGCACACGGCCGCCGCCGGCGTGTGAGCACCCGCGCTCACCGTACGCGTGCCACGCGGACGACGCGCGCGGGTGCCCGCCGTGCCCGTTCTTAACGACGAAGCTGTGCGCGTGCAGGAAGCGCACGGTGCTTCTCAATCCTCGGCGCCGACTCGACGTCTGTGCCTGCACGAAGACATTCATCGATCCCTTGTTATGCCCGCCGTCACGGGATACAAACCAAGAACCCAAGGACGAGTCGCGCGCACCATGCTCCCTTTCATCATTTCCGCGGCTGCGCGGGTCTCGTTATGCCTGTACAAGAGGACGCGTCGGTGTTTCAAGGAACGCGGCCATGGGGTGGACATCGTGCGGTGCGCGCAGGCGCACGAGCGCGTCGGCGTCGGCAGCAGCGGGTGCGGGCGTCTGTTGGGCTGCGGGTTCCATGTGTGCGAGCGGCTGTGCCATGGCGGCGAGTGTGGACCGTGTGCGCAGGTGTGCGGCGAGCCGCGCAAGCTGTGGTGCGTCCCCCTCCGTCTTTCCGCCTCGCGGCATGGACGCTGAGTTGACTCGACTTTTCTTTTCTTTTTGGTTATTTGCTTGCCCGCGTGCGTGCGTGCAGCGCGCCCGCGCACCACCTCTACACGCAGCCGTGTCACGCGCCGTTGGCGTGCCAGGAGACCGAGCCATGCCGCGCGATCGTGACCGTCGCGTGCTCCTGCGGGCTGCCCGAACAGCCACAAGCTGATCTCTCTTGCCTCCTTCGTCGATAAGATCCGTGCCATGGAGGGCATGCTCTTCGAGCACGAAGCCATCAATCGCGAAGTCAGCACCCTCCACGAGCTGATGGAGGAGGAAAAACGCGAATTAGACAGCGTACGCGGCAGACGACGTTCGGGGACGCTGCGTGCCGAGGATCACGATGACAGCAAGTACGGAGGCGACGACGACGACGCGCAGAGTATCACGACCGTCACACCCCACTAGCTAGAGCGCGTCGAGGACGAGGACGAGGAGCAGCTGGCGGCAGAGGAAGAAGAGGAGCGGCGGCAGCGGAGAGACGAGCTGGGTCGACCGAGAACACCGGAGCCTACAGGGATGGGCATGGACAACGAGGACATCCACGGTGGATCCAAAATGCACCTTGACGTGCTCAACATGCACTCACGATCGCCGTCGCCCCCTCTACGAGAGCCTTTTGCTCTTCAGCCTTCGACATCTTCCGTGTCCGAGGAGCGCCTCAATGCCCTCGCCTCTCAGCTTGAACAGCTCGAATCTGCGCTCAAGCTCTCGCGCACACTCCAAGCCCAGCAGGCTGCCGCACAGAGTATCATCTCCATGCTCGAGTCCAAGATCTCCTCGCTCGAGCCACTCGTCCAGGCGTCGCAGACTAATATACAGTCGCATACCACCGAGGTGAGTCAAGAGCGCGCCTCGCTCACCTCGCTCATCGCTGAGTGGAAGAAGGATGTCGAGGGCCAGTGGAGCGGCGTCCGTGAGGAATGGGCTGAGGAGCGGGTGCGGATCAGTAGGGCGCGTGAGGATTGGGAGGTGCGCGTGCGGGCTGCCGAGGAGGGGTTTGACGGCGCCGTCACGAAGGTGGATGCCGGGCTCGCGACGCTGCAGCAACACCAACTCAAGGTGAATGGGAACGCGCGCCACGGTGTCAGGCTCGTCACACCCCTCAGTCCACGCAACATCTCGTCTGACTCGGGCAAGCGCCATCGGCGGAAACGATCGACAATCTCCCGAGGCCGATCGCGTTCGCACTCGGCCGAGTCGAACAAGGACGACGGTGGGTACGCGAGCTCATTCGAGGGCGTGACACTGCTCGATGACAAGCGCCAGTCAGCTTCCAAAGCACGCACGCGCGTGCCCTGGGCGCAGGATGATTCGGATTCGGACGTGCGTCGTGCAAGTGACGATGCGAGGATCATGTCCTTGAAGCACTATGCCATCACCTCAGAGTCGTCGGTCCAGAAGGCATCGAGAGGGTCCACGACGACGATGACGACGGAAGATGACGCTGCACATGCCTCGTCTGCCGCCGCCGCCAATCTGAAGGGCGCACACCTGGCGCCAGTGAGCTTTATTCTTTACGTTTTCGTGCATTCGCTCACGGCACTGTGTCGACAGATGGTTCAACATTTAGCACAGATGTCGACGACGGTGGGCGTGCTCATTCTAACCTGAAAAGCTAGAAGGTTCAGGGTAGGACAGGGGTATGGCAGGGCTAAAGAGGCCATTAAGAGGTGAAGAAGCCACCCATGCCAGTACATGGCTGACATGACGAGCCTGTCCGTGGCTGGAGAGGCTCGTCATGTCAGCCGCGTATTGGCAGGGCTGAGTCCTGATACGTGGCTGACATGACGAGCCACACTGCGGCTGGAGAGGCTCGTCATGTCAGCCGCGTATTGACAGGGCTGAGTCCCGATACGCAGCTGACATGACGAGCCTCGCTGCGGCTGGAGAGGCTCGTCATGTCAGGCGCGTATCAGCTTGGCTGAGTCTTGATACACAACTGACATGACGAGCCTCACTGCAACTGGAGAGGCTTGTCATGTCAGCTGCGTATTGACAGGGCTAAATCCCGATACGCGCCTGACATGACGAGCCTCACTGCGGCTGGAGAGGCTCGTCATGTCAGGCGCGTATCAGGATTCCGCTGCGCCAACAAGCACAAAACCTGCACAAACTCGACTCTACATGAATGAGACAGCCTACGAGCATTAACGTTACAGATGCCCGCGCTGTGAGTATGTTTTTATTATATCTTATTGTACCCTTTATTTCTTGCACTCGGCTTTGCAAACGGACGATGGGCCTCTGCCTCGCCGAGGGCATGTACTGATACATGATTGATGTTAGGTTAGGTTAGGTTAGGTTAGGTTAGGTTAGGTTAGGTTAGGTTAGGTTAGGTTAGGTTAGATTAGGTTAGGTTAGGTTAGGTTAGGTTAGGTTAGGTTAGGTTAGGTTAGGTTAGGTTAGGTTAGGTTAG